CCCTTCCCCCCCCCCCCCGCCCTCCGTGCGGAATGGTCGTGCCATTGTGTTTGGGAGCTGAATAATAATGGATATAGTAGTTTTCGAGCTTGACGGAATTCACCGGAAAGAGCCGAATGGCTGTGAGGGGCCGCTGTCATATTGATCGTAAAAGCTTCGGGTCATGGGCTTCATGTGCCCGAATGGAAAGTTTTTCCCTTCCCCCTCCCCTCCCCCCATCCTTCCCCTGCCGGAAGTAGAAGCTGTATAATTCCAGGGAAGCCACACCAATGCCCTATGGGAGTGGCGACCGTATTTTTTTTCATCCATTTCCCGTTCCCCCTCTCTCATCGCCCTCCAGTGCTACTTAAATTCCACTCTACAATTATATATCTACGTGGAAAAGCTATAGCTGCTGGCAGCTTAATGGCTTTGGGCTGGGATTTGCCAACTTCCAATTTCGCGTATCGATCCAGACAAAGTATTCCATCCCACCATTACTCGTCTAACTACCACTTCCAGGGGCCCTGTAATCGTTTCATGGAAGTTGCAGATGTGTAGATGACGGCTGGCGGCGGGGGGTGGGGGGGAAGAGTGCGGAGGAGAGGAGTGGGGGGAGCGTTAGTAGAGACGGGAATGGAGAATTTAGGAGTTGGAACTCTAGAGTGGGGAGGAGTTCTGGACAAAACTTCCAGGAATTACTATGCGATGGTGTAATCCGACATTGACAGGGACCTCTCAGAGCGTACGAATAAAAAAATGATGCCCTTGCAACGTATTATTGCACTGACAGTAATAACTTCTTTTTCTTCTTTTACGTAACACGCAAACTGTAATTTCTAGTTGTATATTCTTTACTCAATTACAAACGGTTTTCTAAAAACTTTCGTTTCAGCTGACACTAGTAATTTTACGTGTACATCGTGACATTTGATTGATGTACATGTCTTGCAGATAATGATAATGGTTTTCTTATCTGTTTAATGGTTTCTCAATTGAACAGGGATTAAAGTTTGTAATATAAGCCGATTCATCGAAATGAATGAAGATTATGCCATTTATTTCCATACAAAAGAGGATGAAATACGAATCGGAGGCATTAAAGGCAACTATTAGTGCGCAGTTATATTTTAATGAGTGTCTATTAAAGTTGAATATAAGAAATTCAGCGAGAGAGCGAAATTATATATATATTTTTTAATGCTCTGGAGGCTTTTTTTTTATGGCGCGTGGGGGAACGAAGGGGCAGATGGCAATTTACGGCCGCTCATAAATTCCAACATAACGCTTGGGCGGCTGTCATTAATGCTCGCCGCATTAGGTTTCAGTTTTACGCTGACGTCATTCAGCACGGAATGCGACATGGCAACGCAGCAGTTGGGGGGAAAACCCACTGCCTCAACTGCCTGACGCCCTGAATAATCAGTATTTGACCCCTCGCTGTCTTCGTAGCATATTTGAAGTGCTATCAATATCAATAAACTCTGTTTCACCCAATTAAATAAATCAAAATTAATTTGCCGAAAACTTTCACACCATTCTCAAGACATTTATTCTCCGGATTAATGCACAATGAAAGAACATTGAGTTACATCATCAGAAGGGAGTTTCAAATAACCTGAATAGCGACAGAGCGATACCAAATAATTCCAAGGGGGAAAAAAACTCAACTTCAAACTTTTTCCTGTCTGTATACAGTCATACACTGCATATAATACCATATATTTGACGTAAATACACTACCGCACCCTCTAACAACCAGGAAAAAAACTTTATGTACAATAGCCAACTAATTATGCAAAATTACGTGTGAATAGCAGAAAATATCAGTTATCATACTCTTAACAGACTGACCTATTTGTCCGAATTGATATGATTCAAGCCGCAGCGTGAAGCAAAGTGTCCTTGAGTTTTGTTTCAGCAAAAACACAAGAATCCATTCTAGAAAGCCTGTAACTGAATAAGCCCCCCGGAGTTTCATCTATTTTTACTAGCAGGCAGCGGCATATATATTTCAGTCGAGTCAAGCACGATTTTCTCTCTCTCTCTCTCTCCCCTCCCTCCTCCACCTGCCCCCGCCCCCACTCTCCCCCTGCCGTTCCGGGTTTTGTATATTCCACCGCTCTACCGCACAGCCATCCTCGTTTTCTATACGCTCGAGACTTGGCTGTGGCTCGTATGCTGACCTCCCCAGACTTGGGCCGGTTGCCTAGCAACCGGTACGTACTGCCTGAACTCAATCTGTCGCGACGTTGCCACAATGTGCTAGAGAGACCTGGAGTCATATGAAATCCCCCCTTACTCACTCGCTCACCCTCTCTGCACGCATACTCAAGCAAAATCAGTCCGTGCCTGTCGTGGCTGCATGTTTATCTTTGATATTTTTTTTGCTCCCCCCCTCTAGCCGTCACGCATAAGCGACTGCTGTTATAAAATGTAGATTCAGGCATTTTTTTTGTCTCGAATCTACATCCCGTCCAATTAAACAACTTGTCTCGTTTATTTTCGTAGAAAGCAGCATTTACTTATCTGCTGTTGAGGGAACGTGTCAGGGAAATATTATAACAGATAACATGAGTGTAATTTCTGAATGCCAATACAGATTAGGGGGGATAATTATCGTTTGAGGCCCATCAGTAATTCTCGTCATTGTGATGCTCCAATGAGTTAGATCCGCAAATAGTGTCAACATCCAATTGACAATCTAAATTACGCAAATCTTGGGTGACAGGAGTTGAAGTAATGAAGTGCTGGGGTCGTCTCGGTTGCACCCTCCTATCCGTAAATTGCAGTAAATTATCAGTTTGCAAATTATTTTTACCCGTCTCCGATGATAAATTACAGGGCTCCGGGTGTTTTGATTGACTCCGTCTGGCCTTCATTCCACTCTTCGTCAGCAGTATTAAATTTTTAAAATCAACGCTCTGATTCTTCCTCCTATTCTCCTGAAAATGCTCCAGAGGCCGCTGATAAACTGGAATTGCCGTTGAATTCACTTGATTTTGTTGAATAATCTTTTCATTCAATTGAATGGGACGATGAATTATTGGACAGATTGATTGAATAGTGGTGAATGTCTGCGGGGCCAGTGTACATACGGGCACTTGAATTTGCAGTGGTGGAGCTATCCTCGGTAGCCATTGTGGTGTTCTGATCAGTGGCGTCATAATGGGTGTTGCCAATAATGGAATACCGGCATTCTAAAATTCAAATATTCTCATAATTTAGCATTTCGAATGTGACGATTTTCCCCCAGCCAACTGGTGCTGCACAGAAATATCGTCTGCGTGTCTATTTATACAGGAATAATTATCTCAGGCAGATTCATGAGTCATGACGCAAGAACCGAGAATAAATATTGAAGCAACTCCTAATCATTCTCAAGCACTCACACAGCCCATTTATCCGCATGAAAAATGATTCAACCATGAATAAATTACTTGATACATAGCGCTGACATTTGGCAACGGTGGACGGTTGTAAATTCTCTCCGGTATGGAGGGAAAATACTGGAGTGGTACGGACTCATATTGCGCCTCCAGGCGTGGTCCCTTGGGAAAAAATTCTGGTACTTCAGCACTAAGAATTGGCACAGACGTCTTTGCACTACATTTGCAATCTCTCTCCCTATATCGATTTCTCGATATAACTATTGCATGTGTCTGTACATTGCACAATACTTCGTTTTCTATGCCCCTTCGTTTCTGATGGCAGGTCTGCTGCGTTCGTTGCTCTTTATTACTCCCACAACATGCGTACTCCTGGGCATCATTACTCATAAATTGTCTAGTACAATCTTTTCTCCAAAGGTCGTGCACTTTATCACTCGAGATACGAAGCTTTAGTTTAAATTCAGCAGCACTGTTGATTGTGTAGGGTAGACGACAGTGTCTCTTGTACTCCTCATCAATACACCCTGAATCACTCGACTCATCGTCTAACAATGCCTGCACCAGTTTCTCAAACTCTTGATTTTTACCGGTTAAAATGACACATCGATTGTTATGAAAAATTAATATACCTCTGATTGCAAGGGTTTCGACTTCAACCGGGTGAAGTACTCCTTGACATCTGGGTGCAACCAGGGCTCTCTTGACTCGGTGTAACTGCTGAAGGGCTCATGAGTGACTGATGTCTCGACATCTCTGACGTAAAGAGACTCTCTCTCATCGTCGTAATGATAATTTCCGTATTTCGATAGTCGTGACTCGGGAATTACGTGCGATACAAATTTTGTTTTCTTTGTATTTCGATTACGTGATAACTTCGATATCTATGGATTGATTTTTACGGGGTTTATGGACTTCGATTTGTTACGGAACATTCTCACCTTTATCCACAGAGAGCGATTGAGCTTTCGATAGGGATCCTCCTGATTACATTCCCAAATCTTATCGCCAATCAAACGGATATTATCGTAAGTGCTGTTGAAAAGATTCACGTCGTACGACGTTATCGTTGCTACCATTATACCATCATGCTTAATGACAGCTAATATCTCACTCTACAGCTGTCAAACTGAGTGGTTAAATCGGTTGTCAACTGATTTCGAAACATTGGAATGTTCAGATCAGCGCTATATCTTTTATTTCATAGTTTGAATTGAGGCGGGAGATTTATCGCGTGCACTTTCAAATGAAGATACACAGCTGATTCTATAATTGCGAATTCCGTTGCATTGTTGCAGGTGGTTTCAATGTGTTCGTGGCCCGAGATAAATTGCTGATTGTGCGGTGTTCTACAAGTTCCTGGGGGGGTCAAGAATTTGCGGAATATGACAGCCTTGGAACCGATGAATCATAGCGTTATCGACAACTGTCATAATTTCGAGGTCAACTCTAAAATATTATTGGAATATTCCGCGGCATTCTGATAATAACACGAAGTTTAACACGTACGTTAACCATGAAGTTGATAAACAAGTCTTTACGATTAATGGTGATACTCTGGTGCAGTTTTATTTGCGTCAGAGCTGATAATAACGATTGTTCGTGTGGGAAAGGCTTGAACAGAAATGCAAACGGAAATAGTGTCATTGATAATGGACATTGTCCCGCGCCTGGAAGTGACAATGAATGTAGGGGAGACTCTGTACATCAGTCGGTTCCTAATGAAATGGTGTTAATTGAAGGTGGAGTTTACTCGATAGGTACAAATAAACCGATCCTCGTGGTCGATGGAGAGGGCCCGCGGAGAAATGTAGTTTTGGATGGCTTCTATATGGACAAGTATGAAGTTAGTAATAGGGACTTTGAGATTTTCGTCAGGGCGACGGGGTATTGGACTGAAGCGGAAAAGTTTGGGAACTCCTTTGTGTTTGAGGGGTTGTTGAGTGAAGGGGAGAAGGAGGGCATTGAACAGGCGGTCGCTCAGGCTCCCTGGTGGCTGCCGGTTGAGAAAGCCGACTGGAGACATCCGGAAGGAGTGGATTCGAGTATTGAAGGTAGTGAATGCTTTATATTATGTGATACGCGTCGCATTATTTTTGGGCTAATTGGGCTGTAAAGCACTGAGTTACGGCCATTATGAAAACAATATTGTTCGTCACACGCCCGAAAAAAACTTTTTATCACTTGTGCGTAAAGTGATATTTTACGCACGCTCCGCGTGCGCAAAGTCGTACTTTTCACGCATTGTGGTGAAAAATACGGTTCGGTACTCGTCGGAAAGTGTTTTTTCACATCCCTACACAGAAAGTTCATACTTCCCTCCCGCCTATCAAAAAGCAAAATACGAACTTTCCTTTGCAGGCGTGTTGAAAAATCGATCGTGCACCTCGGGCGGAAAGTCAAGACTTTCCGCCCTTGATGCACAATATAGTATTTTGACCCTTGGGAGGATAGCATTCCCCTTCGGCGAGCGCTGCACACAAAATACACTTTTTTGTGATACTTGCCTCAAAAGTGCACTTTTCGAAATGGTCTTGTGTGCGCAAAGCGGTTGATTTCCGCACGGCGCGCGTAAAGTGAATTCTCGTGTGTAAAACTTCACTTTACACACTTGTGTTACACGTCCGTGTGAAAAAGTGAAACTTTACGCACTAGTAGCACAATATACTATTACGCACTCGTATCGAAATATACTATTATGTCGCGCCGTGCAATAAGTCGAGTTTATCGCATGCTGCGCTTCGCGCAGCCTGCTCAAAACTCGACTTCTGCACGACTTGACATAATAATATTTTTTGTCATTCCGGCCGTGAGGCAGCGCTTCACGGACGCTCCGCTCCGCGTCCGTGAATCTCTGCCTACGGCCGTCATAACAAAAAATACTGTTCGTCATATGGCCAAAAAAAACTTTTCTAGCTCATATGATTGCAGCCCTCGCCTTCGGCTCGGGCTGCAAACTCATATTCGCCAGAAAAGTTTCTTTCGGCCTAGTGACGAAATATACTAATAGAGCACTCGGTAATAAATTTCGTTTTCAACGAATGTGTGTACAGACCTCGCCTTCGGCTCGGCTTGTGAACTACACATTCGTTGAAAGTGAAATTTGTGCCCTTGTACTCTAATGTACTATTATAGCTCGTGCTGTAAACACATATTTGTAGAAAAAGTCTTTTTCGGCCTAGTGACGAAAAATATCATTTTCTGGGCTCAGTTCAGTCAGTAAGAGCAGTGGACACGTTATCGGAAGGTCCCGGGTTCGATTCCCGGTCTGGACTATTGATTTTTTCAGTAGATTTTTTCTTGTGAATTACCACATAGTATTGGGAAGCATCTTGGTTCTTCTACCGACGCCAAAATCCTATTCAACAATTCATGTCGCGTCACAAGATGTGGAAGGCTTTATAAGCTGTTGTCTTTAGTGAAATTAATATTTTTTTCATTAGATGAAGCGATCGAATTCGAAAATTGGTAGGAAAACAGTAGATGCGTTTTTTGCTCGAAACTTTCATGTGGGCGTTCACAAATGAAGAGAAAGCAAGGAATTACCATCAATTCAAAGAACGTCTGCATATTAGGACGTCGCAATTCTTCTTAAAGGGATATTTTGGCGTGATGTCAGGATTTTTCACGATGTCAGACGTTTTCAATTGTCTGTAACTTATCAATTTTTCATTCATTATCGAAATAAAAATAAGTATGCGACTTTAGATATTCTACTTAAGAGGTAATGGGGTCCCTGTGTCTGTAGGAGATTTTGAATTTCGCTTTCTCCCATAAGAGGTGAGTTTTATGAACGAAAAAACTATAGGCACTGCACGATCTAGTAATGAAGAGAACGAAGTTTTTTGGTTAAAAAAATAGTAGTTACGGATAAAAGGACATTCGATATGAATTTCACGGAGAAAGAAGTTTCTGGTTTTCGGCATTATTGTACTGGAATCAAGAACCGTTGGGTATTGAAATAGAGAACCCTGGGATTCTGAAAATAAGAACCGTTAGGGGCATTCAAATATTGCGTCACGCAATGGACGAGGGGAGAAGGTTCTGTAATTCGCTACGAGTCATGACGGAGTAGGGAGGGGCTGTCTAGGTTGTGATGTCACACCATAATTAATCAAGATGAGAATGTCAATTTAAGAACCCCAGGGTTGTTGATTTCAGTACCCAATGGTTCTTATTTTAAGGACCCAAAGAACTGGATTTCAGAATCGAGTACCCTGGGGTTGATTTAAGTACACTGGGTACTGCATTTCAGTAAAAATTACTGAGAACTAGACCTTTTTTTCTGATGCTTACGGAAATTTCGCTGAATTCCAGCACTTTTTATTACTGGATTTTAGTACTTCGAGGTACTGAAGTCCAGAGACTATTATTGGAAGCTAGAAACTTTTTTCTCTGTGGGTGGAAAAGATTCAAGGGTTAAAGAACACTTTTCCCCCGAGTGTCGGACGCTTTGTTCATTACAATGTGTGAGGAATGGAGTTTTGCGCACGAGATACGTGCGTGAAATTACACTTTATATACTGTGTGATGAAAACTTCATATGAATAGGTCTGCGTATTTCAATTGTGCCACACGGTGAAAATTGAGAAAATTGAATTCATGGTAAAAATTGAGAGAAATTAAAAAAAATGAAAACCAGTCGAATAGTTTTCGAGATGCTCGTTTGTAAAAAACCATTTACAGATGAATTGATCTTTCTCAGAAACTAATGAGCCTAACGGGCTGAAATTCGGCACCGAGTAAGTCGGAATTGCTATCGATTGCTCTGCCAAATTTCAGATTTTTCGGAATTATTTTAGCCGGTTAATTATTCAACTTACTGAAAACTGATTTTTGAGAATGGAGTGGCACACACACATGGTCGAAAAACTTCGTACTTTTACGTTTCAAATCATTCTACATCATTTCCAAGTAAAATTGGAAAATGTGAAATGTGAACGATTGAAATGCTGCCGTTGGGAAGTTATACGTATCTAATACAATATTTTGCATGCAATTGTCAAATTGTAATTTCATGGCCAATTTCAAACGTCATCTTTAAACTTCAATTTCATGGTCGCACGTGAGATAGCTTTCCAGAGATAAACCTAGTGCATCCGCTAGATAATTCTATTGGCGGTCGCATTGGAGTGATGAAAATTTTCAAGTTTAATTACTTTTTCGTCAATTTGATTAAAAAAAGTCCACAACTTTTCTAGTTTTTTTTCTAAATATCGATGGTTAATCAAAAGCGATTTATAAAGAAATTTAACAAATTTTCATCTTTTTATACATCTCATTTAGCTGAGATTGTTTCAGTAGAAACTGCCCGGCTTTGATAGGCCAATTTTTTTATTCATATTTTATAATGAGAGAATAAAAATAATTCAGTGGAAAGACCTTACAAAATTTATGCCGGGGACTGTCTATCGAAAATATCCGAATGAATAATATGGATATTTATGGAATACAGTATGCAGACAGTTGGAAATCTATTGACTTTCTACATAAAATATTTTCCCCTGAAAATTGATTGAACGAGCAGGAAAGCGCGTAATTTTGCAACAAAATCGACAACAAACTGATTGAATTTTCAATAGGAGTCCGATAGCTATGTAACAGATTTTTCTAGCGGATGCGCTAGGTTTCCCTGTGAAATGTTTTCGCCGATGCTACTCTGAATATTCATCATTTTGAAAATTTATGCGCAGAAGATATTTTTCTGTGGAATTATTGCATGAAAAACCTAGCGCATGCGTTAGAAAATTGTATTGGCTTTTTACCCGAAATCCTATTAGTATTTTCTCATGCGACATTCTCTATAAGAATTCAGAGCACGAGATGGAAAATCTTGGCTTTTGTAATGATAAATAAAAAACAATACAGCGAAAAAATAATACGAAAATTTATACCCAAGAGTTTCTACAGAAGAAATCTCTTTTCTATCAAATATATGTTGAAAATCAATAGAAATGGACAGAAAAACGAATGTAACTTCCGAAAGAACTGCGAGAGAATTTTCTAGTGAAATCTTCGGGTTTTTAAATTAGATTTTTGCTTCCGAATGGAAGTTTTGTGATCGTTGATTTTGACGATCTTCTAATTTCGCCTGAAAATGAGAGAAAATGTCATGAACCGTGAAGATATGATGTTTTTAAAAAATGTGTGTATGTATCTCCGGATTTTTATAAAACTTCACAGAAAAAGGACTAAAGTTAAAGCTAAAAATCTGAAATTTCGTCACATAATTGGTATCACTTTGGAGCACTTCTGGACACAATTTCAGTTCAATTGGTCAAGTAGTTTCTGAGATACAGCAATTTCTCAAAAATCTTTTTTCCTCATTATCTCCAAAACTACGTGACTGAATTGAATTTTTCTAACGTCAAAATATTCCTTGCGATAATAGCTATCAAATAAAATCACAATATTGCAACGTAACACGAGATAGTTTGGTAATAATCGGCATTTTTCATTTTTACGAGAAAATCGTTCTGTGCACGATAACTCCCGAAAAAATTTAGAGAAGATATTGAAATTTGCCATTAACCCCCGCTTTCATTATTTATTATCTCCAAAACTGTGTAGTACAGCTAGTTAGCATTTTTTCAATAGCTGGGGACTATAAACATTATCTATGAAACACATGGGGACAATCTTAAGAACAACGTATCTGTATATGTCTAAGTTGTCGTGACATTGTTGAATGGAATATCCTCATTCAGTCCGATTTCCTCATTCATGTCGACGAAAATTCCAAATGTTTTAATTTCAAATTTAGACAGAATGGATCACCCTGTAGTTCACGTATCGTGGAACGACGCGTCATCATTCTGTAAATGGGCAGGTAAAAGACTGCCAACCGAGGCAGAATGGGAGGTAGCATGTAGGGGTGGGCTCAACGACCGGCTCTACCCCTGGGGCAATAAACTCATGCCCAATGATCAGCACAGGTAATGACATACAGTCAGTCTAAAATTCTCCACGACCTGAATAAATAAGTCTATAAATATTGATTCATTACCCCAACTCATCGTTTCAGGGTCAATATTTGGCAAGGGGAATTCCCCCAGAATAACACAGCCGAGGACGGCTACGTGGGAACTGCCCCAGTCACTGACTACCCCAGCAATGGGTATGGGCTCTATAACATGGCTGGCAACGTTTGGGAGTGGACGTCAGACTGGTGGAACGCCAGACACTCCGAGGAGCAAACAACAAATCCAGTAGGTTCATGTAGTTATCGTCATTATTTAATGAAGGAAAAGGGATGATAATCGATATTCAACAGGTTGGACCTGCCTTAGGCAGCGACAAAGTGAAGAAGGGAGGATCTTACCTCTGCCACGAGAGCTACTGCTTCAGGTACAGGTGCGCTGCTAGGAGCCAAAATACTCCTGACACATCTGCTGGAAATCTTGGATTCAGATGCGCTACTAATTCACTATGACACATCTGAATAATTATTAATGTTTAGTTTCGACTGGTTTCCTCACCAGTTTTCCCTTTTTGTAAACGCACAATATTTGATGAATAAAATTTATATGGTTGGTAAATTCGTTAACACTCATGAGATTATATTATCGAAATATCTAACTGGAACTCTTTGAGAATTGAAATTCTATGAAAAATTCGATCTGGTTTTTTGCGTCTGTTTCTAATAACAATTTTGTCAGGCGTTTGTGAATTGATATTCTTTTATATAATGGAGATAATTGATGTTGACTTTTTTGTGAAGTTATCCTGTCAGAATGTTTTCGATAAAAAATTTTCATCATGAATTTTTCAATTTTTTTTTTCTTGGATTTTTGAAATTTAAAACAAGAAAGAAATGCATCTGACTAAACTTTGGAAATTTATGCTATTGATTTTTTTCTTTAAAAAATTATGAATTATCTCTAACAATTTGATAATTAAAATGGGGGCGAAAACAAATAGAATTCTTTAAGGGTACTATAACGAGGCGCCAGACAAGAGAATAAAATTTTGCAAAAAAATCAGGCTGCAGTTTTTTATATTTTAAACCCATTGGTAAAATTTCAAGTGGCTGATGAAAATCGTTGACGAGACAACCCAACAATAATTTTTCGAATTGAACATAAACTTCGATGGAAAAATCCTTTAAAAGTTTTTCCACGAAAAAAGAAAAGCTTTAGACTTTGTAAACTATAATTGTTTTAAGTCATATACATATACTCTGAGAAATATTTTTAAAAATATGCCAAATTTGCTCACTAAATTAATCAAAAATTGTGATTACTGAATTCAGATGTTTTGACGTGATGGAAAGAATTGCGATGCCCCTGAGCTCGTGCCAAAAAACTTGGTCAGCATTGGCAAACAAAAATTCAAAATACCATCTAATTTCAATTTTCGGAGCCAACTGCCCCGCCATAATACCCCTAATAGACTTCTACTAGATTTCAATTCCAAAAAAATTCTCAGAAAAATCGCCACATTTTGTCCTCAAACTTATTCAAACGTGATCGTGCTCCAAAACAAATGACTCGTTCTGGAGTTTGTTTACAAACATTTCCACCTGTTCCTCATTTAAAGGGACACTGACCGCCATCTGTCAAAATAAACAAGAATCACATGGTCTGATCGATTGTTGCGTCATCTGACGGGCGACAATGGGCCCGTAAGAATTCAAACTGGAGTCGTATTACAAGTCTCGAATTTTGTCGTTTTTTCGCGAAATCTGAGATGACGACCTAAGCGATATGTCCCTGAGAGAACTGAAGGACAAAATGAACCCTCGGTTGACTAATCAAAACTACTTTACACTCCTCAAAGTGCTCCGCAAGAGTCGTTGATAGAGTACTTGAATTCTCCCCGATTTTTGAAATGAGTCACCCATCTGCAATCAATCCTTCGATGATAGTTCTCCTACCAGCGAACGAATCACAAACCACTGACAGCCACGCAAGCACCTCCGGCTGTCCCGGTACTCGTGGCAATGCCCCTAACCTCCCCACAGAGTCACAAACTAGTGTCGACCACGCAGATCCCAGCTGTCCAGGTGCTGGTGCTTGTGGCAATGCCCATAGTCCCCCTGCAACGTCACCAACTACTGACGACGACCCGGAAACCAGCTGTCCTGGCACTCTCGGCAGAATCCGCAAGTTTCTCGTGAAAATCATGCACAACAACAGTGCTAAATTGGCAATATGTGCAACAGGGATATTCGTCTGTTACTTCTACTACGGAGTGATCCAGCAGAAGATAACCCAGGGGATTTACGGTGAGGGGGAAAATAAGGAGAACTTCACGTACATGTTCGCCCTGGTCTCGTTACAATGTGTCATTAATTACTCGTTTGCCAAGCTACTGTTGGTGACTGTCATGAGAGAGGGTGAAGATAGTACCAAGACTGTTTACTATGCCACTTCAGCCCTCTGTTATCTATTGGCAATGGTGTGCAGTAATATGGCACTGCAGTTTGTTAGTTATCCGGCGCAGGTGGTGGGAAAGGCTGGGAAGCCCATTCCTGTTATGCTCCTGGGGGTTCTTCTTGGCCATAAGGTAGGAATTGAAGTAGACAATCGCAGCTGGGGGAGGCACGATGTATGAAAAAATTTAATAAAAGGAGAAATTCTATTAAATAAAATTGAATTCCTGTTGGGAATTCATAAGGATTGTATTGGGATTCCATCAGAGTTCTATAGTGAAAGATTCTTTTCGTTTTTGGGCCAATTCTATTTATAGTTTTGCAACGTCTCCTCGCGTTTTTAAATGGGGATGTGTTCATAGAAAATGTATGTAGGTGTTGATTTTTTAATGTAATTTACTCTGTTGGGATTTTTTTATAATAATTTTTAGGCGTGATTTCTCTAGGTTTTTTTTCTTGGATTGTATTATGAGAAATAAAAATACAGTGGGAAAACATTACAAAAGGAAATTTACGTCCAAGAATTTTTATAGAAAAATGAAGATAAAAATCTAGTGGACGTTTTCTATCAAATATCTTTTAACAAAATGACACGGTAAAGTTGCGAATTTCCCTACAGAAGTGGCACAAAAACAAATAGATTTTTTCAATTGAATTTTGATACAACTTTAAGAGAATTGTTATAGAGTACCAATAGAAATTCAGTAGAATTTCCAGAGAAAGCGCTACGATTTTGTATTAAATTTTTTCATTGGTGACTGCACGCATGGAAGAATTTTATAAAAAAAACTCAGCACATTTCATAAAGAATTCCACAGAATTTCAGTTGGACTTCTATTGAAAATTCTACAGCTTGCCTTGTTTATTTTGAATAGATAATTTTCAATGGAAACACTTTAATAGAAAAAAAATCAATGGAAATCTTGGAATGGAATTTTTGTTTTTCTACATGCCTTTTGGTTGAGATATTTTCTATGGAAATTCCTCGGGTTAAATTTTCTAAGTTTTTTTTTGTTTCTTTCATTGAGAAGAGAAGAAAGGTGGAGTGGAAAAAAAAGAGGAAATTCATGTCGAAGAATTCCTATAGAAAATGCCTTAATGACATGAGTTCGATAAAAAGATAAAAATCTATTGTTGTTTTTTCTATCAAATAGTTTCTATTGAGCATTATCAATCACAAAAAAATGCGAAGAAAGACTTCAGAAATTTTCAATAGAACCTGATCTTTTTTCATTTCGAATGGGAATTTGTATTTTTTTATTTCGAGAAAATCTGATTTTCATGACAATTTTATCTACTGAATATGAGTAAAATTATTCAATAAGAGAAAGTGGACTTGAATTCTCTATACTTTTACTCAAAAAAGGAGATATTGGGATTCTGAGTCGATAACGAACGTTTCCGCAAGCAAAATCGAGATTTTCCATAGAATGTCTTATAAAGAATTTTTCATGCTCAATTTTTCATCAAAAAACAACAATTTCATTATTTTCTCCAGTCATACCCCCTCCGGAAATACTTGTTCGTCTTCTTGATCGTCCTGGGTGTTATCCTGTTCATGTACAAGGACGGAAAGTCTTCGGGGAAATCAGAACGAATCGGGTTCGGCGAGCTGCTCCTGTTTCTCTCATTAGCTATGGACGGATTGATAAGCGCTGTGCAGGAACGAATGCGAGCAGAACACAAAACGAGATCTGGGCACATGATGCTCAACATGAACTTCTGGTCCAGCATATTTAGTGGAATTGTTATCATAGTGTCTGGTGAACTGGTGGAATTTGTAGCATTTATAGAGAGACATCCGAGCTCTATTATTCATATTTTGACACTGGCTATGGCCGGGGCCTTGGGGCAATTTTTCATATTTTTGACTGTAGCTGAATTCGGCCCTCTGCCCTGCTCAATCATAACGACTACTAGGAAATTCTTCACCATTTTAGGGTCTGTATTATTGTTCGGCAGTACTCTTCTACCCAGACAATGGGTGGGCACAGTGATCGTATTCTCAGGATTGTTCCTAGACGCTGTTTACAGTAAAGGCAAAAATGTAAAAAAAGAAACAGATAAATAGGAAAATTCAATCAACAACTTCCAATTCGTTAATATTTCACATAATTACAACAATTGAGTTGTATATTGTCGCCAGAATACTTGGCACAAATTAATTATTCGTATCATTTGTAAATTATTAGTGTAATTTTCATTTTGCATTGACATTTTAATACGAGTACATTACAAATGACTGTTATCACTAATTTTGGGATTCCACCGACAATGTCTTCGAGCTTCATTCATTTACATTGAAAACCAGAAAATAAATGTGAAAATGTAAAAAAGGAATAAACAAGGTTGTAACGGACTTTTTGAGTTCCCAAAATAGCTTGAAGAGGAAAGATGGAGTAAATTGATCTTTTGAGGAAATGAATGGATAATTGTAATCAAGTTTGATAAAGTATTTATTGTTTGATGAAGTATATTATTCCTTTCTTTTTCTTGACAGTTGTTGTCTAGGCACACGGAGAGAAATTTTCTAGAAAAATTCTAGTACGATTACTGAAAAAAATCACAATCCACCGGCTGTGAAAAATTCTAGTGCTGTTAAGGTAAAATTTCTGGGGATTTCCGTGAAATTTTCACAGAAGTACGGGGAAAAATTCACGTTTTCCCCAATAAAATAGCTAATGCCGGCACTGGATTTTTTCCTGGCCGTCACTTTGCGCCTCTTTTCCTGTGCTAGTATTACAATTTTTCTAAAAAATTTCCCTTCGTGCCAGCATCTTGTTTTTAATACTGTTTCGGTGTAGGTGATTACCAACTTATTCTGAAGTGCCAAAATGGTTTCAAGGAGAAAGAGATGAAACCGGGGAGGGGTTCGATGATTGTCCTGATAGATTCAATAATAAGATAGGACCGGGTTTGATGGATCGAGTTTGATGGCCATCTACTTGATTAAAAGTTCACAGACTCACTTTCACATCCATTTCAGCAGATCCGTGAAGTTCATTTAGTAGCTACATTTCATTACGAGTTTGGAATAGGGGACCATTTCCAATAACTTTGATATTTATTCGTATCGAAGACTGAAAATAAACATGAAATAGAACAAAAAAATTATGAACAAGGTCATTACTAACTTTTTAAATTTTCGGAATGTCATTAAAACAGAAAAGATGGATCTGGGGAAAGATTGAGATAGCCATTCTGAAAAATTTGATGAATAGATAACACCAGATCATATGATTTCCATCTATTTGATTATAAATTAATATTCGTATTCACTTCTTTCTTGGCAAAGCTCAATTATTCTTGTAGCTTCGCCATTCATTTTCTTCACCGTGCAGCGCATTCTGTATACTCTAGCTGCGTATCTGATGATGGGCACTCTAGTAACGCCGTCTCACCGGGGTTTTTTTACCACTTTTGAGTGTTAATGACCAGCTTCACAGCTTTGTCTCGGAAATTTTGAATTTACACACGGAGAGTGTAAAGCGTTCAGTAAAAATTACGGAACTCAGAACTCACTCACCGATTACGGAATCGACCCAGAAAATTTAAGTGAAGGTATCGTAATTTTTCACAGGAGTTTCACATCAAATTAAAACCTTCAAATAGACAAGCGACTTATTTTTTTCTCGTATAACCTTTCGAGCTTTTACGATTTGTTCCCTTCCCACCACCCAACCCCCTGTATCGCATTCACCGAAGGACAAGGGAAAACCTCATTTGAGGGAAAAACCTGCCCAGGTGCGAGACTCCCGCTCGACACACGGAGAGAAATATTCAATAAAAATTACGTATCTTTTTCGTAATTTCGGAGCGAAATGTGGATGTAGGAAATTTTACGGAACTGTCACGGAATTTTTCCGGAGCGTTCCGTAATTTTTATCTGAATCTCTTGTGAAAAATTACGATACCGTCACTTAAATTCTCCGAGTCGATTCCGTAATCGGTGAGCGAACTGTGAGTTCCGTAATTTTTACTGAACATTTCTCTCCGTGCACTGAAACCGTGAGATTTAGAGTTTCACAAATTTTGCCCCTCCTCCCCCCCGGGAATCGAACCCGGGTCTTCCGCATGCTAATCCTGCATTCTAACCACACAGCCAGCGCCGTCGGTTCAAGCGACTTATATTATTCAAAGTAAAAACGACTGAAAATAGCTATTTTCGTCATAAGGCCGAACAAAACTTTTTGTCATTCCGGCCGTGAGGCAGCGCTTCACGGACGCTGCGCTCCGCTCCGCGTCCGTGAATCTCTGCCTACGGCCGTCATAACAAAAAATACTGTTCGTCATACGGCCAAAAAAAACTTTTCTAGCTCATATGATTGCAGCCCTCGCCTTCGGCTCGGGCGAAGCCGAATCGGACGAGCCGAAGGCGAGTCCTGTAATCATATGAGGCAGGAAAGTTCCTCACGGCCGTGTGTCGAACAATATTTTTTGTCACGACGTCCGTGAAGCAGTGCCTAACGGACTAGTGACGAAATAGTATATTTCGTCACTAGGCCGAAAGAAACTTTTCTGGCGAATATGAGTTTGCAGCCCGAGCCGAAGGCGAGGGCTGCAATCATATGAGCTAGAAAAGTTTTTTTTGGCCATATGACGAACAGTATTTTTTGTTATGACGGCCATAGGCAGATATTCACGGACGCGGAGCGGAGCGGAGCGTCCGTGAAGTGACGGTATACGGCCGGAATGACAAAAAGTTGTTTTTGGCCGAGTGACGAACATAATTTTTCTTCACAATGTCCGTAAACAGCGTTACACGGACATTTCAGGGACAATCTGTTGAAAAAAAAGTTCGAATCTTTTGTATTTTGTGCTTAAAATTTGTCATTATCCGCCACGATCGGCGGTGGCCGCTAGCGTATTGCCATTAACGCGGCTGAAGCGTAGTTATATATTGAGAAACGTGAAGATTTCGTGAGACATCCTCACGCTTTTATGAATGAAAAAAATTATGATCCTTAGCTAGAAAGCTAGCTGTCTATCTGCCTATGGCTGGAATAAACACGAAATATTTACTCTGTTGAAAAATGATACAAATTATAATGTAAATATACTTTATAAATAGTGTGAAGGAAAATTAGCCTCTTCACTCGGCCGAAATAGTATAGTCTTCGACCTAATGACAGAGAATATGCACAAACGGAGATAAAAAATCCTTTCTCACGCGGGTGAAATTGCAATGCTCAAGTTCGTCTCAGTTTGCAACTTTTATACTCGTCCGAAAAGTGCAACATCTCACTTCACCCAGGGCTTGATGAAAAATTCTATTATACATGACCCTTAACTTTACGCACGCCGGGCAAAAATGAACACCTCATTTTTACTGTACCATCGAAGAATGATCCTGCAGAGGTTTTACAGAAAATAGGATGTAGCACGAGTGGGTACGAAAAAGTGCAAGACAATATAGTATTCCTTTCAATGTAAGTCATTACGCAGAGAGAAAAATACATGGCAATCTCGTGTGAGTCTCTTTAAAAATTAGTGAGCTACATACTAGCCGTGACCAAATAGGAGTTACAGAAAAAATTTAGATGCGCGGAGAGAAATGTTGAGTAAAAATTACAGAACTCTCACTTCACTCACCGATTACGGAATTGACTCAGAAAATTTAAGTGACGGTATCGTAATTTTTCACAAGAGATTCAGCTAAAAATTACGGAACGCTCCGGAAAAATGCCTTGACAGTTCCGTAAAATTTCCTACACCCACATTTCGCTCCGGAATTACGGAAAAGATACGTAATTTTTATTGAATATTTCTCTCCGTGTGGTTCAGCCTAAAATTCGAATGTGGCGCTCTAACTTTTGAAGATCTTGCGCTACTTTTTCGTGGGATTCCCTTAAAAATTTGCGTGCCACTTCCGAATTTATTGGCGACCATGGTTTGATCCCATGGGTTGACAAAGAGCACACTAATTTTGCCTAGGGTTTTCTCTCCGCGAGAAAATCAATTTTCAATTTTCAATTTTCTAGCTGCATGAATTTCGAAAATGCCTTCAGGAGGAAAGAGATGCAGTCGACGAGCCACTGGTAATTGTCCTGAGAAATTAGTTCAACGGATAGAACGAGCTTTAATCACTTCACTCATAAATTGATAGTTTCACATTCCCCCTCTCCTTGAAAAAGCGCAATTATTACTGCCGCTTCCCACTTAGTTCATCCGACTGGCGCTGTTTGAAGTTCATTTCATACTGACATTTAAAAACTAAAGCACGATTGTTCATTGTCATCAATAATGCTAGTTCTCCACTCCCGAGAATCCCATCTCCATCTCTCCCGAAATCCATCCGCTTGCACTTAAAACCAAAAACAAATTATAAATAATGAAAAAAAAAATCACAGAAGATCATTATCACCATTCGAAATTCCCAAAATGCCTTCATTATCACAAAAACCCCTCCAAAACGACATTATCGCATTTTGCAGTAGTTCCCTCGTTGACAAATTATAGATAAAACCTTGTACGAGTATCGGTACAGGTCGGAGGGGGGGTGTAATCAGCAATTTGTACGATATGCTTTTTCCTTTTCAATGAAGCAGTCTAGTGTTGTACCGTTGTGTCGTATAAACCGATGATTTTTACTTTTTCTACCTCATTTATTACTACTTAGGTTTTCTGGCATATCCATGTGTGCCTGAGAGAAAGATCGTAGATAACAATGACTATTAGCTCGCATCAACTTAGTATCACACTTCTAGTTGTTTTATTCGTGCGTATTGGAGCTAGTGGAAGCAATGAAGGTATGTAGCCATCTGTCTAGATGCACCTGCTAAAGAATTAAATCACCACCTTGAGAATCAAAATAATTAATCATCCGTTGGGAATAGCCTCGAAACAGTGGACAGATGAGGGCAGAAATTACTCGAATTTCTTGACATTGACAAACACTTCAGATAGTGCGCACGAGGCGAACTGCTCGGCACACTCCATGGAGGAATTTCCTACTGACTTATTTACTGCTGAACAGCGGAGAAATGGAGCTGTACTATTTCATGCATTCTTCGGGTTCTACTGTTTTCTACTCACTGCATATGTCTGCAATGACTACCTTCTGCCGGCTTTGGATATTATCTGTGCGGAACTCAAGATCAGTGCTGATGTAGCTGGGGCTACGTTCCTAGCAACTGCCAGTTGTTTTCCCGAGTTGTTTGTCAATGTTGTGGGGACCTTCGTTACGGAATCGGATCTCGGGGTTGGAACTGTTGTCGGAGGGGCTGTATTCAATACCTTCGCAACGCCGGCTTTCGGTGCGCTATCCGCTGCTCAGGTATTTAAATCATTTCTCGGGTGATTAGGCTTAAGTGGAGGCGAGACATTATAGTGATAGCGATCATGTTATTGAAGTTTTAGAAACAACTTTCAGTTGTTTCTCAGAAAATTCTAAGCGTGTCAATTATTTTCTTCTCTTCAACTTCTCCCAGTCGTAACGGTCATCCATCCGGTTTACGGTAATTTATTCGTAAGGAAGAATCACAATAATAAATTCTTTCTGTGACGTTTCGAATCCACTCGAAGTTCTTCGTCGCAATTTATTGAATTTTAGTGTCCAATGATGTTAAGGGCATAACAGAGCTCAAAAGAATACCAAAACAAATATGTTATAAAAATATAAAATCTATAAAATCCTCTCCCCTCTATAAAATCCTAGTAAGCAAGTAGAGTATTTTTCCTGTTTAAATAAACACCAATCACCGATATTAACTTCGTTGCATTCTCTTACAAAATAGTCACTGATTTCAAATGACTTCGGCATGAGTTGGAGACTTCAGCGAGTTTTCAGAAATTATTTCAGAGAATTGAACACACGTGATTTCATTGATTTCGAGGATTTCACACGATTTCAACGTGATTTCGGATTGATGTTATCGCAGAGTGGCACCGTGATTTCGGAAGTAGTACACTGTTAAAAATTTTCGTTTGAATTTTATGTGCCAAATTCCGGAAATTTTTATCGTGTTCAAGTTCCACTGAAATTTCAGGAAATCGTGTCATTGAAAAATCAAATATTCCATTGATTTGCTGTTCAATTATTCTGTGAACATCCAGAAAAATCGGGAAAATTCAGGGAAAAATTGAAAATTTATGTCATTTTGTTTCTAAATATTCATGTTCCACTAAAAAGTCAATCAAGTTGTGAAATTTCCGTCTCAGTCCCACTGAAAACTCATGAATTTCCGTGAATATCTTCCATGAAATTTCAACAAATTTCTAATACTGTAGCCCCTCGCAATAAGTTTCAATTCGATTCATTTCAATTCATTTCTACAATTCATTTTTGTGCTTTTTTCTTATGAATAAATTCACGTAAACCGTATGGATGCACGGAGAGAAAAATTCAATAAAAATGACTAGAAAAAAAACGTAAAAATTACGGTTCGAAACGTAATCCGTGAGCGAAATAAAATTCAATAAAAAGCGTGGGTCGGAACTGAAATTGTACGAATCGCCACGTAAATTCTACGATTTATTCCGTAAAAATTAACCACCCGTCTGATGACTCACCGCTGTGGAGACCACAAATCGTTCCGTAATTTTTTCCCCAACGATTGAGAAATTTTACGGAACGGAACGTTGAAATAACTCACTAGCTTCATAAAAAATGTTGAACGTTCAAGTATTTTTGATTTTGGAGGTATAATAAGTCGGGAAGTTTCTGTAAGATTTTACTTCTTCGGGAAAAATTACGTGACAATTTCGTACTTTGTTCGGTGATGAACCTGAAAATCCACTGAACGTTTCAGATTTCTTCTCTTCCATTCCTATAAAAACTGCCGGAAAACGTCCGTTCCATAATTTTTACTGAATATTTCTCTCCGTGTGACCGTTATGGCTGGCAGAAGTCGAAGAGAATGAATTTTCAATTTCATATTTTTGTTTCTCTTGGGATCTCAGGCCATTCAACTTGACTCATGGATTCTCTCGAGGGATTGCATTATTTATGTTTTCTCGGTGAGTGCTCTGGTGATTGTCATGTGGGATGGCAAAATCAGGTGGTACGAGTCTCTGGTTCTCATTATTTTATTCACCGGATATTTCACACTTTTATTTCTTAACAATAAAGTTATATACTGCACGAAGAAGATTAAGGAACTGTTCAGGAAGAGATCTGAACTTCAGAATGAAAATGGTATTTCTTTTGTGGATTATCTTGATAATTTTTTGCTCTCCCGATATGAATGAGGAAAATTTATTGATAGAACGCAGATCTGAGCATGAGGATATGCCAACCGGAAGTTACAAACCCTTTGTTCACGGGGATTTGGTTGTGGAGTATAGGAAGAGTATTCAACATATTAAGAGGAAAGAGATGGAGGAGGGAAAAAGCTACAGTAGTTGTCCGGAGAAGTTTGACGAATACGTAGAACCAGGTTTGATGATTTTAATAATTCAGTCATAAATGAAGAGATTCATATTCACTCGTTTGTTGGAAAACAATTATTGTTGTCGCTTGTCCGTAGAATCGTCCATTTATTTACATCCGAAAGTAATGATGAATGTCTTCAAAACGAAAAAATTGAGATATCGGCGGCGTTAAAATAATTCTCCTAAGAAATTTGATGCACGGATGGAACAAAGTTTGGTAAATTCTGTCTACTCAATCCCGAATTGACAGATTCATATCACTTTCTCTTCAAAAGAAACTCGATCATTACTCTAGCTTCACCATGAAGTGTCCAATGGTTCCTATGCATTCAACCATTGAGGTATATCTCTAGAAAGAATGTTTATCTTGAGATTGTCCCCATGTTTTTCATAGATAATGTTTATAATTGTTTTGGAATTTTAGAGATAATAAACAATGAAATCCGGGCTCCTAGCATGCGAGACATAGACCACATGGGCGTTAAGGGTCCCCCCGAACTTGATTTTTCCATCTTATGAGAAGACAGTCTTTATGATGTGCTTAAAAAATTAATCCGTGATAGATTGATAAATTCCGGCTATAGTGAATTTTTTGTAAAATTTTCTACTATATAGTTTCTGCGATATTCAACTCTAAAAAAATGGAAAATTCGTGAAAGCATGTCGTATTTAATTCAAAAAATTAATTAAGAAATAATTTCTTATTTGATTCAAACAGTTACTGTTGCCTGCATCAACAACACATGAGGATAGAAAAACTCAATAACTTATGAGAATGTAATAAATTAAATCATTTAGAATTTTTTTCGAAGATCCGTAGGGACCGACTTTTGGGTTCGATTGTCCTGGGATATTTAAGGGGTACCGCCCGGAAACATGAAAATCTGGGGTTGTGGAAGCGTATGGAAATTGTGGCGCTCTTTGATATATAAAAAATACAAAAAAAGCAAATTTAGCCATGTAAGAGGCGAATTGAAAAAATAGCTTGTAATTGTTATTCCACATATTTTTCCGAAAATTTGAAAAAAAAAAAATCCTTCGTAGCTCAAAAATTGGAGGCCCTCGACTGCTTTTGACATTTTAAGCGTTTTCGGGCAAACGAACAATAAAAAACATTTTTTTTTGCACTAATTATTCGTTTTCAGATCTATATAATCGATCTTCAACGTATGAAAAGTCTCACTCCAATAACCCACGACTTTTACAACTCATAGTAGTCTCCCCTTAAACCGTTTTACCACTTCGTTACTGGTATATATAAAAAGTCGCTTCATAGGTTTATTTTGCCACAACAGACTTTCAAATTTCAGGGGGATTCACCTTAAAATAATTTGAGAATATTCATCCATAAATAATGATAAATTGAGGGGATTCCCATTAACTCCTCGATTTAAGAACCAATTATTATTGTAGCTTCACCATTGAATTGTCCAAGTGGTGGTGTCTTGACTCGAATTTGGTTCGTATTCACCTGGCCCCTGAAGCTCATCCTCTTTCTGACTATTCCCGACACACGATGGAAAAATTTCAAGAACTGGTATCCACTGACATTCATTATGTGTGTTGCCTGGATCGCCGTGTCTTCATACTTGGTCAGTTGGATGATGACTATCGTGGGGGATACCCTCGGAATTACCGATTCGATAATGGGAATCACCTTTCTATCTGCTGGAGGAAATATGCCCGAGCTTGTGTCCATCGTCATACTGTCAAGACAAGGTAATTCCCATTTCCTTATTATTATCACTGAGTGATAATCATCGAGGTCATTGTCCAAGTTTTCAGTCTGTCTTTTACGATTCACTAAATCTGGTGAATCCAGGGGGTGTCCCGATTACTTCGTTCAGTCGTTTTTCACGCAATCGTATGTAAACAACAGACATCAGATCGAGATAATGAAAGACGAGCATTGATTGATCTTGAAAGTTGTTTTGTGACCGTTTCATTTGGAGAGAAAAGTCTGTTGCTATTTTTGTGCATGGAGAGAAATTCTTTAGAAAAATTCGAGTGCGAATATTGGAAAAAATCGCAATGGACCGTCTATGGAAAATTCTAGTGCTGTTGAGGTAAAATTTCTAGGGGATTCTGGTTCAATTTCTGGGGATGTCAGTGAAAAATTAATTTATAAAATTTCCAGTGTCAGCACTGGGATTTCCCCCTGGCCGTCACTTTGCGCCATTTTTCACGCGCTCGCACTAGCATTTTTCTAAAGAATTTCTCTCCGTGTGAGAGATAAATTGATTTTCCGTCCCGGCGGGCGCAAAGTTACATTTCCCTCTCGCTTCGCGGGAGGGAACTCTGACTTTGCGTCTACGCCGAGACGGAAAATCACGTTCTAACCACGGGAAGTAAAATAAAGGACCCTCAGCCGCGTGCTTACCAACCTCGCCTTCGGCTCGGCTGGTAATTGCACTGGTGGCTGAGGATCCTTTATTTTCCCTCCCTAGGTTAGAAATATACTACTCTATCGAGGAATTTCTTCAGCAACGATGTTTATGACCAAAACAAATATTTCGGTGTCACAAGTAGATCCCTTGTTGGGATTTTAGTGGAAACTTGTTTTTCATCTCACTGTCTGTAAAATAATATTTGACGTACACTTCGTGTCCATACCGACGCCGTTTACAATCAATGTAACGGAAAATTACGACCCTCGTGGCAAAAAATATTGTTCGATACACGGACTCATATTTGCCAAAAAAAAATTTATGCGCCCTACTATCGAAATGTACTATTTTTCACTTGTGCCGTAATATTCTATTCGAACGAGTGTGAGAGTTTACACGAGTCAGAAAAGTTTTTTCGCCCGAGTGACGAATCTAATTTTTCTTCAACTGTCTGAAAACGGTGTTTGACTAATGTACTAATTTATCACTCGTCAATTGAGATTTATGGTCAGGACGAAGAAATACTCACTTCTGGAATTCGTGAAGAAGTTGCGTAAAATCACAGTACTCATAAAAGCAAAATCAGTGATTTGACGTGAATAGAGTAGAATTGAGTGATTTCAATATTTCGAAATCATCTCGCAAATTACGGTGGAGGCTTTCGGAGTCAAAGAAATCAATCAAAATCAATAGAGCAAAAGTTCGAAATTACTTGCATCATTCAAATACGGAAAATTTAACTGTAGAATTATGCATGTGAAAACTTGCTTTGCAATGCAAAGTTCAGAATTTCATTATTTATTAACGCATCGTTTTTCGTCATTATTTACTTCAGATTACTATGTTTTGGTGACCAAATTTTGAAAATTCATTCAATTCATTCAATCACCCATGTTGTCCAACCTCCTCTCGTTTATTACATTCTTCCTCCGTGACCTCCACGGCTTAATTGCTCCTGAAATATTTTATCTCTCATGTATACAATCATTCAAAGTCAATCGCAGTCACGAAACAATGTCACATAACGCTTAAAGTCAACGACATCAAAACTTTTCGGCATCGAAGCCATTAAAGTCCACACTATAAACGCGTGAAATCAACTTCATTTTCAAATTATGGTGGGACTTAATTACGAAGTGAGTGACCCCTCGAGTCAGAGGCAATTGGTTCCTCTTGCATTCATCATGCTCATTGAGATTATTTTCTTGTAGGGAATGGAGACATGGCGATGAGTAATACACTGGGTGCCAATACACTGGACATCCTCATGTGTCTCGGATTGCCATGGATAATTAAATCAGTCATGTCTGGATCGGACATTGTCATTGAATCTGGCGCTATTACATTCAGTGTTCTCTCGATCATTGTGTGCGTTATTGGATTCTTCAGTGTCACAGCGTACTACAAATTTCAATTGAACAAACGAGTTGGTATTGCCTGTTTAATCATGTACTTATTATTCTTAACATTTTCGATTCTACTGGAGTCGAATGTTTTTTGGCAGGTCAATCTACCCATGTGTGAAAACTGAATATAATGGTTAATATTAGAGAGGGTAGGGAATTCACTTTGAGAGAAATATCGGTATAATATCACAAAACTAGTTTCTTGGGCGAAATATTTCCCCTCTTGAAGATAAATTGCTTGAGACATGAATTCCGCATAATAATTCAGATAACGTAAGAATTCCGTGAAGTGTTCATGACTTGAACATGAACATTTCACGATAAAGTGAGAATGTTTTGCCTCACGAAATCGTTTATTTCCTGTCACTGGGAATACTCATTTCTGCATATTATTTTTGATCATTATGTATTCATTTATTCATTCAAAAGGAGTTAATGGCCGCTTTTATTACGTTCAGATTTGAAAAAAAAATTGGGAAAATGATCTTTAAAAGTTTTACGACGAATTAAAAGTATTATCGCCGTGTGACATTCAATATTTTATGCCGCTGGGCCCGAAAAACCGCGATTTATCGGGCATAGTGTCGTAAAGTGCCTTTTCCTTCACTCGTAAACGAAATGTCTTTTCGTTTACTTGTAAACGAAAAGGGCAGCACTCGTTGAACGTAACATCACTAGCAAACAATACAGTTCGAGACATGTGCGATGGGGATTTTTCAGCTTGTGCGATTGGCACCCCTCGGTTTCGCCGCGGGCCTTCAGCTTCACACTCGTAAAAACCCCGTCGCACTTGTACCGAAATATATTATTCGCGATGCTAAATACCGAAATATACTATTCGCGATGCTAAATTGAGCAGTGGCGGCGCTGGAGCTTACAAGATTGCTGACATAATATTTTCCGACTGAAATTTTTCACTCAAATTTTTCACTTTCAAGTCCTAAGGGGATAAATGGAGTAAAAACCCATTTATTATTGAGGAACATAATCGAGTCAGAGACAAGCCCCAATTGTGTGTATCAATGCGAAGCTTCCCCTAATACAATTTTTGTTGATTTCATTCGAAACGTTTTATGTTGGCCATGTTAAAGCATCAGCGCCACCTCGCGCCTAGTTAACATCTCGAATAGGCCTTCCAGCATAAGTTTATCCTCTGGTGGGAATCCCCTCTACACATGATTCCCACTTATATCCGTCTCCCACGCCTGAATACGAAAAAAAAAGATTCTACTGGAAGGGCTATCTTTTCATTCAGTATTACACTTCAACAATTCGAAGGTCACTAGTTTTTTGCCAAAAATTTACCATGAATTGATCGAATACGTGTGCGATGTACTTCAGTCAAGAAATTATTTTTGTTATAACATGTCAATTTTTCTCTCAGTGCACTAGTCACATTGTTAAAATCCATCGATCATCAATCATCTCGTTATCATCCTCATGCCTGACGTTATTATTGTTAAATAGAATGTAAGATTAATCCTTAATTTTAATGAGCTCTGATACTCAACAGAAGAAAAAATTATTTGCTGCCAAAATAAACTTTTATCGTGAGATTGAATGTCAGATGTTACTCATTGAAATTGACTACGTGCGTCACTTGTTTGTGAATCTCTTCTAATTAATCAAGAGTCGTACCGATGATTTTTGCGATAATGGGAATGCAGAAAATCTGAGACAAGGTACAAATTGCAATTAATAACAATGACAAATATTTGTTCGCACTCTCATTCCACCGCGATTGAAACTTTATTAAACAATTGGCATTGTTGATGTAACAACTTGAAAAACAATATTTTTTCATTATGTTTTTTTTTGTTTCTTTTTAAAATTATTTATCATCGCATTATTTCACTGCACCATCGACGTCAAGGTATCAAATGTCGTGCCAGTGACCCACTGATTATAATATAAATTTCATTCTTGTTTCGTGTCATCGTTAAACCATATACATGAACACATACAATAATGTACAAGTGTCGACGCTGGTAAAAAATGAACGTTTTACATTAAAAAACACAATTAGTTTATACAGTTGTTTTTCATTAATATCGCAGCAATGCTTCATTGATTCGTATTTCCGGTTGATTCGACTGAATGAAACGCCAATTTGTCATTCCTCGAGTGCGACATGATGTATCGAATGGAATAAGACGTCTTTTTCATCGTATTTTTCTCAATCAATTTATTCTAATTCACTAGAAAGTCCGCGGTCTGATTCTTATTGGTGCTTGAGAGGTGATAAATTGTCAGGACTATTCCGCTGAATGAAATATTCGATTCGATGTACAATACTGCTAGTTCCTGCTGTCAATTATAACAAAGTCCTTTCGTAATGACACAAGTAGTCACGAGCATCACTCCTCCAATTATTCTCGTGACCATCAAACAAGCTGATGACGTTTGCAATTTTGTAGTGTAACGTATTTTGATTAGAATTATATTCATGATGGGCTTCTCAGTACATCGAATGGCAAATCAAAATTTTAATCATCAATCACGAACGTCAATCCGAGGAAAATGAGACACCGACGTCATGATTTATTTTCCTTAATAACGATTGATTAAAGTTTCTTAATTCTCTCTAATGATTAAACTTGGATATGTTCTAGATGAGTATGATAGTTGAAAACATCGGTATTTCGTGTTCCTCATTTGTCAGTTCGCGTTGAAAAATTTCTATGCAACTTCAATAATCTATAAAATCGTGAAAATACGCTATCAATTATCAAGAAAAATCGTGAAAACTGGTAATTATTTGATTGGGTTGCTACACGCCTGAAAGATAGTCAAGATGATTTCGTTTGAAAATAATCTAATCATCCATGAATATGGATCAACCCCGATTTCTTTACCCTTTTCATTCATCCGTCTATATCGTCTCTGGTAATATGGGGATAATTCATCGAGACTGGTAGTTAATCGAGTCATGAGAAGATTATGTACGTCTTTATAGAAATCTAAGGAAGGCTGCAAAGCTTCGCGAAAGACGAAAGATAATAATACTCGGAGAAATTTGCTAATGAAATGGGTTTTTCGCGTTATCTGTCTCTTCCATCATTGCTTGCATGGCTAAAGCTGAATTTTTTAAAAGATAATCTGTTTTTTTTTTCGTTCTTTACATATTACAATTTTTTTAATATAATTTCTCCCACCCTCTCCCTTGAGGTCGTAAGGCAGTCTAAAGCGATTCCTCGACTTTCTGCATCGGTGCTTTCGTGTGACCGTTATTTATTAATTTTTCTTCATTATTCTCGTAAGATTAGATTGTTTTGCGATAAAAAATATATTATAAGTTGCGATTCAACGTATTATTATATTATTATATTAAATTGAAAATCCTCCTATGCCCTATTGTTCTTTACGTGTAAAATATTGATATTCCTATTATTTTTAAATATTTCTTTATTGAGTAATTATTTTTTTTTGTTCGTTTATTTGTTTTATGATCATTATCGCAAGCGGATAGAACGGTCTGGCTGAAAAACTTTATGGCCGGGCACCACTGCGCAATTTATTTCATAGTGTTAATCATTTAATTTAGGGTTTTTTAAATTTCACTTTATCATTGCGTTATTTCACCTATTGTATTTAATAATAATCGGGAGAATAGATTTTTCAACTTTTACCCTATTATCGACTAGAAATTCATCTCAATTTTTTTTCCCCAAATCTTCATCATCTGGTTCTCTGTCACTATAATCTTGAATAGAATTAGTTAATTGTTTCGAATTATTATTAATTTATTTTTCACCTTCATCTTCGCGTAATTGTTTAGTCTATTGCGAAATCTATACGTGAGCAATGAATGATTAAAAATACGTTGGAGGGATAATGTGCTCATTCGTCAGACAATAAAGCACTATAAAAATCAAGTTACCTCTTGACTTCTATACCATCCTTTTCTAATCATTTTCTCTTATCGATTGATCACCAAATTTCATTGAAATCGATGCAACAATTCCTAAAAATTTTCAGACACCCTTTCTCGAAAACAAATCATACGTAATATTGAGCGAACTGTAGCGCTCTCGATTGCCTCATTTCGAATACTGGGAATTGATACAAACAAAATTTCACCCACTCTCGCGCCGTCTGCCTTTAATTTCCTAGAGCACCGGATAGAATTGATCAGTTTAGCGAATATCTTTGCCTCCTCGACTACTTTATTTATTCAGCAAATTGGAATCGAAATTGATAAGTCCTATGACGAAACCCAAGTAACACCGGGCATTTTTCATTCTCAAAAAATCCTACGTCTGAGGATCTAAACTGTATTTTATAAGAGAAAATTTATCATTAATTCACTAATTCATTAATTATTCGTGTTGAGGATGAAATCCTATCGTAAAAAGGATTGAAAGGAAATAGGAGACATCCCTTTGTTGCAAATTATTCATCCCTCATACCCGTTAAAATTGCGCTGAATTTAGTGTCTCGAGTGACTTCGAAGTATTGTCGTCGAGTATTTTGGTATGAATTTAACAGGATAATGTGACGAAGGGGGTACCATTGAGAGGACCCTGAGATAAACAACATATCCAACGACAATTATCGTTGGCCTTTGGATGGTATGTCAAGTTGGCTCACTGTATCTCACAGAATGGTAGTTTATTGGTCACTTCTTTGGTCTGCTCCTGATCATGACTGTGGCCAGCTTCGCTCTTGGGGCTACCCGCCCCGTCCTCTAGACTGCCCCCAGCACTGCTGTGGGGGCAGATCGATTGTCATCTAAGCGCCAGAGTGGACACCATCGGTGGACGGCACGGTTTATTATCGAGTATTCGCTCGATCTCGTTCATCATGTTTGTGTTGAGCTTCGGTACGAGCTATATTTAGATAAGTTTCAATCAATTAATGCGTTATATGTGTAATTATATTGGAGATTAAAATATGGAAACATAGTTTTACACAAAAAACCATATGAAATGAGAGGGAAATTGCTCTTGAATTGATATTTCGCATATCAGTGCCTTCTGTCATGTATAATTATGAAGTTTCCGAAGGTTAAACAATTTTCATTATTTAATTACAAAAAATTAATGTAAAAAAGACGGGTTTTTCAATATTTGTTTTTAATTCTTCTTGTCGGATTTAATTGGGAAATTTGATGATTTAAATTCTCGAAATCATTAACACACTGTGAATTTTTTTTTTCAATTTCGTGGAAGATACACGGAGAGAAAGTTTCTAGAAAAATTTTAGTGCGCGTACTGGAAAAAATTATAATCCACCGACTGTGAAAAATTCTAGTGCTCTTAAGGTAAAATTTCTTGGTATTTCTGGTAAAATTTCTGGGGATTTCTGTGAAATTTTCAGAGAAATTCGGGTAATAGTTAGCGTTTTCCCTAATAAAATTTCCAGTGCCGGCACTGGAATTTTTTCCTGGCCGTCACTTTGCGCTTCTCTTCCCGTGCTAGCACTAGAATTTTTCTAAAAAATTTCTCTCCGTGTCTTATAGTAAATCTCATGAGAGTGCCATTGAATCCGATTTATGGAAAAAATTGTTATTTTTCAGTAGAACATGAAGATTCAGAATCCACATGACATGAATTTTCAATTTTTCCCTGAACTTTCCTCATTTTTCTGAATTTTCAGAGAATCATTGAACTGAAAAATCAAGTGCTTTATTGATTTCCAGATCATTTGAACAGAAAATCTCTGAAATATTTCATTTTTCAATGACCAGATTTCCTGAAATTTCAGTGAAACTTGAACACGATAAAAATTTCCGGAATTTAGCACGGAAAATTCAGACGAAAATTTTTAACAGTGGTCCATATGGAACTATGAAAGCTACTCGTACCTGAAAATAATTTTGATCGAATAATACTGATTATAATGATAACAGTTCAATAACATTATACTGCTAAAGTTCATAATCATTTCATCAAGATATCGAAATGAAGATTGCAACCAGCAAATTTGTGGTAAATTCTGCCTGATATAATGAGCTCACCTGTAGACTCTGCAGACTCTCGTAAAGCTGATCAATATTAGACGCTCCGATAAGAAGGCACTGGACACTTTCATTCTTGAGGGACCACGCAATAGCCAATTGTCCAAATGTGCATCCGAGTCTCTCCGCGAGTGAGCACACGTCCCTCAACTTATCCGAATACTTGCGTGCCTCCTCCTCCACCGGTTTGTCCTTAGATCCGAACTCCGGTGTCATATCCCGGCGATGCTAAAGATGATTGAATTCTCAAAATTAAATTCCCACGCGGACTACTTTTTTGTTCTTCAATTTCGATTGAAAAGAGCTTGAGAAGACAGATTGAACTGAGAAACTATTCTAAAACTTTACCTCCTTGTACAAAGATTGCGTCTCGTCCTCGGTCCAACTGAACGATGAGTATTTATTCTGCAAGCACACAAAGCAGCTATAAAGTTCAATTGCCCGCGGGATCCCAGGCAATTTAGGTTGAAGAAGATGTGGAATAAAACTTGTTCGATTTTTCATTTTACGGATTTCTCCTCCCCCTCGCCACTCTTTTCTTTTTCGTATTAAATTAATCACGTACTTGTGAGTGAAACGTCGTAAATAAAGTAGTGGGAAAGTTTTTTATGTCCTCACCTTATATGACGATCGTGAGAGGAAGGAAACACCGGTGTCGTCCGGCTTCGATGAGACCATGCCGATAGTGACGGTGGACCAGGCCATTAATCCCACACCTTGAAAAATTGGAGGCATTTTCGTTATTCCATTAAAATTGCTTATGAAAAACGGTTCTCAGTCTCTTTTATTTTATTTTAGGTGATGATGATGAAGAAGTTTCATACAAAAGCCGCATTCTAGACGGAGAGGAAAGTTGCACTCAAAAAAAATTACTCCTGATCAGTAGAAAACGTACTTCTACCCAGTACCAAGGGGTTTCTGGGGAAACGGAAAATTTTGTACTTCCACGAAGTCACAAAAGAACTGGATGCAATTATCATGCGTCAAGTACCTGGGTACTGGTGAGAAGTACCTCAGTACTTGTCACAAGTACTTTCGTTAGTAGGGACAAGTAAAAAAAGTACTTGTACTGAGTAGCTGGCTAGTTTTTTTCAAAAGTACCACCAGAACTAAATATAAGTAGCAATAGTACTCAAATCCAGTACTCATAATTTTTTTCAGGAATGCATTCAAAATTACAAATGAGGATCGAAATGTTGAAGCCCAAGTTAACGCACAGACAAATCTGACGGTAAAATATGTTTTTGAAATGGTCATTCACGTTTTCAAAAACGTAATTTACGATTTTATCATACGGATAAATTACGCTTTTGAGATCATAAATTACGGTCAGAATAATGTGAATTACGATTTCAAGAACGTGAATTACGATTCTCAAAATTGGAAATCAATTCGGTTGGGCGAGCACCCATAAAAATCACAATCTACTGATTTTTTCCTACAAAATATCTTCTCCTGAATATTTTACAAAAATGCGCAAGAAAGTTCATTTTATCCATCGATAATATTCGCTTCTCTCAATGAAGTAATCAATTGAAAGTACTGAAATTAATTCATAAAAATAGTTCAGAGGGGGTACTTCACTCAATGATACAAAAAGTACTTGGGACAAGTATTTTTCGAACTTTTCACAAGTGAATTTCCCCCAAGTTCACTTGTTCAGTCAAGTTGGTTAATTTTCCACAAGTTAATCTGATCTACGTAGATCATATAATTTTTTGCAGAGTTATTTTTTCCTCTGTGTAGGGTATTTTCATTCTGACTCCGATGTAGAGGACATGGGGACGGACGAATGTGAATTTTTATTTTAATAATAATAATGATAGTATTGATATAACATTATTGAATTTATTAGGAAATTATTATTATTGAATAATATTAGAAAATTTAAGATGGTTTGGATTTTGCATTTGAATTTCTTATTCCCAAAAAAACATCTATAATAATAATAATAATAATAATAATAGTAATAATAATAATCAATAATAATAATAATTTTATTGCGTACATAAATTTCGTTTTTTTACACATTCACTTGACAACAAAATTCAAATCTTAAGTTTAAAATAATAATAATAATTATACACATCAAAACTGCAGTACTTTTCCGAACTGAAAATCCTGCAGCTCTTCACTGAGAGTTTCTCCAATCCCTTCACAAAAAGATAAATTTCTTGTAATGGGTGAGAAGATAGTCATAAAACAGGATACTGCTTCCGATCACTGGCACTCCAGGTGCCTCATCCGCCTCCACAACTTCCATCTTTATGTACCTGTCCACTTTAACCAAGTAGCATTTTACGCGCTTCTCTTCCGCTGAACATTCTCCGAGCTTCACAAAGGTCAGTGCAAATCTTCCTGTTTTGTTTCATCCCCATGTAGCTTCCATTTTCCCCTTTTTCTCTTCCGCAGAAACAATCGCTCAAAAGGCGTTTCATGTAATTCAGTAGCTCCCCGATGAGGGAAGTTATTCTACTCTGATTTATGGCGATAAAAGAATTCTATGCAAAAGGCCAATTACACCCAAAGGAAAATGTATTTCTCACTAGTACCGACCGGCACTTGGGAGAAGTTGACGTGTGAAAAGTTCGAAAAATACTTGTTCTAAGTGCTTTTTGTATCCTTTAGTGAAGTACCATCTCTGCCGATCAAATAGAAATAGTAATGGGAGGAAGTAGCTTCACTACTTTTTTCTAGTACTTTTAGTGCTTTTCACAAATACCAAAGGTACTGGTGAAGTGTAATTTTTTATCTTCTCTCAAGTCCTTTTATGACTTAATTTCAGTACTTTCAATTGATTGCTTCATTGAGAACAGTGAATAGCATCGATGGATAAAATGAGCTTTCTTGCGCATTTTTGTAAATAGAAGTATTCAGGAGAAGATTTCCAAACCGAATTTTTATTTATCGTTATTTTACATCGCTACGATCCGGTTGGGGTATACTGCGATGACGATCAAGACTTTAAGGATGTTCGACACCCTTTTAGCCAAAATTGACGTTGTTTTCATTTTTCTGGCAAATTATCGATGGGAGTGACGTGAAAAAATTACGATTTAAATTAACGATTTTGTGGTTTGTCATTCTTCAATGGCTCACGAAGTTGCGTAGTGGTGCGATAATTTTCATGCGTTTTTTCTACAGTTTTGTGATTCTTTTTAAAAGTTTAGAGAGAACGCAGGAAAATGTTCGCACCATCTTAAAATTTCGTCAGTCATTAAATAATGACAAAACGCAAAAACGTTATATTTTTTCACGTCAATTCCATCATAAGTTTGCCAGAAAAATTAAAAAAACGTGAATTTTGGCAGAAAGGGTGTAGAACATCCTTAAATGGTTAGATCTCATTCTACCCGGTCGGGTTTTTAACTCGGAACCTTTCGCATGTGACCAAACCGAATTGATTTTCAATTTTGAGAATCGTAATTCACGTTCTTGACGTCGTAAGAACCCTATGCAAAAGTCGAATCAGATGTAAATGAGGAGTTGTTAACGTTCACAACTTCAGCAGCCGCGGAATGTTCTGTGTTAAATTGGTAAAAGTTTATCACGCCGATGGGTTGGATGTTACATATATGAAATATCTTTCGTCCCTTCTGCCTCCCACGTGATCACCCATCCACTTAGTGATCACATTTATCGCATAACTGAGGAAGTCCTGCCATTGCAGGTCGCCATCCCCTTAGTTCTTGATTTATTCATCCACGATTCCATTTCTCTAGGGTAAAGTCCGGTGATGGACTTAATTTGCATATTTATCGAAGAACAACTCAATGAGACCTTGTGGAAGATTCCCATATTATTTTAGCTGGGACTTATTTTATATGGGTCAATTCGATCAATTGATTCATCTATAATAAGTTCATTATTCCATCTATTCTATTCTTCTAAAAGTCGACTTGTCAAGACGGAAAACCCCATGTTATGTTTAATCCAAGAAAATTCATTTGCAACATAAGTTATGAATTATGCAATGATCACATTATAATAATTAATTTTCTATTCCCTTAATTGTTAATAACAAAAATACTCAGCAAATTTTATTGATTTTCAAAATAAAATTCTTCCCATGGAATCTTTTTATTAAAAGAAAACGCAGAAAAGCTGCAGAATTTTTAAATAGAATGAAAAACTAATACAACCGCAACAGGAATCCAACAACATTTTTTTAGCGAATTTGATAGGTTTTATAATAAAATATTCCAAGGGTCAGATTAAGGGTCACCAGGGTCAGAATAAGTGTTACGAGGGTCATGTTAAGGGTCACAAGGGTCAGATTCAGGGTTAAATGGTGCAGATTGAACGAGGCCTAGTTTTTTGTAGGAACATGCAGAACATACAAAATACGTTTCTAATATTTTCTGATTCTCTTTGCACTCACGACTATGGAAAATTTTCTCTATAAAAATTGAATTACGATGCATTCAATCACAAACATGACGCCAATAATCAATGTTCCTATGATAATTACCTATTTTATTGTACAGCTCTGGCATATAAAGCTCCGGTTTGTCCCTGTAGAAGAGATGATACTCTGCCTGTTCCACAATAGGTGTTACACAATTGAATTGCCGGCAATTGGTGTAAGCCTCCATTATCTCCACGGGAGTCCACCTCGATGTACCCCAGTACATGACCCACCCTTTGCTGATTACATAATTCATCGCTCGTACGATCTCTGTAAATATTTTCCTATTATTTTTATTATAGCAATGTCTGACCACGTAGCACTGCTACTACTGTCGGCTGTCGGTACGTCTGGTATCGATTGTTCAGGGTGAGGTTTTCCGGATTTGATCGCAATATTTTTTGCTTTTTATGTCCTCACCTTCCATCGGGCACATTGGATCGACCTTATGAATCATCACAATGTCGATGTACGACAGCTGCAGCCTCGCTAGGGACGCCTGTACAGATTCGATAATGTGTTTTCTGGACAGCCCACGCCCCTCAGTTCTAAAAAAATCAAATTACATTTACATATTTCAATTTTTATGAATATTGCTTCTATTCAAAATAGAAAAAGCGACGAAATTAAATTTCGGGTTTGCAAAAGAAGTTTTTTTTTATGAAAAAAAGTGAGAATTTGGGATTTTTTTATTAATAAAATGATCTTACGTACGAAGAAATTCACAGAAAAAATAGCGGATTCCCTGGAAAAATCGTTTGATAAACTAGTGAATTCATTCATTTTTTTTATCGTTATATTACTGGTTAGATCGCACCATTCTACCCGACCGGGATTTGAACTCGGAACCTTTCACATGGGAGGCAACGCACTTATCCACTGCGCCAAGCCACCGGGCTAGCGAATTTATGTTGTAAATTCTTTTACTTTTACACCGATTCTCTGTTGAACAATTCCGCAGTTTTGCTAAGCGTTTTCTAGATAAAAATATTTCCTGGAAAAGGTTGTATATAAATGCAATAGAATCCTATTTTATATACAACTTATTCTATTGATTTTGTTCCTAAAGAATGTCCTCAGTTAGAATTTTCCAAGTTTTTTACTTGAATTTTAAGAAAAAAAAACAGTGAAAAAAAAGAAACTTTCTATAGGAAATAGTCTCACTAGAATAAGTTGTATGAAAAAATCGAAATCTATTCCTTTTTCTATAACATTCCAATAAAATAATTATTCCAATTGAAAACTTGTAGCTTAATTTTTAGTTGTGGAATTTTTCAATGAAGTCGGTAAAAAAATTGATAGAATTTCTAATAGGAGTCCAATAGAGTTCCGTAGAATGCGCTAGATTTTTCTATGAAATTTTTTCGTACGTGCCCTCTCTTCCATGAAATATTCACCGTTCAGATCCTCATCAACACTAAGTAGTCAAACCCGAAATCAGATACTCCTCTAACTACCTCTAATACCCAATTAATCCCACGACTGCATCAACAGATTAAAAATAATCTTATCGATTTCGTCGATCACACGAGGCATAAAATGGTGTAAATAAAAAAAACTCGAAAACCAGAGCAAGGTTGGCAAGACATGTCTCAATAAAATGAGCAAACGTAGTTTTTAAATAACTCGGAGTAAAAATAAATTATATGCGTTTTGGTCAAACTAGTTGGGAATGTTTTCGTGTCACTGATGGCGTATTTACCAGTCCGGAAGCCTCGAGCTGTGAATCGTCTCATCTGATATAGAAGAAGAATCTCATTGATTGTAGGAGGAAGTAGGGCAAAATGGACCATTTTGGATCGTAAATAATTCAGAATGAAAATTAATTAAAGTCGCTTCGTTTCCCAGTTCTTATTTAAGCGTTAAAATTATACTCATCTAAATCGAATTCTTCAAAATGACCAATTCCCCGCATTCCCCTACATTTCAATTGAATTAAAACATGTTGTATGCGTATTTTTTATTTTACGCTGTTAAAAATTTTCGTCTGAATTTTCCGTGCCAAATTTCGGAAATTTTTATCCTGTTCAAGTTTCACTGAAATTTCAGGAAATTTTACCATTGAAAAATCAAATATTCCATTGGTTTTCTGTTCAAATGATCTAAAAATTAATAAAATATCTGATTTTTCAGTTCAATTATTCTGTGAAAATTCAGAAAAATCAGGAAAATTCAGGGAAAAATTAAAAATTAATATCATTTTGTTGCTGAATATTCGTGTTCCACCGAAAATTCAATCAAGTTGTGAAATTTCCATTTCACTTCCACTTAAAACTCATGAATTTCCTTGAATTCTACCTAAAACCATAAATTTCCTAACCGTTTTTCTCCTAAGTCCAATTCAATGTCACTTTTATGAGAATTACTATATCATATTTTCCATGAAATTTCAAAAAATTTCTAACAGTGTGCTTATTATAATGGCTTTGTTTTTTGTTCGCGACGGGAAGCCTTGTATTTTACCGATTTTACGATTTTCTGAGACTTCATACCCGTATTTTTGAGGGTTTAATATAAATAAATGTGGACGTCAACATGAAAAGGGGCCACTTTGTCGATTCAAGTTTCCGAGATATTTACGTTTTTGTGTCAGCAACTCCCATTTGTACCAATGTTAAATTGTTTTTTCCATCTTTTCCAACGACGTCATTTTTGACCCTATGAAGATCATTTTGGGCTCAAAGTGTGCGGAATGTTATCAATATTATCAGAGTATACCTAACACCACATCGACAAAGTGGTCCCTTTTCATGCGGACGTCCACAAATATAGTTTCCTCTGTTGGCTAGCACATTATCAACAGTGTGAGGGGTAAGGGACACAATAGTGTTCATAAAGCCCATATGTGAGCAACTTGAATAATTAATTAAAAACAAACGAAACGATAAAACTAATCAAAATATTTTTTACAATTTTCCTTTTACGATTCGTCATTACTAAATGACATATTCACTTCACTAGCACATTGTTATTTTGTGGCCAAAATTCAGTAATGAAGCGGTAAACCGGGTCAAGTCGTTTTTTACTTTTGGTCAGTTTTCGATGAATATTTCGGAATCTAAGAGAGATAGCAAAATTTTTCTCAAAATATTTTTTATAACCCTTATTTGGTTCTACAAAAAAGGTTGTGATAAAAAGTGTTGTATCTCTTTTAGATTCCGAGATATTCGTCAAAATCTGGCCAATAGTCAAAATCGACTTGACCTGGTTTACCGCTTCGCTGCTAAATTACTGACGCGACCCCGTGATTCTTAATTCTTAAGTTTTAAACAGTGTAAAAAAATGGATAAGTACATCAAGAAATAAATGAACAAATAAATGAATAAATTTGTCAAATGTGTTGTTTTTTTCTTCTAGTCAATTTCCCAAAAAATATTGACAAATTTTTCTTAACCTACTTAGTGTTCCAATAGATTTTAGTGGTGACAACATAGCTGGAACGATTCCAGGATCGCCGCAGTAGAATACGACCGAATTGAGTCTCAGCGCGGTGGCCGCTGTGCGCCTCGCTCAGGTCAAATACGTTGATACCACTGTCGTAGGCCAAGGCCACAACAGCCTCAGCAGTCTCCTCGTTCGTACATCCCCCGAATGTTGTCCACGTACCTGTGTGCATTCCCCAAAAAACACTAAAATGTTACAGTCAAATACTGACGATCCTGCCGTACACAAGGGCATCGCAGATAAAAGGGATGCACTGAGAGAAAAATCTGAAGTTCGATTTACAATAAGAAAATAGTTGAGGCATTTTGGTGAACGATACGATTTTTTTGTATGCGGCACATAACATTAGAGTAACTTCACAAGCGTAATTTTTGCAAATCAAAATGCAGTTAAACTAACCAAAGTTCAAAAGTAACCACGACAAATCTATCGTGAGGAGAACTATAAAATAGTTGCAATGACTACATTCCATTGTAGTAATTACTTCTCCGGCCATGGTTACCGTAACCCATGAAAAATTGTTGCGGACATTTTGACTATAATTCGATGGTGATGGAATATAGTCAGAAGAATTATATTTTTCTCTCAGTGTGGACCGGTGGATATAACATGCGGGTATCGATTCATTCGTGCCGCAGGGATTCAAGTGGCATCCTGGTTTAACGTGTATCTTGTTCCAGTGCCCTCGTGGATACCCAGGGTGGAATGTTTGTTAATCAAAGGTCACGCAGATTATCGATAGCAAGCCGAACGTGCATTCGCCGTTTGTTAGGAGGAGTACCATTGCCATCAATGTCTCTCTCATCGAGACTTGTCCTTTGTCGCTGTAGTAGTCCAGTAGAGGGAAATGTCTGAGTGATTTTAGAGTGAAAAAGAGAATTTAAGTGAGAATTCTTCCCATCCAAATTTCAGCCAATAAAATTCCCCTAGGAGAATGTTATTTTATAGTCAACACGGTATTCAACTGATTATTTTTGGTAATCGGATCTGGCCTTCCCTGGGCCAATCAGAGTTCAGTATTCAATAACATGAAGTACTTGCCAATTAAAATTACAGCGGTTGTTTCCCCCTAGATTTCGATAATTTCTCTGTAGCTTTTGATAATTTACCTCTAGCTCTGCAATTGTTTCTTTAACCAAATAACTGTCAAATATTATCCTGTGGAGTGAGAGAAAGTCATGAAGAATCTCTAATCGTCGTTATGAGCAATATTCTAATTTTTACGGGAATGAGAAAATTTCTTGTCTCGTGTATATACTTCACCTTACAGTTATGAATTTTTGTAAGTTCATAACTAGATTTTTCTTGTACACTTGAAAATTTTTTGGCTGTAAATCTCCGATAAACTTTCAGGGAATTTTTATCAGATTTCAGTTCCACTAAAATTTCAAGGAATTTCGTCATTGAAAATTCAGAATCTCATGGGAAAATCAATGAGAACTACTTATGTAAGTTTAATTATTTCCTGAAAGTTAATAGAAATCCGGAAATTTTCGGTGAATATAATCTTGAATTTTCAATTAATTGGAAATTCAGCATTACTTAACACTAAATATTCATTTTTTCGTAAAAAATTATAATAAGTTGTGAAAATCTTGTCTTAATGGTGCTTAAAAATTTGGAATTTTCGGTGAAATCTGAAATTTCATAATTTTTTTTCCCCTTAAATCGCATTCAATATTCATCTTATGAAAATTACGAATCGGCTGTTCATGAAATTTTAAGTACAAGGGCAGATTATAAATCGAATGAAATTATTAAGGGTCTTTCCCGTTTTACCGCACGAGGATCAAACTTCGTCATGGTCGTGGTTATTTTGACATTTACTAATTAATTATTAACAATAATACTAGACTAAGAATTGAGCGTTAACTTGACCTGAATGCTACTATTCTTATCAACTTCCATTTAGAATTTTTTCAGATTGTAATTTTTTAAAACTGAGTTGTATTTATATTTTAAATCTACTAACAATGGGGTATTTGATTAGTGACTGTAGAAAAACCAATCATTGTGTAAAATCTCAAATTTTACAGAGGTCTCATTTCGCCCCAGTCTCCCCTACACTGATAGAAAAGATTAGTTATTGTTAATGAATGGATTTGGTTGGAGACGAGGGTCTATTTGGTTTCACCAAATGTGCATTCGTTAATAGTTACGAAATGCACATTTGAGGAGCCTTGTTTGACTCGATTTTCACTTCTCAAGTGAGCCATTCCCTAACTATTGACGAATATTCATTTCATCATATTCAACTCTATCATTTGTTAATAGTTAGCGAATCTCGTTTGCAAAAAATGAATCAGTCTATCAGTGTATGTACATTGCGCCCGCCGGCCTGAAAACTTTATTCTTCAGTAAACTCTTCGTTCAACACGCACGAAAAAATTTAATAGAAAACCTATCGAATTCGTTAAAAAATTCTATTGAATTTCTATTAAACTTTCTATTAGTTTATGACTGATTCTATTGACATGTTCAATAGAAAAAAATTCAATAGAAAAAGTTAACAGAATTCGATTTTTCTATATAACTTATTCTTTTCATATATTTTCTATAGAATTCGCTCGACTCAATTTTTCTAAGTATTTTTCATTCTATTTTTCTTTTCTTCTCACAAAGAAAATCAAACGAAAAAACTTGGAAAATTTGAGCCGAGGAGATTCTGTAGAAAATATCTCAATAGAATAAGTTATATAGAAAAATTGGATTCTATTGACTTTTTCTACTGAATATTTTCTGTTGAACATTTCAATAGAATCGGCCAAAAACTAATAGAACAAAAACTAATAGTTCAATAGAAATTCAATAGAATTTTCTAACAAACTCGATGGGTTCTTTTATTAAATTTTTTCGTCCGTGAATCCTCCAATAATTTGCAGACCGGAGCTCGCAATCAAGAAAGAAATCACCCGGCAAAGCGAACAGTATCGATAACGAGAAAAGAACAATGACTCCACGCATACGTTCATGAATCAGATTTAATTGAAAAAATAATGGAGGTAATTTTCCCGGATTGCGTAATAAACCCGTTACTTTACACCATCTCATAAATCCTTCGATAAAATTCAATGAAACCACTTTGCAACAAACGGTATACGATCCTCCTGAGACAATTGAGACTGCAACAATAGTTTGGGCGTCGAGAATGGGCTGAAAAAGGGGGAATCCCCCTCCCTGTACTCGAGGCAGAATAATCGAAACATGCTTGTGGAACGCAGAGCGATAAAAACCCGAAGTGTGGAGGAGGAAATGTAGTTCGACGATAATAAGTTCCTTCCATTGACAGTGACGAGCAGCAACGTTTAACAATGAAATCCCCCGTCATTGTGAGGAGAATAATAAGAGTGATACGCGAGGTACACACACTGGTGCATCGACAAAGCACAATTGACTTTTGTGGTTTTACCCCTGCATTTTCCCCTCATTTTTGTATTTTTTTCCCTCCAATTTTTCTCCAGTGATTGACACTCCGAGCTCTTCATGAAAGGTTGAGAGGTCGATCCGTCCTCAATTTCCAATTTCTCCCTCAGTTTTTATTCCATAACTGTCCCGCACAGCCTCATTGATGTTAAATTGACGCTCGTGATATTAAATAATGCTATTATGGCGCATTAAATTCTATTTTTAGTTATGTCTCGGTATACTTTATGTTTAAAACCGCTTTGTAAAATTGGATTATAGAGAAAGAGAGAGGAAGGATTTGATTTTTTTTCCAGAGAACGGGAGAAGTGTGTGCCCCAGATTGTCTCCACCGACGTAACACATTTGCCTTGTGATATAATCCTGTTGGCAGGTAGACAACATTCACGACTAACTCTGAATAAGGCTGATGAATATTTGATGCGTATGAACTGTTTTGATTCGGGGGGTATTTATGGGGTTATTTCGAGCGACAAAACGGTAGTTGTACACGGAGAGAAATATTCAATAAAAATTACGTATCTTTTCCGTAATTCCGGAGCGAAATGTGGTTGTAGGAAATTTTACGGAACTGTCACGGAATTTTTCCGGAGCGTTCCGTAATTTTTATCTGAATCTCTTGTGAAAAATTACGATACCGTCACTTAAATTTTCTGAATCGATTCCGCAATCGGTGTACAAGGAGAGAAATTTTTGATAAAAATTATCCTACCGTTCTATAAAAGTGTATCATGAGTCATCGTTCCCTCATTTCTATCCCGAAATTCAGTAAAAATTAATATATGATGATCAAATTTTATTCTACGTTAGAGAAATTTTATCCCGATAAAAATAAAAATTACCGTGCCGGTAGAGTAAAAATTACTGTACCGATAGGGTAAAATTTACCAACCGTTCTAGAATTTTCGTTGTTATCTACATAAAAATTATTGGACTGGAAGGATAAAATTTATTATGCGTCAGGATAAAATTTCTCTAACGTAGAATAAAATTTGATCATCATATATTAATTTTTTACAAAATTTCGGGATAGAAATGAGGAAACGGGGACTCATGATACACTTTTATAGAACGGTAGGATAATTCTTATCAAAAATTTCTCTCCGTGTATCAAAATTTTTGGGAGCAAAATTATTTTAGAGCCCATTAGAAAATTTGGGGGGGGGGAATCATGAAGTTTAGAATTTTACAGATTATTTCATTTTCTCGGGTGTCAGTCAATGGGTGATCAGTCTTCGAGGCCATCTGGCTGTTTTAGTTCGGAAATTTCTACACATAAAGATCTACAGGGAAATTTGCGGCGCAAATTGCGAAGTAGGTCTTCACTAGTTTCTTTTCTGTTCTAAGCTTCAGTTTTCCTCGTCTGGGGATTGGGTTTTGCCCTTCCTCAAACTCGCAAAAGTAAAGATTACTACGAAAAAATATGACTCACGAGTGGTGTCATGGGGTTTTTTATTCGCGCGGTTGGCCAGTCCTCGCCTGCGGCTTGGACGACAGGGATAGCCGTATCCATAAATCATCATTAACGTTAAACTTTAAAGCTGTCATTTAGTTAACATCACTCTTAAATTTTTAATTATTTTAGTAATCATCAATTTGAATATTCTAATTCTGAACTATTTTATTAATCAATAATTTAGATAGGAAGATTGCCGATTATTTTGGCAATTGGTAATCCCTTTTAAGATATTAGAATTATTTACTTGATGGAAAATTCACAGTTCCATATTATTATATATTTAATTCATCATCAATCGCAAATTTAAATTATTAATATCATACTATTTTTATATTTTGACGAGAATATTTAAACCTTTATCAACGCAAGCCGCCAATTACTTTCATATTGATGAAATTTAATATTCTAGATTATAATTTCATAATATGGCCATGCCTGCCTGAAATAGACTATTCCTCGAAATCTAATACACAAGCATCAGCCGATGTCCGAGTAATATTAGATTTCATCATTAGGTACACAAAGTACCTAGTTTCTGACGAGTTTGGTTACAATGGAGCTTTTCGTTTTCGTTTGGTTGCAATGGGCCTATTATACGTAGAAAAAAATACCAGAAAAATTACTGTGCTTGCACGGTAAAATGGGTTCATTCGGACGGACCCGAAAAAATTACCGGAATTTTTGGCTGCGCGCTACAGGAATTTTTCTCGGATTTACCGCGAAAAATTCTTGTACTCCGCAGCAAAAAATCAAGAAGTTTCCTGAAGGAAACCCTCAAGGAGTTTCCAAGAAGTTTGGAGTTTCTTGTGCCAGCACCGGAATTTTTGCTGCGTGCTACAGGAATTTTTCTCGGATTTACCGCGAAAAATTCTTGTACTCCACAGCAAATTTTCCGGTGCTGGCACGGTAATTTTTCCGAATCCGTCCAAATGAACCCATTTTACCGTGCGAGCACAGTAAGTTTTCTGGTATTTGTTTCTCCGTGTGGAAAATACCCGGCAGTTTTGAAGCTCTCGTCGTATTATAAGTAATTATTTCTTTCCGTGGATGTTCGCCAATCAAAGACCAGTATTCAACGTCATCAGGCTGTTTTATTTTGGAAATTTTTACAAATGAACATCTTATGTAGAATTTCCGCCGGAATTAGTGCACTAGCTCTGCATTTGTTGCTGCAAGCTTCGCAGTAAGCTTTCGTTTTTTTTTTCTAAAAATATAGAAATGTCGTATGTGAAACAAAGCAGAATGGACTGACTTCCTCTATCAAGGACCTATTGAACAATCACACGGCAAAGTTGCATGATCTCAAATGGTATTGTAGAATAATTCCAATAGAGTTTCGATGGGATTCCAACAGAATCCCAATAGAAACCCAATTGAATTTTCTAACGAGTACCCTATATATAGGTTCACTACTGAATTTTTTCACACGTGACGGTTTATAGAATTCCGGATTTCAGCGGAGAATTCAAGTGAATTCACCAGTTCCGAGTAGAATTAAGACGGTAATTTCACAACTCACTTGAATTTTGAATTGAACATGAATATTCAAAATCAAATTGGGCTGCATTTACAATGAATTTGGAATTCTACACTTGAAGAAAAATTTTCTAATATGTAGACCATAATTATTTGAGAGAAGTAAATTACTTTCAATTGCTTAAATCTCAGAATGTTTGCGGTTCACGGAACTCGAATGAATTTCCATTTATCACTATCGTTGCAGATTATATTATGAATATATTACATATCGAAATATTGGAACTGCATAACAAAAAAATTATGAAAACAATAAATACTTGAAGATTGACGATTCTTCTATGCGATTGGAGTGAGTTCATTTGCGACAAAATCATGCTTGAGGACACGAATATTTTAAAGCACAAGACCTTTCTCGGGCCACGTGAGTTGAGATGTCTGAGAGAATAGAGGAATTGAAGAAAAATTACTTGTCTCAAGAAAATATACTTCAGATATTAGAAATTTATTCTCTCAGTGTAAACTGTATTCCCCCAAATTGTCAATAATTTCCATAGAATAATTGAACTTGCATTCAATTTCCATTGATTTTCTCATCCAATTATAATTTTTCAAATACAAGATTTCCACTGGAGTCAGTTGTTAAAAAAATTCACGGAATTCATAAATTTTCAACAAGCAAAGGATGCACTCAGGCAACTTCCGACGAGAAAAATGTGAATGAAGAGAAGAAAATTTTCCGAAAGACCAGTGGGAAGGGACTCTCCGTGCACAGGGACTTCAAATCGATATTCCGTAGACTGATTTCTTAGAAATTGTGAATAGCGAAGAAGCGGAAAGTGTGGAGTACACACTCTATGGTCGAAACTTGTCGGGGTGGAATAAATGTTCATCTCCTTTTCGGAATAAAATATGAGTGAGAAAATGATGAAGGAAAATTGATCAGATTTGTCATTTCTGGAACATGCAGCATACCTAATCCAACATTGGAAGCACGTAGACAGTTTTTGCCCAAGTTGCACTGTTGGAAATTTTTTGAAAATTAAGCAGTAGTTGCACTTAAATTCTCAATGATGTGAATTTGAATTCAAATTAAGATCAAATCTCTCATTCAGGTTGGCAATTCAGGATAATTCGGGTTTTCAGGCTAGACTATCACTGAGATTTCAATGACACCTAGAATTTTCAAATTCATTGCAAAAATTGAACATCACATCCACCTTAATTTTCAATTCACTGAAAATTCAGGGACATCGCTGTTTGCATTTTCAAAGTATTTAATAATTGGCGGTACTATGTAGACCTGAAAATTGCGATTCCATTGAATCCTCCAGAATTCAACTGATTTTTCAATAACAAAATACAAGAAAATTTCGTATGAATGAGTGATTGTTAAAAATTTCGAGATTTTTTACTTGATATTTCAGAAGTAATTTTCTAACAATGTACGGTAACGAATACCTCAATTTTCAAATTATCAATTTTCGATTGATTTACAAATCAGAAAGAAATCGATATACGACCAGAAATTCTTTCGAAACACTCCAATGCCAGCAGTGGGAAGTCACTCGTTGAAAAAATTCCCAGAATTCATTAATTTTCAACAATCAAAGGATGCACTCACGCAACTTCCTATGAGAAAAATGTGAATGAAGAGAAGAAAATTTTCAGAATGACCAGTGGGAAGTCAAATCGATATTCCGTAGACTGATTTCTTGAAAATTCTGAATAGCGAAGGAGTAGAAAGTGTGGAATCCTATTCTAAAAAGAACATACACTTAATTTCGATAACTATCGACACCTCGCTTAAGTCTGTCACGCTTATTCCTCATTGGTTCCACTCGTCTGATTTTGCGATTTTCAATTATGATTGTTACAATTACAGCGCGCTGTAGCGCGCGTTCCGTCTCGTACACACTCTATGGTTGAAACTTGCCGATGTGGATTAAATGTTCATCTCCTTTTCCCAATAAAATATGAGTGAGTGAGAGGAATGAAATGATGATGGAAAATTGATCAGATTTATCGGTTCTGCAACATTCAGCATACCTAATCCAACATTGGAAACACGTAGACCGCTTTTGCCCAAGTTGCGGTAGCGAATACCTGGCGATGGATGTGGAGTGCGTTGTCCCTGTACCGATATACATCCAGTGAGTAGTTGTTCCTTGGTTCCTTGTTGCGTTGTGCTGCAGTGAATGTGACCAATTGAGTCTGGACCACTACCACCGTTGAACTCTTCCATACAATCCAGACTCGCTATTGGAGCACGACACCTGCATCAATAAAAGGAGTATTTCAATTATTTTGAGGCAATCCCATGGATTTTTATTACACAATTAGGGGGTCTGTTCTAAGCTCGATATACTGGCCACTCCACGGATAAAATAATTTCCATTTTACATGCATTTTTTTTTATTTCTATTGCGCTTTCATTGAAAGTTCTATAGTTTTTTACTGATTCTGCGCGGGCAACGATTTTGGGCTGAAATTTCAAGGAATTTCGTCATTTAAAATTCATAATTTCATAGAGAAATTCGGGGAAACTGTAAATTTTAGATTAATCGTTCTGGGAAAATTAACGAAAATGGAATTTTAAAACTTTTTAAGGAATTGCCTGAAAATTCAAGGAAATTTGGCAGTGAATATTAACTTCCTCTTGAAAATTCATATAAATTGCGGAATTTTCGTCTTCCCGCTGGTAAAAAAATGGAACTTTAGTTGTATTTTCAGAGAAACTTGAAATTCCATAGACTTTTCCCTGTTGAGGGAAGACTACTATGAGTTTTGAAAGTGGCGGGCGAGTGGAGTGAGATTTCTCATGCATTGAAAATCGATTATATGTGTCTAAAAACGAATAATTAGTGCGAAAAAATTGTTTATTGTTCGTTTGCCCCGCACGCGCTTAAAATGTTGAAAATAGTCCAGGGCCTCCAATTTTTGAGCTACAGAGATTTATTCTTTTCCAAATTGAAAAAAAAATGTGTACAACAATAATTACGAATTAGCTGTTTGAAATTCGACTCGAAACTTGAGACCGAGATGAGCTAAATTGACTCGGAGTCATCACGAGAGGAGTCGATACTGCGTATTTCGAGACTGAGACGAGAGCAATGATTTCCGTGTTCACTGAGAACGCGATCATCTTTCCAAGTCTTGTGTCGTAAAGTGTCTCGCGGCATCACTACAAGTGACACTATTATTTTAGGAGTTACTGCAGCCCCTAGCTTATAAGCCAGATCTTCACGCCCCGACCACACGGAGAGAAATATTCAATAACAATTAGGTAGGGGAGAGTGGGGCAAAATGGAACGTTTTGTGATCTTCTCTAATTCAGTAGCGAAGCGGTAAACCGGGTTAAGTCGATTTTTACTATTGGCTAGTTTTTGACGAATATCTCGGAATCTAAAAGAGATAGAAAGATTTTTGTCATGACCTTTTTTGTAGAGCCAACAGAGCGTTATAAAAAAAGTTATGAGAAAAATTTTGCTATCTCTCTTAGATTCCGAGATATTCAGCAAAAACTGGCTAATAGTCAAAATCGACTTAACTCGGTTTACCGCTTCACTACTGAATTAAAGATATCTTTGTTTATCAATGAAAATATTTGAATTTGGAGAAGGTCACAAACCGTTCCATTTTGTCCCACCTTCCCCTATCTTTTCCGTAATTCCGGAGCGAAATGTGGTTGTAGGAAATTTTACGGAACTCTCAAGGAATTTTTTCAGAGCGTTCCGTAATTTTTCTCTGAATCTCCTGTGAAAAATTACGATATTGGCACTTAAATTTTCTGAATCGATTCCATAATCGGTGAGCGAATTGTAAGTTCCGTAATTTTTACTGAACATTTCTCTCCGTGCATATGACTCTTACATTGCCTTATGAAGTTGACCGTGACATTGACACCCCTATTGTTTTACTATGTGAGAAAATTGTTCCTTTATCATTATTTATAGAATTGAAAATAGAAGAAGAAATCAGAGTCAACGGACTTTTTCAGTGCTGTAAAGCGACCGTCAATCCATTGTGACCCAATAGTTCTCGAGATATCTCGGAAATAAGTTCTCCACTCCAAAAATGCTTCACCATCAATATCTCTAGAAACATCGTGGCAGTATTGGTTGGCAATCACATTACGGAATTGGAAATGTTTCCGTTATTCTCGAAACATCTATTTCGTAGCTTCAGCAGTAATTCTACATCAGCTCCGTAGCCCGGCGAATTATCAAAATAAAACTGACATGACGGTATCACGTGATCCCGAAATCTGGAATTTCACGATTTTTCCCCCTGAATCGAATTTAATATTATTCTCCTGAAAATTACTATACTGTTAAAAATTGTCCACTAAAATTTCTGGTAATTGAAACGGTCTTAGAAATTTATAACAAGTAACATGTCCATTGAAATTTCAAGGAATTTGTAATTGAAAATTCATAATTCAATCGAAAAATCCGTGAAAAAGATAGATTTCAGTTTAATCATTTCGGAAAAATGAATGAAAAATCAGGAAAATTCAGAGAACTCTCCTTGAATTCCACTAATTTCAAAGGAATTCCCTGAAAATTCAAAGGAATTGTGAAATTTCCGTCTCTCAGCCGCTAAAAAATTGAGACCTTACTTAAATTTTCAGAAAAACTTAAAATTTCATTGCTTTTTTCCCTTTAAATCGAATTCAAGGTCTTTTTCCGGAAAATTCTGCCAAATTTTGTCAACACTGTAGTCAACTCCATGAAAATTCAATTGTTTTCCTAGCAGTGAATTTGTCGATCACTCCTCCCTCACAAGCCATCTATTAATAGACCTCAACTTGACTTTCTAAAAGTGTCTCTTCTATTTTTCAAGGGCCAGCCCAAGACTTTGAGGAAAGAAGTTACAAAAATACTGAAGGCGTACGCTCAGTTGCTCCGAAAAGCGAATCCCGCACATCATCGGGGTGTCTAACGAACCGTTTGAAGTTTCCTACCCATTAAACCTCGTCACCCAGTAGCGTCAATTGTCGCGCTTCCTCTCCTTTGCATGCCCACCTCCCTGAGTCCCTCCTCGTCCAAGAGCAACCCTCCCAGAGTTGGGTAGAAAGTGCCCCTGTGCATGACACCACACGTCAACGAGTCGATCATAACAGAGAAGCCAGCATAACTGGATAAATTTAACTGGAAGGAAGTCCAACGACAAACACCATATCTGGCGACATTTCAACGAAATGATTTGCTAGAAACTGCACAAGCGCATTTCCCCTTTTTCATTCATCCCTCGTTCCTCTTCATTCCTCTCTTTCTGGACCCTTTTTATTTCTTTGAACAATGCTTTTTGTTTCGCTCGCTGAGCACGTTAAGCTCGTAAAAAAGATTCTACCCTCCAACATTGCACGAGTGCCATTTCCAGAACCTATTCTTTCCCTGGTTTTACCGTATGTTGCACATGGAAAAAAAATCTTAATTCAAGAATTTTTGTGATGTTGAACTACATTGTTAGAAGATTATTCTTGAAATTTCAAGAGGAAGATCTTGAAACTTTCAACAACTACTGATTTATATGAAGTTTGTGGGGATGTCTTACACTGAGAGAACAATTTCGTAATATGTAAACCATATTTACTTGGGAGAAGTAAATTATGCGTTACCTCATGAATATATTACATATTGGAACATTGGAGGTACATAAAAGAAATCATGAGAACAATAAATGCTTGAAGATTGATGATTCTTTTCTACTGTTAGAAATTTTCCGAAATTTCACGGAAAATATAGTAGTAATTTTTTATGAAAGTGATATTGAATCCGATTTAGGGGAAAAATGATTATGAAATTTCAAGTTCTAGGTAGAATTCAAGGAAATTCATGAGTTTTCAGTAGGAGTGAGACAAAATTTTCACAACTTGATTGAATTTTCAATGGAAGATGAATATTCAGAAACAAAATAACAAATTTTCAATTTTTCCCTCAATTTTTGTGATTTTTTAAAATTTTCACAGAATAACTGCACTGAAAAATCAAGTATTTTATTGATTTTTCGATCATTCGGGCAGAAACTTAATGGAATATTTGATTTTTCAATGATAAGATTTCCTGAAATTTTAGTGAAAATTAAACATATTAAAATTTCCGGGATTTGACACGGAAAATTCAGACGAAATTTTTTAACAGTGGACACGATTTGAGTGAGTTCAGTTGCAAGAAAATCGTACACTGTTAGAAATGTTTTGCTGTAATTTCAGATATAATTTTCGGAAATTTTCATCACATTTTAATTTCACTGAAATTTCAAGGAATTTCATCCTTGAAAATTGAGAATTTCATGGAAAAATCAACGTGGACTTTAAATTTGAGTTCAATCATTCCCCTGAAAATGAGTAGAAATCAAGAAAATTCTGGTTAATATATTCTTGAATTTTTAATTAATTGAAAATTCATCGTAACTCGGCACTGAATATTCATAACTACATTGAAAATTCAAATAGATTGAGGAATCCTCATCTCAATGCTGTTTAAAAATTTGGAATTTCACGAAATTTCAGTGAAATCTGAAATTGAATGATATTTTCTCCCTTGAATCGCATCCATTATTACTCTCCTGAAAATTACTACCCGACTGTTCATGAAATTTTAATTTTTTTCTAACACTGTACTTGAGCACAAGAATATTTTGAAGCATGAGACCTCTCTCGGGCCACGTGCGTTGAAATGCCTAGCAGAATTAAGCAATTGAAGAACAATTACTGATCTGAAGTGAATATGTTTCAGATATTAGGATTTTTTCCTGAGTGAAATCTTGTCATTGAAAAATCAAATATTTCATTGATTTTCTGTTCAAATGATCTGAAAATCAATAAAATACTTGATTTTTCAGTTCAATGATTCTGTCCAAATTCAGAAAAATTAGGAAATTTCAGGGAAAAATTCATGTCATTTTGTTTCTGAATGTTCGTGTTCCACTGAAAATTCAATCAAGTTGTGAAATTTCCATCTCATTCCCACTGAAAACTCATGAATTTCCGTGAATTCTACTTAAAACTTAAAATTTCATAACCATTTTTCCCTAAATCCGACAGTGTACCATCTTTGAATTTTCACAATGTGAACGCTGAGCGCTGGTGGGCCCAGATATGTACGTCTTACCACCGTTTTGAATTTAATTTGATACCTTACTATAATAAATAATAATGTTGCCTTATGGAGGGAGGTGCCGAATGGGAAGTCCCGTAAACCTACGTGAACATCCATAATAATATATAAGATAATTCAAAGAGGTTTAAATTCATTAGCAGACACCCATCCACAATTTTGCAAAATAAATTAGTCTCGGCCGTGGTTGTAAACTGAAGCCAACATTATTTTCTTTGCAAATTCCCCAAAAACGGTATATGCCCTTTACCTGATTAACATTCGACTAATCGAATCGCCCATCGTCTAACTCCTCCACCTCATCCACTATTCAAAGATAAATAAAATCAAGCGAATGCTCGTTTCGTCATGCTGGTGCCACGAATAATTAACTCCCCCAAATCCGGAGTGTTACCTACACATCGGAACGATATCGAACGCCCCAATTAATCACTTATTCACGCCCTTAATATTCTGGGGATGGTTGACTAAACAAAGTACTTTAAAAGACAATACCAATAATTTTCCACCCCCGAGTGCCTATGGAAATAGAAAATAAACAGAATTGAAAATGAACAAAAAAAAAACAGCTAAAAGTACTTCAATTTCAGTTGGAGAACGTAACAATGGCTCGACCCTGACCCATATCCAATAACTTTTCACCGCTGAAAAGTTTTCTCGATTCTTTCCTATTTGTGTGTTTGCCGGAAAGAACAAGAAAAATTAAAACTTCATGCATAAAAAAAATTCACATCTTACCGATAAATAGTGGGCAGTGGATAAGAGTCGTCGTCCTCCATGCTGCTATTAGTGTTAGCGTTATTGTTCGTATCATTTCCCGCATTCGAGGTATTTGCTAAATTGCACAGCATTAATTGTGACATCACAAATTGAATAGGTGCGCTTGCAAAGATATAGCAGCGCGTTACCCCGTCCTGGCGGTACGTACATTCGGTGTTAGCTTGAACCGATCTGATGCCCCCCTGGTAGATTTTACAAAACCCACCACTGAATATTTATCCCCGTAGGTTAACACAAACAAATCTGCAGAAACAACCAAAATTATGAATTTTTCAAACTGCAAATATCACTCATTTCTCCATAACTCAATCGATGAATTTTCGCGGAAAAATTGTCGTTATTGCACTTGCAGTATTAGGCACTAGTTTATTGAAACATTATTAGGCACCTAAATTTTTGTTGTCACTATTATCGTAATTAACGTTCAATTTTATCTCCTTCTCACAATTATTTATAACTCATTTCTTTAACATCACGTTCTTTATTAATAATTGAATCAATTATCCATTAAAATGTGAGTAGATGAATTAAATTAAGCCATGAGAATACCTCCCCCTCCCAAACAATAATTCAACGACAACAGAAAAACACCCCTCGACTATTTTGACCCGCGACAAACCCCCGAACAATAATTCTGAACCGAAGAAACTGGACACCGTCAGGTCGATATGGGCCTGGATATGTGGCTAGCATCCACCCAACCGAAAAAACCCTAAGAACATCCCCCCCAGCCCCTCAAACTCACCTCCATCCGAATCTCCGCCAGAAGACGTTCCCCACCGGAGAAAAAAAAACACCCAAAAATCCCCCCCCGAATCAAAAAGTATCCCTTACTCCAGCAAACTCCTCCCCTCCGTCACGTACCGTGCGTCATACTCGGCATTTTCAAGTACACCCTCGGTAACATAAACTCACAATAATCTACCCCCTCGACGATCCCCCCGACCACTTTTCCAAATTCAAAAATGCAAATTCAAACAAATGAAAAAAAACATGGTAATTATTGATCTCACGACATGTTTTGTCAACGAAAATTTTCTCACAAATATTGAAACAATTAAAACATTTGTGAAAAATAATTGAATTTTAAAAGCGGCTAGTGTTGTACTCCCTGGCCGCAGTAGGCAACACTGCGCTCGGTACTCAGGTACCCGTGCCAGGGGGTGGTTGGTTTGTTCGGTGGTGTACGAAAGTGGGTGAAGGGGGTGGGGGACATTCAGTTATATATACGGAGGAATAAGGTGGGAGGTGAAAGATGAAGCGATTCAGTGTTTGCCGGTGTGACTGAGACAAATGGATAAAGAGCCAGTGGTGGATGGGATGGGGGAGGGAGAGGGAGAGGGAGAGGGAAAGGGGTGGCGAGGGAGAGGGAGGGGGAGGGGGGTTTAAGCGGCAAGGGCGCATGACACCGTTGCATCCAGCGCATGGATCGACTTGGGTATTTAATACATATATAGGGCTGAATATATATGGACACAGTTTAGATAGGTGGGAGGCATGCAACCAAGTGCATGCTGCGGGAGGGAGAGAGAGGGAACCTCGTGGGTTTTGGGGAGTCGCACGGGGTGGGGGCGGGGGAGACCAGGTTTTCGCGTATAAAACGGTGCAACGAGGGGTGGTGGTGGTATATGTACCCGAAACGAACTCAACGAACTCTCGTCGGCAACGCCGCATTGCAGATCCAAACGCTGACGCGAGAGATAGCTGCAGGTTCTCGGAGAATGCTGGGTTTTGGTTATTTATGCAGATTTTTTTATGGGGCTGAATCAATGACTTTTGGATGATATTTAGCGGTTTAGCAGGGGCGGGAGGGAGTTCTTTTGAATTTGCTGGAATTTGATTGAAGGTTTTGGGAGGGGGAAATTTATTTGTGCTGAACCAATGGTGTAATTGGTTAATATATGGATTAATAAATATGCTCAACAATTTTACACGCGTGATGTGGGTTTACATCACGCGTGATGGAAAGATTTGTTGGAAATTTTTGAGGGAATATTTTCAACAGTGCAGTTTTTTATGACGTTTAATTCAATAACTTGGCAATAATGTTCAGTAATTTAGGAATGGGGTCGGGAATTTCTCCTGAATTCATTGAAATTTAATTGAAGGCTTTGGGAGGGAAAATTTATTTGCGCCGAACCAATGTTTAAGGAAAATGAAGGCTCAAAATTTTTTTACGCGTTATCTAGATTTACATTGTTGAAAATTTTTGGGTTGAAATTTGTAACAATGCAAATTTGTGTATGACGTTTGATTCAATAACTTTTGAATGGTATTTAGCAATTTAGGAATGGAGCACGGGGAATTCTTCTGAATTTATTGAAATTTAATTTAAGGTTTTGGGAAGGGAAAATTAATTTATACGGAACGAATGGTTCGGATGAATAAATGCTTAAAATTTCTCCACATGTGAACTAGATTTACACTCTTCAAAATTTGTGGCTGAAAGTTCGGGAACATTTCGCCGCGATTTTTATTACAATATGGTTCTAGTGAAATATATTCACTTCGAATTTATAATTCTATGAATGAGGAAGTGGAAACGGTAAATTTCTGTTTGATTATTCTACGAAAATTCAGTGAAATTATTCGGTGAATATTCATGTTTTGATTGAAAATTCAAGTAATTTGAGGTACTCTCGTTTTCTTAGTGCTTAACCACTTGGAATTTTATTGCAATTTGAAATTCTATCTTCTGTTCTCGTAAATCAATTTTAATGTCACTCTCGATAATTATTACTAAACTTTCCATGAAATTTCAAATTGTTGCTTTAAAAATTTACAGCGTACAGTATTATAAATTTATCATACTTTCATACATTTCATTGTCTCAAATGAATTTGTTTGGCATAAATAAACTTTTTTATGAGTGTTCTTGAAATTTCAGTCACAGCGTCATCTGAATTTTCAATATTGTGAGGTTGAATTCAATTTCAAATGAAAGCGCTCACTAATTTTATGATTCATCTTGAAAATTCCAGAAAATTGGATTTTTCATGTTAAACAATCATTGATTTTTTCAATAAAAGCTAGAATTTTCAAACTCAACGTGAAAATTGAACATCGCCTACAATTCAATTTTCAATCGATTGAGAATTCAAAGAAGTTGTTGCGTGAATTTTCAAAATTTTCAAGGATTTCCAGTGCCGTATGGACTTTAAAATCGAGAATTACTTGAATATTCCAAAAATTATCTGATTCATCAATAAAGAAATATCCAGAAATTTCATGTAACTTTGTCGTTGTTAGCAATTTCAAGCTGTTTCACTTGAAATTTGAAGAGAAATTTTCTAACGGTGTGAGTGGAAAGTTTCGTTGGTATTTCTGGAGGTAAATATGTCCTGAGGTATGTCTCACCTATTTATTCCCCAATTACTGACCCAGCGACCGACTTGGGAGAAACCCCCGTACGAAATTTCCCCTTGCGCGAGAGCGCAATGGAGAGGGAACGGCTCCAAGCTGTCTGCCACCGCACGGGGGTCACTACTGGCGAATGTCTGTAAGAGGAAGGGGAAAAAGACAGACGGATTGCTCTTGTGTTTTCAATGTAACGGAACTGGGATGTGTATACGCATATATTTCGGTGGTATCTCTGCCAGGATCATCAAGGTCAAGGCTCCGGGTTTTCGAATATTGTTGTTTTGTCTTCGAGTGCCAGAATGCACGAGAGAATTTTTTAAGAGAATTTTTTGGGGTTATTCTCAACGTGATGATCATTTTGCTGCAGCTCCGGTGAAATATTCACTGGGAAACAATTTTTTATTCCATCTTTCACTTCTTAATTTTATGCAAATAGTTTTTTTCCCTTTTCCTCTCTCTGCTTTGACGCAATGAGCTGAAAAGTCAAGCATACTCAGTGGATTATCCCCTATCCAGTGACTGGATGGAGATCCCAGACAATTTTTTACATTCAGTTTGAAGGTGAATTTCACCTTTGATGCCTGAAATCTGTCATAAAGTGAGAGGAGACTTCTGTTCGGAAGCGGAAAGGATAATGCTGTATTTTTATTTCGATTATTGGACTTTTCGAGGAGCTACTCTCTCCATAATCACGTGACATAATGACTTAAAAATGGAGTTGATCCCACGTACGTCGCAATGGTTCCCAAATGGTTTAGTTTTTTACCTCAAGCGTCACGCGACTTGATTTCGTGACTACGATTGACTTACGAAATGATTTCATAAATTTGAAATTAAATTTTTGGGAGAAGTTTGGGTCTTTGAATTCATACACTGAATAAAGTTAAATGAGGCAGAGGCCGTTCTGGATTTTCAAAATTATAATTACAGAATTGGTTCCAAATATCTGAATTTGATTTTTCAATTGATCTAATGATCATCATTTTTGCGATTTTTTGTTGATTAGTAATTTACAAAATATGTGAAAAATTGAAAATGTTGATTGACAATTAATTTAATAAACATTGAAAAATTGTACAATACAGTTACCTGATTTTGTATGTAATAAAATAATTTTAATTCTGTAGTACGATTTTGCCTCTCTAGATTTAAATGAGCTTTATCTCATTTTAAAGTTTGAAACACGCACTAGAATATAACTTCAAAATCTAATAATATCTTTCTTGTTTCGTGGGTTCTTAGATGCTCCTTTTTTCGTGAACGGGATAAATTTAGTGCTTTTCAGTTTTTAGACGTGCACATGGCGTTTCCTGTATTTGAAAGGGAAGAAAAGTCTCGTTTTTCTTTTCGATTTGAGAAAATTCTAGAAATTCTTCTTCTGAAAAAAATATAGAAGGTTTGAAATGATAGATTGTCAATTGTTTTAATTGAAAAACCTGACATTTTCATAAATAAATGACATGAGCGCGCGGGAGAGCGCGCGTACGCTCTAGTACACAAAATAGTGTGTCCAAGGGGATTGGCCAAAGTGGATCAATCAGTGCATAATTGATTGAATTTTCTTCCATTTATCATTCTCTCTTATAATGCATTTATAAGAGAGATCATAAAGGTTATGAAATTTTCATTTGACTTTCTCATTTTTACGTAAAAAAACGACAAATGTTTCAGGATTTGAATGCAGAAAAGAAATCTCTTCCCAAATAAACAAGGTGCAACGAACAGGTCTCGCTTTTAAAATACAGTAGACTCTCGTTATAGTCGCATTCGTTATAGTCGCATTTCCCCTCATATCGATTTTTTCGAGCTCGAGCGCTTCCCCCACTCCGTACCAGCTCCGAGGTGTGGATTTAAATGCCCCTGTGTTTTCTCGGAATGGGCTTTGTTTTGCTTTCTAAGAAATTCGGGAAATAAAATTTAGGAAAAATGAATTTGCGAGAGAGAAATTCAGTTCACTCTTGACTGTCACCAAGAGAGGGTCTTTGCAGTGGTGCATAATCCTGCTTTTTATTTGAATGAAGTGAATAAATTTTGGAGTGTATTGAACAATGCGATGTTATTAATATTTCTATTCATTTCATTAATTTACTAAAAGTGTTCAACGCAATTCATTTTGTTAATTTAATAAAAGTGTTTAATGAAAATCATTTTTATATTTAATAAAAATGTTCAATGCAAATTGAAGAGAAAAATAATTGGAGTAAAATTTATTTTCTTATCGCTCCCGATTCCCGGAATTTAGGCTTACCGTGAGCGCCTGGTGGGGGAAGAGAAATACAGTCCCATTCTCAGAATCGGCTGCCCCTACAGCCCCGTGAGTGCGACTATAACGAGAGTCTACTGTAATTCATGTATTGTTCTCCTAATTGTCATCAAAAACTATATTGAGTCCAGAGAGAAGAACTTCTGCGCTAATTTCTCATCAAATTCAAATGATAATCAATCAAGGTGTCTTGAATATAATCATCGAGCAGGTAATTGTATCGCTTTATGGTCACTGAATTTCCACTCCCCCCACGACCTGCAAAAACAAATCATGCAGAAGATGCGTTCGAACTTTTCCCCTCCATCCTTCACTTCTCAACTCTCCTTTAGAAAGCATGTACCCTGCAGATCATTGACGCCGTACTGAATTGAAACGGACAATGAAATGCACTCAGAAATGTGCTGTCTCCTTGTAGGTCCACAAAGTTCAATTCAATTCAACTTGACTATGAAGGAGACAGAGTCTCAGTACTGATTCAGTAATTAAATAATTATCCAATAACTATTCTTTTATAATAATTTATTACTGCAATTTATTAATCTTAAGTCGTAAATTTAACTAGCTACGTATGTTCCACTTTTCAATTTTCCTTAATTCAACAATTTCCAAGAATAAAATTTTCCACTTGTGCAACCTTGACCTAAAATCGACGCAATAATTGACTCATTTGCCGGCACTCATTATCAACTTCGTTGTTTCAATCTTCGTGCCAAAAAAATAAAAATAAAAATGATGTCCACTTAACTTAAAAATTACCAAAATAGTCACTATCAAGTAGAGAGCGAGGGAGAGAAAGAGAGAGCTGAGAGAATTCCCTAGAAATTAACAGACACTGAAATAATACACGAGAATAATAATCTTCGGCTAAAAGTTGAGTCTCGAGTGTTCTAAAGGAAGGGGGAAAAAAAAATTCCAGAAGAGTTATGAACGTATAAAATGCCTTTTTGAATTCTTGGTATCAAGTGTGTGATAAAAACTGTACACAAAGAGTAGAATAGGGTAGTGGGAGGGCGAAGGGGGGAAAATAATACGTGTGCGCCCATGTAGATATTTTATGCGAATAAATTTGAAAGTCTCTGAGTCGATATTACGTAGCGCACCTTTAAAGACAGGGTGTTATATAACAGCCATTCTGGTGCTTCAGAAACACCCCCTCATGTACCTCTGACGACACGTGTTTTCTTGTGAAAGAAATAATAACGAAAAAAAATGCCAGCACACTCAGACCGTAATCCGAATATCTCAGTGGTAGATCAATGATTTGGGCTTTGCATGATATTTCACGTACGAGAACATTCGATAGAAAAACTGAGCGCAGCCTAGGACATTCTATTGTACTTCTATCGAAAACTCTATTAGTTTTTGGACAGAAATGTTCGATGCAAAAAATATTTTATGGAAGAAATCAATAGATTTTGAATGTTTTATGTAACCTATTCTACTGAGATATAAGTTTTTGAATTTTTTCACTGGATTTTTTACTCCTTGCGTTGAGGAAAAAATCAAAACGTAAACCTTCTCCACAAGGTGAGTCGTATCTGTCCATATTATAGAATTCTAAATCGACTTCTGGCGATATAAAATTAGAACAGGGAATTAAGATAAGAGTCAAAAAATAGGGGTGAGAATAAAAGTCAGAATAGAAGTAAACAAATACAATCAGAATGAGCATCAGAAACTAAGGGTCAGAATAAGAGTGAGGAAATAACGATAAGACAGATTTTTGGTTTCTGAAATAGGACAGAAGACTCCAAGTAAAACATCAACATCTGTTGATTTTTTCTGTAAAACATTTTCAACTCAACATTTTAATTGAAAAGAAAATGCGCAGAAGAACGACGTCCTTCAATGAAATCCACGGGAAACGATTAGAATTTTCTAAGGAAGTTCAACAGAAATTCAATAAAATGTCCTGACTAAAATACTAGGTGTTCCTACGAAATTTTTTCGTACGTGTTTATTATTGTCGAAAATGAAAATAGAATGGAGAGCATTAAATATTCCTCGAAATATTCAACTAATATTTTCCATTCTGATTTCATGCAAAACCCCAATTCTCAGAAGAATTACAAAAAAATAATAATTGAATGATAATGATTGAGATTCTAGGAAATTTCATATCACTTGACTGTTTTTTTGCAAGTTGGAAGATTTACCCTGAAGAATACATTGAGCTCGATAAGCGAGGCGAGAATGAGAAAGACTGCGTACATGCAGAGACAAGCACGTCCAACTTTCTGATCAAGCTGAAATTTGTTTGATGCAAACGCTATGTATAGGAGTAATAGAGTCGAGAGTAGTGATATTGCACTGTACTCTAGACCACCGGAGTTGATGCTTATGAAGTGACGACCAGGAATAGTCGGTGAGAATGATGACTTGATGAGCCAGGGTAAGCCGAGGCACAGCAGTATGTCGAATGTATTTGAGCCGATCGAGTTGCTGATTCCCATCGATCCGTGACCTGAAACACGAGAGAATTGTCTGAAGTATATACTACTGCGAGGGTGAGAAAAAAAATCGTGCTATCTGGGGATTAATCTTCATTCGCATAATGACAAAGTGTTAAATCAATTTTTGAAGGATTGAACTGCAGTGGTTTTCTCAGATTCTAATGAATCTAAGAGATAATAGAGTACTCAAGTGGCTCGTGAAATACGTGAGAATGTTGTTTCAGGAATATGAACATTTGTTCACCTTGTTTCGCTACAATAACACTTGAGACAGCTTCTGGCACACTAGTTCCAGCAGCTAAAAATGTTATACCCATAACCGAGTCTGGTATCTTCAGTGTGTCGCCTATTGTGGACAAAATTACAACGACACGATAAGATAATGGATTTTAGCTTGATAAATGGTATTTCTCAATGCCAGGCTGATGTATTTACCGATAATTGTGATCATCCAGGCTACGACGTAACTGAGTGAGCCTATCCATATGATGCACATGAGGAATGTTATTGGAAACCATTTTTTGAATCTTGGCTTCTCACAGTCGGGGATTGTACACATGAAGATGAGGTGAATTGGCCAGGTGAGGATCCAGGCGGTTTTTCGGATCCATCCTCCTCGGGCTGGCCAAACGAGCAATTCATATTCATAATCTGGAAATTAAAAATTAAGAAATTCGGAAATTTTGTCAAATTGAGATTTCCATGACATCAAAATAAAGGGACATTTTTCGGTTTTGAGAAGATGGAAAATACGGAAGAATTTGCTGTCGATTGGAAGAATCTGCATGACATCATGTGAGCAATTTTCAGAAGAATGACATTGAGTTCCATTCAGGAGGCAAAAGCTTATGACATTTCGAGTTTCAAGTGGAATTCAAGTGGGTCGAGGTAGGAGAAGTAGAACGGATATGTCAAAACTTACTTCAATTTTCAGTTAAACAGGAATATTCGGTACCAAAATAAGATGATTTTTCGGTTTTTCTTTTATTATTCATTATCTCCTAAACTGCGTAGCACAGCTAGTTGGAATTTTTTTCAATAGTTGGGGACTATTATAAACGTTATCTATAGAAGACATGGGGACAATCTTCAGAAAAAGTGTTTTCTAGGGATATACGTCAACTATAACTATAACTATCGTAAACTACGGTGTTAGAAAAAAATTAAATTTTATGAAGAGTTGACTCCTAATTTTCAGGACTGTGACACTGAATGCGATTTAGGGGGAAAAAATTGTGAAGTTTCAGGTTTCACTGAAAATTCTGTAAAATTCCAGAATTTTAAGCATCATAAAGACGAGAATTCCTTGATTCATTTGAATTTTCAATATAATATGAATATTCAGTGCCAAATTACAGTTGAGCACTAAAGTTCGTAAACAGGACACATAGAATGCAAGTTCAGGCTGTTCGCCAACTTTAATGCTCGACTGTACTTTGAATTTTCAGTGAAATCTGAAATTTGAAGATTTTTTCTCCCTAAATCGTATTCAGTGTCACTGTCCCGAAAATTCAAGAATATATTCACCAGAATTTTCTGATCTTCTATTTATTGTCAGGGAAAAATGGAACTGAAATTCACAGTTCTCTTTGATTATCCCGCGAAATTCTGAATTTTCAGTGACGAAATTCCTTGAAATTTCAGTGGTAATTAAATTCCATAAAAATTTCCAAAAAGTGTACCGGAAATTTCAGATGAAAATTTTTTACAGCGTATAACTATGGCTTATGGCTCGATAGGTATGCACGATACCCCAGTAAGACTAAAAGCGGAAAATCTCTTGAAATATAGAAGTGTGTTATTCACAACACCTCGCTTCCACACCAGAACAATTAAATACTCCAACGTCACTCAAACTCACCAGCATCGTGATTCTCCTCCTGGCTTTTAGTGCCACCATTCTGCAGTGGTACATCGATGGTTGCAATTTGCTCAACTCTCTCACCCGGCGACTGCAATTTATCGGATCTTGATAAGTGCATTTCCCCAGCGTCTCCTGTGGCGAAAAACAATCAAGAGAATTCGATGAAAGAATGATACCGCATGCTCGATAACACGACTGCATTCAAATTAATCAGTCCTCGAGTAAATAGGACCATTAAAAAAATGTATTAATGGCATCCCACTGGTGCATTCGAAACTAAATAGTTTTTTATTTTCCGTTCAACATGGCCCCTGCATTATTCAGTAAAATGTCCGTTCCAATGGGGAAAAGTGAGGGCAACACCGGGAGGCAGAATCGATATCTTTTCGTGACTGGGTCATGAGATCGATTCACCCTCCGGATACTGGGGAGAAACGTGTTTTAAGCTGTTCCATACCCGTTTTATCAGATAAATTTCATGAACCATCTGAAAGATGTTGATCACTCTTTCTACTTTCTTCGATTTTAATCCAAATCCACATGAGGGGAAATTTACTGGAACTTTGTAAGAGCTTTATTGGATTTCTATTATAATTGAGTTGTCATAGAATTTGTTCATTACGAGGGGCTACTCACTCCATAATTGAGTGACATCATGGTTTCGAAATGAAGTCGAGCTCGGATTATTTTCATGATTTCGGGCGCCACGGGAGGTGATATCATGATTTCGAATGATTTCATTAATTCGAACTCGGTGATTTCAGAAAAATAAAGTTAATAAACAATAGAGGTGGGACAAAACGGGTTGTGTCAAATCATGAAAAATCAAAACTAGCAATAATAATTGAAAATAATAACTGAAAATAACTGAAAATTCAAAGAAGTTTCATATTCAATTTCCATATTCATTTCAACTTGAAAATTCATGTAAATTGAGGAACTTCTGTCTCCCGGGGCTGAAAAAGTAGGAGTTTACTTGAATTTTCGAAGAAACTGGAAATTCCATTGACTTTTTCCCCTTAAATCGAATTCAAGGTCTTTTCCCAGAAAATTCAGCCAAATTTTTTCAACAGTGTACCGTTATTATTTCATTCTGTTCCATTTCCACACCTGCATGTGAACTCTCATATTTATTTTCAATTAATCCCAATTCATCGCAAATATCCTCCCCGATAAATTGCCCCAAACCCGAGTTTCATGAATGACGTTAGCCTTTTATTTTGTTTCCAATATCGGGGTTTCGGTTTTTAATTATCCGACTAACCGGACGGTTGACCTTTCACCGGACTGAACAGGAAGCTTTATCTCATTTATTTTGCATTGATTTACCTGGAGTAATTCGCCCATCCTCTGAAGATGAGGCGCTGTTCTTCGTCCGGAATCTCGTACACCGTTGGAAGGACTTGTCCCAGTACATAACGGCGATGTAAACGATGTAAAGGAGGACCAGGCACAGTGCCTCGTACCACTCCACCCTCTCATCGTGAATAATGCAGATTAAGATTGCAACTGTGACGCCGTAGGCCAAACAGTCCCTGCTCACTGGCCACCAATCCAGTGGAACGACCTGAGCAGTTACTTTTTATTCGATTTGTTTCTCATTGATCGAACTTCAATATCTTGAATTGGAAATTAAATAGTGCGAAAAAAAGTGTGCGAAGAACAAAAATGCACCGAGAGAACAATTTCCTAATATGTAGACCATATTTACTTGAAAGAAATACTGCAAAAACAGAAGATTCTTTTCTATAAAAGCATTGGTCCTCATTGGTTCTCAAATGAGAACACAACTAGACTAAGAATTTATAAAAAGGACATTTCAAAATTTAGAATTCAACAATTGACTAGAATATAATCAAAAATTCTGAAGGCGTCAAAGAAACTGTCTCAATGTTACTTTTCGACAGATTGCGGACACTCTTATGTAATTTTTAATGTTTGAGGAATAGAAAATTTGCACTAAAGATGAATACCCTTTGCACAAAAATGATTTGTTTACTATTTCTCGGCTAATTTTAAATTCTCTCTATTTAGAAGAGACTACTATAAGTTTTTAAAGTCGTGAGCTATTGGAGTGGGATTTTTCATATATTGAAGATCGATTATATATGTTTAAAAAATAATTAGTGCAAAAAAATGAATTGTTTATTGTTCGTTTGCCCCGCAGACACTTAAAATATTAAAAATAGTCCAGGGCCTCCAATTTTTGGGCTACAGAGCTTTCTTTTTTTTCAAAATGTTTGAACAAATGTGTACAATAACAATTACGAATTTTTTTTTAATTCAACTCCTACACAGCTCATTTCGTAATTTTTTTAAATAACAAATTGCACCATTTATTTAAAATAGCCCGAAAAATGTTTTTGAAAAAATGAAGAATTTATTTTAAATATTTAAAGGATAATTTTTCTGCTCGTTCTGCATGAATGGCGTAAATTGTTGTTTTAAACTGAACGTAGTTAGCTGCGTAGGCGTCGAATTAAAAAAAAACTAATTCGCAATTATTATTATACTTCTGTAATCCAATAAATGGAGGCCCTGGACTATTTTCAGTGTTTTAAGCGGGTTTGGGACAAACAAACAATAAACAATTAATTTTTTTGCACTAATTATTCGTCTCTAGATATATATAATCTTTCTTGAATGTATGAGAAATCCCACACCAATTCGCGATTCTTAAAACTCATAGTAGTCTCCCTTTAAGAAATCGCTGAGGGTGGCCAAACCTGGGGCAACGGCAGTTACTGAAACATTGACGGTCCATATTTCTCAAATAGAACTAGATTTTGGCATTCGATTTTTCTGTCTTTGCTCATTGGATTGAAAAATGAAGAAAATAAAAATGAAGTTGCCCTCTTCTTCCTTAATTTTATCAAAATGTTCTCTAATGAATAAATTTTCAGACGCAGGCCCAATGCCTCAGTAACAAAATAAATTACTCAACCTATTTTGAACAGTTAAGAAGGTGTGACTATCAAATGCATAGTATTATAAACACAAGTGGGTTTCTGATTTCATGGGAATGTGAGACTTCAACTGAGCGTTAACCCGAAGCATGTTTACAAACACAGGTACTCTTAGCCCCTCGTTCCTACTATACGCCATTAGCAGCCCTCGAGCTTTCTCGCGATATTACACTAGCCTCTCGGCTCGATGTAAATGGAGAATGACGCGTTAAGTACCCACGGGCAAAATGCGAGGGTGGAAGGGGGAGTGAGAGTGATGGAGGGGGTGAATGGTGTGACATTCTCGACAAGCTACAATAGCGGCAGATTCCAAGAACATCCGGGGAATTTAGGAGGTGAAATTTTCTTGTCTCATTGTTCCGGGGTTTTGTCAAGGGACAAGTACACATTTCCGTAATATCGGAGGTGAGACGGGCATTCATTCGGGCGTTATTAATCGACGTCGTTGATGAGGACATGCGGAGGTAATGGCGTCAATTGCATTCCAAGGTTTTGGCGGCAAGTTGATGCACGAAATTATTTTCATGCCCTTTTTGGAGAAAACATTTTGTGTTAAGGGGAGACTACTATGAATTTTAAAAGTCGTGGGTTATTAGAGTGAGACTTTTCATACGTTGTAGATCGATTATATACTGAAAACGAATAATTAGTGCAAAAAATTTTTTTTATGTCAGTAGGCATACTTTTGAGAGTTCTGAATAGCTCGTCGCTTAAATAGTTGGAATCAACGTTCACGCGGCTAAAAAATTCGATTTTGGCGAAAGTCGACTTTCCCCCTGGAAAAACGGAAAATCTGACCCTTTGAAAATCTGAAAAAAAAACTTTACCAGTTTACACTTTTTCCACATACTTTTGAGAGTTCTGAATAGCCCGTCGCTCAAATAGTTGGAATCAACGTTCACCCGGCGAAAAATATCGATTTTGGCGAAAATCGACTTTCCCCCTGGAAAAATCCAAGATCTGACACTTTGGTCCTCGTGACCCTTGTGACCCTTTGACCGACTTTTTCAGTGAAAAAATCCAAAATCTGACACTTTGGCCGCCGGTGAAAAAATTTTTTTTTCACTTTTCCCACATACTTTTGAGAGTTCTGAATAGCTCGTCGCTTAAATAGTTGGAATCAACGTTCACGCGGCTAAAAAATTCGATTTTGGCGAAAGTCGACTTTCCCCCTGGAAAAATCCAAGATCTGACACTTTGGTCCTCGTGACCCTTGTGACCCTTTGACCGACTTTCCCCCTGAAAAAATCGAAGATCTGACGCTTGGGCCCCCGGTGAAAATTTTTTTTTTCAGTTTTCACTTTTTCCACATACTTTTGAGAGTTCTGAATAGCCGTCGCTCAAATAGTTGGAATCAACGTTCACCCGGCTAAAAAATTCGATTTTGGCGAAAGTCGACTTTCCCCCTGGAAAAATCCAAGATCTGACACTTTGGTCCTCGTGACCCTTTGACCGACTTTCCCCCTGAAAAAATCCAAAAACTGACACTTTGGCCCCCGGTGAAAATTTTTTTTTTTCAGTTTTCTAAAACTGATAGTAGTCTCCTCTTTAATATTTTGCGTGCAACATAAGGTGTGAATAGTTGCATTGTTTATAACTTCGTATAACTATTACTAACAATCGAGTATAATAGATTAAACTTTGATTTTATTACATACTGAGAAAAAAAAGATTTTTGAGAAGTACGTCTTTACTTGTATGATGAAGCTTATGGCTAAAAAATTAACAAAAAGAAAATATTTCACACTGGGAAAAGAAACCTGTCGTCAATAAATTCTGTTTGTCTGTATACTGCAGGGGAATTTGTTCACAAGAAGAAAGCGACTCCTTGAACCAGGTCAAATGGTTTTTGCATGAAATTATTTTGAACTTGAGACTTAAAAACTATTGGATAAATTGATCCGACACTTTCTTGCCATGAACAAATTATCCTCGTCTTTGAGACAAGTACTGAATCTCCTGATGAAAGTTCTTTCTTCCTCAGTATAAGATATTTTCTTCTTGACAATTTTCGAGCTATAAATTTCTTGATAAAAGTGAAGACATATTTGTAAAAAAAATAATTTTTTCTCAGTGTAGGGGAAACCGGTGCAAAATGAGACTGCGCACTGACAAAAAAAATTACTCCTGCCAAGTAAATTCACTTGCCACAAGTAAATGTATATAAATATTTGCATTTGAAATGTGTGGATGTTCTAGCAATTAGTAAATTCACTTGGCAAAAGTAATTTTTTTTCTCAGTGCGGGACAAAATGACAACCCTGAAGCCACAAAGCTCATTATGTTATTATCTAAATGGATGATGAGACCATGACGCCAATTTTTTAAGCCGCCATTCTATCAGTTTTGTTGATGACTTTTTCAGTCATCATTATTTAAACTGATTTCTGGAAAAAAATCGAAAATAACATACTGTAATTCAATAATGAATGGTGCGATTTTCATTGTATTCTAATGTTGTGGAGAAGTGTTCGACCGAATTTCTAGATTCTTTCGTAGTCATTGGCCTCTGCGGTCATTTGCTGATTCGAGGTGATGAAATTGATGATATCCAAATGATAAAAAATTGAGCAAGTCACTTGGATTATGACCAATATTGGATCAGGAGCGATATGATGGGACTTGAACGATTACGAAATGCTTCCATTCGCAAATACAAATAATGCAAAATATGAGATAATTTTTTCAGCAAAAGAAATAAAATCATGCAAAATCTAAGATAAAATCGTAAAGTTGTAAACATTCAATCACTGATGATATACGCAATCTCGACTGTAGAAATGTTATCAAAACAATTACGAGTGCTTTTATTATCAAATAAAGATTCAATGTTCGATTACAATGTCCGACAAAATAAGGCCGAGTTTAAAGCTGAAAGCGAAATTCATGTCATCCTAGATTTTTTCACGCTGAATTCAATGGTTCCTGAAAAATTTCCCTCGCACGACAGGTTCTAGAGGAATAAAATGTTGAAGGCAGCTCTTTTCATGTGGACGTCCACAAAAATAATCAGAGTGACAAGTAAATCGGACGTTTCTACGGGGAGTCCATACGTTGCCATACAAATCCCCATATACTCTTCAACGTAACCCAACTATAGCATAACCCATACAGTGATGAGTTATCAGTTCGAAGTAAAACAATACTGACTCTACTGGGGGAGGAGTCGAGGGACTCATGTACTTTCAGGCTCGCTGACATAGAATGGAAAAGTTTACTGAGATACTGATGTCGTGATATTCTAAAGTAAAGGACTTCTGAGTAAACTCGAAATTGATCAGCGCAAGAAATGATTTAAAAATCGTCCTTAGAGTTTATTTTTATATTACTTAAGGGGACACTACTATGAGTTTTAAAAGTGGTGGGTTATTGGAGTGAGACTTGTCATACATTGAAGATCGATTATGTAGATCAGAAAACGAATAATTAGTGCAAAAAAAAATTTTTTTATTGTTCGTTTGCCCGAAAACGCTTAAAATGCCAAAAACAGTCCAGGGCCTCCAATTTTAGAGCTACGACGGATTTTTTTTTCAAAATTTTCGGAATAATATGTGGAATAACAATTACGAGCTATTTTTTTTTAATCGCCTCTTACATGGTTAAATTTGCTTTTTTGTATTTTTTTTACACAAATAGTGAATTTTTTTATATGAAAACAACCGAAATTAACTGTGTAGGAGTCGAATCCCAAAAAACTGGCTCGTAATTATTATTTCACACATTTTTCCAAAAAATTTGAAGAAAAAAATTCTGTTGTAGCTCAAAAATTGGAGGCCCTGGACTGTTTTTAGCATTTTAAGCGTTTTCGGGCAAACGAACAATAAAAAAATTTTTTTTTGGCACTAATTATTCGTTTTCAGATCTATATAATTCATCTTCAACGTACGAAAAGTCTCGCTCTAATAACCCACGACTTTTTTCTAGGGGAAATCGTCTTCATAGTTTACAGAATAGACCAAGAGTATTTTTGAGGCATAATATCAACTTTAGTCTCCGAACATTTTTTGGAGAAATCGTTTTTTGAAAAATCGAAATTCAGTACATTGCGACTATAAGAGCTGTATACTGCTACCTTCAATCAAATAGTTCATGTTACAGCATTTTCTCGTACACATAATCGTATATGACTTTGTTCGTTATACTCTCCAGTTTTATTGTGACTTGAAAAAACATAAGTTTCCGGACAGACAATTGCAAATAATCAAATTAAAAGCTTCTCAATTGGCACGACGGCCATATTGAGTGGTTTGAATCAGCGCATTTCCGACGTCTGGCAACGGTCCGCTCAAGTGACTATTCGGACCGAATTTGCGAGGTTATATGAAACACATGTGCAGTGTTGCCGTACGATCATTAGAGGTTAGACCAACGAGAGTCAAGTGTGAAAATAAATAAGATAGTGTCCACAGTATTCATTGAAGAAATTCCAGAAAAGATGTATCAAACAATAAAAAATTCGAAAATGTATGGAGATGGCCAGGTTTTCGACAAAATAGAAATCTCGACTGACAAAAAGTTGCCAACTGGAACAAAGTAGTCACGTATGAAAAAATCGTATACGATTTCCTATAGAATTTCCTGTAGGAAATCCTACGGAGAATTCGAACATTTCCTATAGGATTTTTCTTGTGGGATTTCCTATAGGATTTCCTATAGGATTTCCTATAGGATTTTTTATAGAATTTCCTATGGAAATCACGATAGGGTTTTCCATAGAAAGTAACACACAATTGAGACTCGAAACCAATCGGTCACAAGGGTCAGGATTAGGGTCATAAATCTGATAGGAAATTCTATAGGGAATCCTATAGGAAATCCTGTAGAAAATTCTATCAGAAAAATCCTATGGGAAATGTTCGAATTCTCCACAGGATTTTTTCATACGTGGTTGGATATCCTTAATGCACCTCCTCAGGAAATTTACGCCCCGGTGTTGAAGGAGGTTGGTCCCATCGATTGAAATGATTTCTCTCAATGCCATTTGAAATTTATTTAGTTTCTATTTTTTTAAAAATTTAATATCCAATTGATTTGACAACTTTAACATTTTATTTCTCCGAAACCTGACGTGATAGGAGAATTTAAAAAAAAACATTGAATTCAGCGTGATAAAAATCTATGGGTAGTGTGAATTCACCGATGAATATTCTCGTGCTATTGAAAAATGTGGAAATTCAGGGAAGGGTGAGAAATGTCTTGAATGGGGGTAAAAATCGTCGACTCACCATTCCAGCGCCAATTCCACAGCAGGCGGGCACTGCGAGAATATTAAAGACCGCCGATCCTACTATTGTACCGACACCGATATCACCTTCGGTGATGAATGTGCCAATTGCGTTGACGAACAACTCGGGTGCGGATGTCGCGGCTGCCATGAACGTGGCGCCTGCAACGTCCTTCGACATTGACAACGCTGAAATTTTTTTTTTAAGAAATATTATTTGATGAATTTATGTGGCAACCATCTGTTACGTCAACTCCTGATGCATGAAAATTATTTTCATGCTGGAATTCATTATGAAAATGGGATGAAAAGTTAAAGCTGGATTCATGGTAGTATTTTTGGAGCATGAATAGTTTATTCATGAATTGCGTTGATTTATTCATCAATTAAGAAGAAAATATTCTTTATAAAAAATGAAAAAAAATCGGAATTTAATAATAAAAAATATTTTGAATGGAATATAATATTAAATTGATAAATAATATTCAATTGAATAATATAGTTCTCAACATTCTTGAATTGTATTGTTAGTCGTGAAGACTGATTGTCAATATTATTTTATGAATTCATGGGGCATCGATCTGTTACAATTCATTCCAATGCGAGAAAAATAATGTGAGAAAAAGCTCTTAAATTCGTGCAATATTCCCGATTTGAGAATAAAATGTTCTTCACATTAACCCATGTCGTGGAAATTCTAGACTCAAAAACAACCCATTCTTAAAGGGAAAATATTTATTCTTCAATCAAAGAACGAATTATTTTTGAACGAAGCTTTCCAAAATTCTCAGTTCAAAAATGAAAAAAAAACTTTCAATTGAACATGACATTCTGAATTCGAGAACATATTTTTTACCATCATGAATCAAATTGTTACTCATTAAAATTAATTGCTACGGTTAACTCTAACGCATGAAAATATTTTACCAAAATATTTAATTTGAGGATAATCTGTTTTCGAATTTAGAACATTTATTTTTCAATTGAGAACAAAATATTATTAAATGACGATTTCCCAAACTCTCACTGGAACAATAAAAAAAACTTCAATTGGAGAGTATTATTCAAAAAATATATTGAAGAATGTATTTTGTGTCATTGTGAATCGAATCGTTGGTCATTAATATTGGTTGTCAATATTTAATGTATTTTCTGATGCATTCATCTGTCATTATTTCTTTTGACACATAAAAGTAATGTTCATGCCGGAATGCATCATTCATCATAAAAATGAAATAAAAACTAAAATATTTAAACTCGTGATGATCGTGATTACTCGTGCAATTTAATTTCTAAAGCAATTAAAAAATCTGAATAGACTCACCATGGCATATTCTTTCTACAGCAGGTACGAAAAATTTGTCGCATACTACCGCTAAAGCGATGAACAGGTAAAGAGATATGAGGACATGTACGACGACAGCACCGGCTTGTCGTTGCCCCTCGTCAAACAGGTCATGTGGAAAGTCCTCGATTGCCGGCAGTGTGCAATTACCCACTGCATAAAATTAAAAGTGAGAAAAAGTGGATTGATGAGAATGACATAATTATTTTTAGAGGAATAAAATATTCAAAGGCCCGACGAGTGTCTCATTAACACTCAAAGACTAAATCAAATTTTTGAGATTATCCTTGACCCCTGTTCTAGCAATCAAAACATCTTCAATTACGCGGTGACCAATCAAGGCCAAGTGATTTGTATTAAATGGCAGGTAATTGGTAGTAGTTCAAGTGCCTTAATCTCGCGACATTCCACGGTGATTGATTAAGGTCGAGGAACCAAACAATTAGCCCACGCAGTGTCATGCACTCAATGATTTGCTGGACTTTGAATTATTTGGATTGACGAAGTGAAATTGTACGAGAAGATTATACTCTATATCGGAAATTCATTGCTTTTTTGAATTGAGAATATCCCGAAGATGTCTATTCAAGAATAATATTTTTTATTTGAAAATGAATGGCTTTGATTTAAGATTAAGCCACATTCATTTGGTGAAAGATAAGACATTTTCAATCAAACATTAATATTTTTGTTTGAAGAATGAATGATTTTGTATTTAAAAGTCAATCTGATTATTCAAAAATGACGTATTTTCCATGCAAGTTCTAGACTTGAGAGAATGGGTTCTTGTTTTTTAATGACAAATGACATCTCCGTTAGTGAACATTTCTAAAATTCTTCAGGTAGGTCTATCATTTGGATGATTTGAAGAATATTGATTACTGTTGGGAATTCATGAAAATATGAATAAATTTCGTGATAATAATCTTTTCCTTCGTCGAAACTCAGTCTGTGTTTCGTTAACAAATAATACGAAAAAACAGAATATTTTCATTGTAACTCAATTAAAATCTCATTCTTTTCCCATTAAAATGTAAAAAAATCTTGAAATGTTTGATTCGAAAAATATTAATATGTTGCAGAATATGATTAGGATGGAATAGATTTATAATTATTTTTTCCAAAATTTTATCAGACTTTTCTGTTCATAAACTTGTAAATCAAAACGAAAAACTATTTCAATCGCTTACAATATTTTCAATTCAGAAATCCGTTTATTAAAAATTAAATATCTGAAATCAGTCGTCTGAGACTCTAAAACGGGGTCAACTGCTGAAACTCCCGGATTTTCAAAAAACTTTTTAGATAAATATACAAAGGACAACAATTATTGTTGACCTATTCAATCTAGTGAACCGCGGATGCTCCACTCCCTCAAACGGAAGTCGTGGAATGTCCACCGTTTTACGTAATATTGTAAAGCTAGCTCCTCGCTGCTGGAAATTCCTCCGTCTCCTCCTCGTTACTCGTGTTCTATTTACTTCCCTCTCTGTCGTCTTTATAATCAAGAAGCATACCTTGATACGAGTCGAGTCACCCTTGAGTCTTCAAAGGCAAACCACCTGACCCCTAGATATATTTTTCAACCGTTCTCACCGAGACTGCACTCACAAACTTTTCAATTCGCATTTCGTTACATTAAATTCAAATAAAAAAAAATACACAATTAAATCCGCAAATTACCGCCTTTGTGAGTGGTTACTTTTTGTTAGACATGAATTCCCCCCCCCCCCGTGCTCAAAAAGTTTCCCTCAAGGCTATAAAAAAATCTCCAGCAAGCTTTTTCAATCTTCTTTTTACTTCTCCCCTCCCAGCTGGAGCTTGAAAGGATAATTTGCTGAAACGCCAAGATTTCTTCTCTATTTTTCCCCGAAACTCTTTGTTTAATTTTTTTGTGAACCTCGAATGCCTTCCGGTAGTAACCAAAAGCTTCAAGTAGGAAGTAAGTCGTTAGGGCCGCCTCGATTACTTCAATTTTATGAAGCTTCTACGTTCGCGTTATTCAATAATACAACCGAGAGCACGCGATTGACGTTGAGAAAGGAAAAAGCACTTCCTTGATTACGAGTTTTTCGCTATTTCCAATCCTTCAGAATATTTCTTTTGTCCTCGGGCAGGCTAATTAAGCAATCAACTCATTCATATGACTCGGTTCGATGTAAACACCCCCACAAATACAATTTTCATTCAATTTGTAGTACTATTACATTGGTTGACGCATACCCTGGAGGCGCAGAGTGTACTAATAATCTCTTCACCGTGTCTGCGGTGACCCAGAAAATACGGAACACCACGAGAGGAAGAATAAGAAAATAAAAGGGACGTGGAAAAATCATTAAGAGCGTTAAAAAGATGGCGACATTAATGATGAACTTCGGATCGTTCCGGGGAATTTTTCGTCTGAATGTTCTATTTTGTTTCGTTCTATCATTCTGTCTTGCACCCTCTCCGATATGACTCTAATTCAATGAGACACTGCTGTAATCACTAAATTTACATTTTATCATTGAAAAAACTCTTATTTTATTTTGCTGGAAAAAAATATTACTGTTTGAAAATAGCTGACTTTTCTGTTTCTCACGTTTGTTATTTTAATTATCGATTATCTCGGCAGTTGTTTTTCTATATTTTGAGGGATATGGCCGTTATGGAAGGGAAAGAGAATAGTTAATTATTAATTAGATATTGATTATTAATTGGATGTGAATCTACGGTAATGTACCTCACTACCGCGCTTTTTACGATGGATAGTATAAAAAACTATTATGATGTTTCATTTGAAAGAATTATTCCTGTTTCGAGTTTAAAATTTTTTGGCCAGAATTTCCGGTATAATTTGGAAATTATTATCCCCTGGCGATTTCACTAAAATTCTGAGGAATTTTTTCTTTGAAAATTCACAATTTGAGGAGAATCAATGGAAATGGTAAATTTCAGTTCAATTATTTAATCCGAATTCATAAAAATCAGGAAATTCAGGTCAATCAATCTTGAATTTTCAATTTATTGAAAATTCAGCGTAATTTGATGCTGAATAATATTTTGATTAAAAAATCATGTGAGTCGAAGTAATCTTGTCTTCCTGCTGTTCAAAAAATTGTAATTCCATTGAATTTTCCGTAATCGCCCGCATGTTCCAAAATTGTAGAAAATTGTGCCCAAGGGACATGCGATTGGATAATTCTCCCATCTGAATTTTGATCGATAGAAATGCATGATGCGACGTATTTGCAGGTTAAGGCTATATTCATACCAGACTGTCATTTATGTTATCGTCTCCCCTTGTCACGGCTCCAAGAGAATTTATCCCGTCTCGGTCTCTACTTTTTCCTATTTTTTATGCGTTTGAGACCGAGACCGAGACTGAAACCGAGACTGAAACCGGACTAAACACAAAAATCCGAAGAAAAGTGGAGACTGTGACGAGATAAATTATCCCAATTCGTGACCGGAGAAGACGATCCCACGTCTTTTGAGACTGAGACAGTTCCAAAAATTTACTTGTTTTTTTATAGCGAAACGATCTTTCTAAAGTGAAGTCTCGGCCCGTACGAACGGAGATAACCGAAAATCATTGAAATAATTCGAACGCCACTCCTCCGCAAAACGTCAAATACTGCATTACAGTAGCGAAGTGGTAAAAGGAGATAAGTCAATTTTGGCTATTGACCAGTCTTCAATTAATATCTCGGAATCTAAGGGAGATAGCAAAATTTTTATTATAACCTTTTTTGTGGAGCCGATTGAATGCTACAATAAATGTAGTTACAAAAATTTCGCTGTCTCCCTTAGATTCGGAAATATTCCTCAAAAACTTGACTGGGAGATAAGTCTTCTTATCTCCGTTTACCACTTCATTACTGATTTCTATTGGTTGACATGCAGATGGGAGAATAATTACTGAAATTGGAAATTTCAGTTGAAAACCCAAGAAGTTTTATTTTTTTTTCATAGTGTAATAAATATAGCAGTGCAAACCGACCAAAAGTAACTATAGTGTAATTAAATGAAAGAAAGAAAACAAAATAAACAAACAAAAAAAAAATTCCATTACGTATATTATTAAGACATTTAGATAGATTAGGTAGTCTATTAATTTTATAATATAAGCAATATAAATAATCCTTTTCGTCATGAGACTTATTTTGAACTGTTCATTTTATTGATTTCATTATTATACTTTATGTTTATTTGATTTGATCCTGTAATTGGCCGTGTGCTGTTGGGCTTGTACGAAGTAAAAATGAAATGAAATGAAACAGTATAGTTTCCTTTTTCATCAACGAAATGAATGAGAGAGTACACTATTGATATTATTGGAGACTACGAATTTCAAAAGTCGCGGGCGATTGAAGTGAGATTTCTCATGCATTGAAGATCGATTATATATGTCTAAAAACGAATAATTAGTGCAAAAAAATGAAATTAGCGTTGTAGGAGTTGCATTTCAAAAAAGTAATTCGCAATTGTTATTGTACACATTTTTTCAAAAAGAACCTCTGTAGCTCAGAAATTGTAGCCCCTGGACTGTTTTCAACATTTTAAGCGTCTGCGGGGCAAACGAACAATAAACAATTTTTTTTGCACTAATTATTCGTTTTTAACAATATCTAATCGATCTTCAATATATGAGAAATCTCGTGTTCCAGTTCCACTGAAATTTCAGGAAATTTTGTCATTGAAAAATCAAATATTCCATTGATTTGCTGTTCAAATGATTTGGAAATCAATAAAATACTTGATTTTTCAGTTCAATTATTCTGTGAAAATTCAGAAAAATCCGAAAAATGCAGGGAAAAATTGAAAATTTATGTCATTTTGTTTCTGAATATTCATGCTTCACTGAAAACTTATCAATTTCCGTGAATTCTACTTAAAACTTGAAATTTCATAACCCTTTTTTCCCTAAATTCGATTCAATGTCAGTCATGAGATTTACTATAACATCTTCCATGGAATTAAAAAAAAACAATGTAGTAACTTTCATCAAAACTTTAGTGCAAAATATGATATTGTAGGTAAAAATACCAGAAAAACGCTATAATTTCCTAGAATTACTACATTTTTTACGACAGTTCTGATTAAAATCTCCTGAAGAGACCCTACGCCTTATAATAATTAGATTTAGGAAATAATTTAGGAAATAGACATGTTTCTTCATGTAATCGTAAAGACATTGAATGCAACAGTATCAAAATGTGATTCTGCAGTCTCCCGGAAAAAACTAAAATTCTGTGAGATAAATAAAAACCTTCAATCAATCTATCGCTCTCATTTTTATATTCAGAATATACGAACATTGTCAAGATACATGGCAAGATACTCGAGTGAACGTGAAGGTGGCCAGTGTATAAAGTTATACCTATGTGGACTTGATGTGACTTCCTACCGATTAAGCAACCTAAAGAAGTTAAATTGCTCTCATTCAACTCGGCAGAGTAGATGCCATTCATGCCTAATGTACGTCGTATAAACTGGGTATAACACGACTCAACAACTTGCGTTGGGCTCGAAAAAATCCCCGGAGGATATGTTGTACGCCTGAAGAAAGCTCCAAAAGAAAGTAGAAATGATCATTTCCTCGTTCCAAATTCTCAAAAATCGACTCTTCATTCCCCGTCGTGTGATTTTCACTGCATTCTTATCCCCGATAATACCAGTAATTTCAGGAATTCGTAAATTATCATCTCACGATCGTAATTATCCGCATTATTGTAATACCCAATCATCTCCAATTTGTTGTGTGAATTACGAACTCTAGTTTCCTTTGACACAAACCGCTTTTTGACTCAATTAATTGATACTAAGTTTCACCTCGTTTGAACCGAACCGCCTTTGGTCACGAAAGGGATTTCAACATTGTACATGAGACACTCAATGAGCGTTAAGGCGATTATGAAACTTGCCAATTTTTTTGCCCCATTTTGGAGACCCCACTTTATTTTTCCCCCCTCACTGTGACTTTCCGCAAGAGTCCCCCCATTTTCCTTGCTAATTAAATTGTAGAGGTCTTGAATATTGATTGGAAATTAAATTTCAAGACTTTACGGGTTGAATCCGCGGTAAATAGAAAGAAAATGCAAGAATTATTGCATTCGAAAAATCTGAAAAAATACAGGTGCTCGGGGAGATGCATCTGCAGCCCTAAATCGAGCGATTTTAATCCGTCATTTGATGCTACTGTCATCGGAAATGACCCTTCATACATCCACCATCCCCAGACGACCCACCTGACCCCTCGAATTAATCAAAATGCCCCCAAAAATGAAGATTATACTTAATGAACAAACCTGTATCCATGTTGTCAATCCCGTTGTCACACACATACTACATTAACAACTACTCCGAAGTACCACATCGTTTGTTGAATCGCATGCCCCTCCCTTCGTGAGTGGTACAGCCGTCGACCGTTTCGATCGCTCCGTCGAAAATATTTTTAAAAATCGATAAACAAGAATAAAAATTTAATATTCCTCGTGGAAATAACGAGAGGCAGAAAAAGGCTTTAACACCGCTCGCGTTTAACTCCCCAGTTTATTCTCGATCGATCAAACCCCTAGACGCTTGGACGCTTCCCGCAGACCCAGTGGATTCTACTTTCTCTGGTGTTGACTCTGACTTGTCCTCTTTTTCAATTTTAAAAATTCGAAAACTCGTTTTTTCTCGCAATTCGAAGATTCAATCGATGGAAATGTTGGAATTGTGTTGTTATGATACCGAACGATACGTCCGACGTTGCGACGAGTGTGCAACGATCACTGCGAGTGCAACGAATGCAGAGGATAGACCAGTAGTCAAGTTTTCATCTAGCGCACACATCAGCAGAACCCAGTTAACTTTGACTATTCCACTTTGACAATTTACCCTCCAATTTCTAGTCGCATAAACCAACACTCGTAGGCTCGTAATCACAGTTACCACTACATGGGCCCCGAGGAATTCGTCTTCGTCGTTGAAAAATTGCTGGCGACATTTTTCGTAACGGATTGAAAGGGTTTGTTGAATTATGCGGGTCGGGGGGACGATGGACGGTTCGGGAATTACGAACTGTTGAAATATTTCGGGTACATATCGAGGAGATTTTTTAAAAGCGGGATTTTCGCAGGGATTTCGGGAAATTTCGACAATTAGAAATCACAGTTTTATGAGAAAATCAGTGATAATTGTGGATTTTAGTTATATTATTGAGTGAAAATAGATAGAAGTGAGGAAATCTCGATTGTGGTCCGAGGAATTCTTCTTCGTCGTTGAAAAATTGCTGGCGACATTTTTCGTAACGGATTCATAGGGTTTTTTAAATTATGCGGTCGGGGGGACGATGGACGGTTTGGGAATTACGAACTGTTGAAATATTTCGGGTACATATCGAGGAGATTTTTTAAAAGCGGGATTTTCGCAGGGATTTCGGGAAATTTCGACAATTAGAAATCACAGTTTTATGAGAAAATCAGTGATAGTTGTGGATTATAGTTATATTATTGAGTGAAAATAGATAGAAGTGAGGAAATCTCGATTGTGGTCCGAGCAATTCTTCTTCGTCGTTGAAAAATTGCTGGCGACATTTTTCGTAACGGATTCATAGGGTTTTTTAAATTATGCGGTCGGGGGGACGATGGACGGTTTGGGAATCACGAATTGTTGATATATTTCGGGTACATGTTGAGGAGATTTTTTAAAAGTGCAATTTTCGCAGGGATTTCGGGAAATTTCGACAATTAGAAATCACAATTTTATGAGAAAATCAGTGATAATTGTGGATTTTAGTTATATTATTGAGTGAAAATAGATAGAAGTGAGGAAATCTCGATTGTGGTCCGAGGAATTCCTCTTCGTCGTTGAAAAATTTCTGGCGACATTTTTCGTCTCGGATTCATAGGGTTTTTTGAATTATGCGGGTCGGGGGGACGATGGACGGTTTGAGAATCACGAATTGTTGATATATTTCGGGTACATATTGAGGAGATTTTTTAAAAGTGGAATTTTCGTCTGAGATTTCGGGAAATTTCGACAATTAGAGATCACAATTTAATGGAAAAATCAGTGAAAATTGTGAATTTCATTTAATTGATGCGCGAGCAGTTCTACTTCGTTATTGAAAAATTCTAGTCAACATTTTTCTTACCACATTCGTGTGATTTTTTATAATTGTATTGTGTGTGAATCATGGTCTTGAGAAACTTGTGGTTGACATTTCCAGTACACATCAGAAAAATTGTTAATAAGTGACATGTCCATTGAAATTTCAGAAAATGTCATCATCAAAAAATCGCAATTAGAAAATCACAATTAGATGAGAAGATCAGTAAACACGGGGAATTTCAATTAAATTATTCAGTGGAAATGAGCCGAAATGAAGGAATTTCAATAATCATTCGAGAAATTTTTCTTCATCGTTAAAAAATTGCGATGAACATTTTCCATATCATATTACTGTATGACTCTTTGAATTACATTGTTCGGACCCAGGAATAAATTATTGAAAACTGACTATTAAAATTGTCAACAAATGACATTTTTACTAAAATTTTAGAAAATTTGATCGTCAGAAAATCACGATTTGATGAGAGCACCAGTGACCACTGTGAATTTCAGTTGAATCATCCAGTGAAAATGAATAAAACCGAGGAAATTTCAATAATACCCCGAGGAATATTTCTTCATCGTTAAAAAATTGCAGTGAATATTTTTCATTCTTTGTACTAACGAATATATTATTGAGGATCCCTCACTATTGAAAATTTTCGGTGGAAATTTTCGGTTTACGCTTCAGAAATTAAAAAAAATGGAATTTCCATTGAAATTTCAGAAAATCTTATCGTCAAAAAATCGCCATTAGACGAGAAGATCAGTAAACACTGTCAATTTGAATTGAACCATTCAATGAGAAAGAGTAAATTGGGGTAAGTTGTGAAATGTCCGTCATATCTCTACTTGAAGCTCACCAAATGCACTTGAATTGTCATCAAAACTCCGAATTTCATAATCTCGTTCCCCCAAAACAGGATAGAATATCACTCACCTAAAAATTTCCATTAGACTCCAAATCCCCCTGACATTACAAATTTTCTCTGACAGAGCCTAACGATCACCCGCTCCACAAATCATCAATTAATGTTGACAATTAATTTGATAATCCGTTCGATTACGCCTTCACCCCTGACTCACAAATCCACTGTTTACAATCGCAGTTTAATCGCCAAACATTAACTGAGATTAAGATACTCCCCGGAGATAACAAATCAGATGTGTAGAACCAATGACAAATAAGTGGAGAGAACAGCACATAGAGAACTGAATCACCTAATACCACATACCTTCGAAATTTTCCACCGGTCTGGAGAGGTAAAATCCCATTTCCAGGGTGAAATGCCGAGATTATTGATTATAATCGATGAAAGTCTCTCTTTCACAATAATCCAATCGTTATTTATAAGAAAGAAACAAATAACACTGAAAACTATAACAATGCGAGATAAACCGCTTCGTTCTATGTTACATGAAACATCGAGTAATTGATGTAATGCAGAGTTGATGCTGAGAACACGAGTTTACGTGGCGTCGACACTGAGAATAATGAAAATGAAAAAGCTCTCGTCGGACGAAATAACAGTCTGGGTGATCGGGTGTTAAACCCGTGATAGCAACCCAACGTAATTGATGGTGGGGCGTTGACCGGCTCAATTATATCCTCGCCTTAACATACATTACATCTTCTCCTTGCGATTCACCAAATCCTCCCTTTATCCCCGCTAATCAGAAAATAACAGAACCCCCTGAATTGTTTATTTCATTCAAGAAGACTTCAACCCCTTCATTCTTTATTACTCAAGGTCACACGTACCGAAATACTGGTGCATTGCGCTCGGAAAGTGCGTTGGCACTGCTCCATTTTCCGAGGATTTCAGGTACACCTACTGCACTTGATTCCAATTCGTGTTGCATTCGATACACTGTTGAAAAATTTAAATTTCATGAAGATACTGAGGAGATTACTCTCGAAACTTCACGTCAATAATCTTGACATTTTTAACGACGTAATTTTTATGGAATTCCCATTTACACTGTTACTGGTAATACAGTTAATTTGTGGAATATTTAATGAAATTTCAATTTACGACGCAATGTGAAAATGAAAATGATTCAAAATCGTGAAAATTGAAACGACGATCGCATGAAAAATTTAATTGAATGTAATGTTCAATTTTCACAATAAGTTGGAAAATCATGACACCTACACTAGTAGAGGGGATTAATTATGATTAAAATATGAATTTGATTGAAGGCTGGGGGTCGATTTGGTCTCGCAAAATGTGCAGTTGTTAACTATTAACAAATGCACATTTGAGAAGCCTTGTTTGACTGGACTTTTTTAAATTGTTTTTTTGGTAAATGTTAAGAACGAGGGCCCCACCACCGATCCGATGGTTAAGTTTTCAGAAAGATCGGTGGTGGGACCCTCGTTCTTAACATTTACCATCTTTTTTTATCTTTCAAGTGGGCAATTCATTAACTATTAAAAAACAATCAGTTGGTCATATTCAACTCTACCATTCATTAACAGCCATTTACTTTATTTTATTTTTTTGAATGGTCTACCAGTTATTATTAACGAACCTCATTGACAATAAATGAATCATTCTATCGGTGCACCGAAACATTAATGACTAGTGTGGCTATTAAAAATTGTTCTCTAAAATTGCCGGTGCACTACTTTTTCACTGAAATTCCCAGGAATTGCGTCATTGAAAAAATCAATGGAAACTGTGAATTCCACTGTTCAATTATTCCATGGAAATGCATTGAAACTTTGGCGCTATTTGGTACTGAACATTGATGTTTTGATTTACAATTTAAGTGAGTTGAGGAATTCTCGCCTTTCTAATGTTAAAAAATGTGGAATTTAGCTGCGCTTAATTTTCAGTGCAATTTGAAATTTTATGATTTTTTTTCCTCAAGTCGAATTCACTATCATTCTCCTCAAAATCATTAGCCACTGGTAATTTTTCATGTTGATATATATATGAAAAACTAAAGATTTCCTGGTCGAGTGAGCCCCTCGTTGGAACTGACAGATGGATTTTGTCTCGTAATGCAATTCTCTTGGCCGAAATTTGGATGGAAAAATTCTCTTCCGAATAGCGCTCGAGCTTGAAAATGAATCAGGTATTTCCTTCAAGTTTCCCTCCATACAAACAAACGCGTCAAGTTTTCAGGAAAATTACTCGTGCTTCGCACTCGTAATTTTTTAACCTGAAAAATTTGACTCCTTCGTTTGTTTGCAACGAATCTATCAGGAAATACCTGACAATTTTGAAGCTCTTGTGGTATTATATACGAAAATTTCTAGTCGTCGACTATCCCCTGAATTTGAAGAAAAAATTTGGCGAATTTTGTTAAATTTAGTGATTTTAATAATTCTCCCTAGTAATCTTCACTGACTAACAACTGAAATTTACCATTTTCATAGATTTGTCATCAACTCATTACATTATTGAATGGAATATCTGATTTTTTAATTTTGAGACTTCCAAAAATCAAATACTCAATGTCACATTTCAGAACAAATAGTACTTGCTAACAATTCTCCCAACTTGGAACACAAAATCAAACCAAAAATTTTTAGCCCACTATCCCCTGAATTTTGAGAAAAAGCTTGGGGATTCACAAATAAGATACGGATTGGCGCCACTGATTGCCGCAGACCCTCTTCAACATGTGCATGATGATGTTGGACACAACAAGGAAAATTTCCTTTTCATCTGACGACATCAGGTGTGAAGAATCAGATATCTTATCTCTAGAGATAATGAGGCAATATTTAAAAGTATTACTGGTCAGCGGGCATTTCTTCTTGTATCAGTGCGTGGTGTGACATCGTCTAGTTCACTTTTCTCATTTCAAGAAGAAAAAAAAAACATTCAAGAGATTTTTACAAATAATATTCGGAGACCTCTGAAGACTGAATTCCGATTAAATATGGCACGAAGACACAGACACATGATTGGATACAGAATTCTCCTGGTTATTGCCATTCCTACAATGTACTTTTTATGCATTAGTTTAGCGGGTTTATTCACCAACGAGCCGGAGACTGATCACGCTTCCAATCGAATAAGTGAGTCTATTTAATACAAAAACATGCACTGTTAGAAATTCGTTGAAATTCAAATAACAATTGCGTAGGAATTTTCAATATTGTGAATCGGAATTTAATTTGAGATCAAAACATCAATAAAATTTCATATTCATCTTGAAAATTCAATAAAACGATTAATATTTCAGTGACCGCTTGAATACCACTTAAATTTTCAATAGCTGCCTGAATTCTCAAGTTTTAATAGTTTTCACGGTAATATGAACTAACGAATTGAAATTATGTACAATCATTCGGAAATTAAATCATTTTAAGTAAATTATTGGTTGTCGGAAATTTCAGAATTTCTTACCTGAAATTTCAAGATTAATTCTCTAACAGTGCAGAAATCATCTTTTTCTAAGGATGCACTTGCATTGTTTAAACAGCGAGGAGGATGAAATAATTAGGATGCAACAATCTCTCATTTGGGTTAAATAAATCGTTTATTCTATTCCTATAGAGGATTTATTTGAAATGAATGACTTATTTAGTTCGCGTAAATAAAACATTTTCATCACGCTGTGTATAAAGTGACATTTTACGCACGCTCCGCGTACGCAAAACCCCACTTCCCACACATTGTGATGAAAAATAGGGTTCGATACTCGCGGGAAAAGGGTTTTTAGACCCGTGGGATTATATCACTCGCCTTCGGCTCGTGTTATAAACTTCCCACGAGCCCAAAAACACTTTCCCGCAATCGTATCAAAATATACTATTTCGTAGAAATTAATGGAAAACCTTAAAATAAAGATCTTTTGGATCACTTGTGTGTAAAGTGAAATTTTAAATTCCACTTTTCACATATTGTGATGAAAAATAGGATTTGATACCCGTGGGAAAAACAATTTTACACACTCGTATCGAAATATACTAATTTTTTATTCAAACGCGTCATTCTCGCTGCATTATACGGAGAGAAATTTTCTAGAAAAATTCTAGTACGAGTACTGGAAAAAATTACAATTCACCGGCTGTGAAGAATTCTAGTGCTGTTAGGGTAAAATTTCTTGGTATTTCTGGTAAATTTTCTGGGGATTTCTGTGAATTTTTCACAGAAATACGGGGAAAAATTCACGTTTTCCCCAATAAAATTTCTAGTGCCGGCATTGGAATTTTTTCCTGGCCGTCACTTTGCACCTCTTGTCGCGCTAGCACTAGAATTTTTCGAAAAAATTTCTCTCCGTGTATGTATTGTCTCTGAAGTTGTAGATGAAGTTTGAAATTCGTGAATCAATTCTAATCAGAGGCAAATGGGGTACAGTGAACTCGCCATTTTCTTTCAAAGTTAGTGACATGTTGAATTGTTGCTGAAATGGGATAATTTTTTTCTCATGAAAAGTACTCTTTATAACAAGCCTACTTCGAATTCAATTAACAAATTATGAACGATGAAAAATAAATGTAAAAATTGTCCCTCTTACCCTATTCACCCTTGTATGAAACCAAAGATGACACATGCAAGCCAACGTACAGGAATAAATTAAATAAAAGTGGATAATAAAAAATATACAGACAAATCAAACCGCCCATTCATTAATATACTCATGATGGTGCAAGATTTCTTCCTGATAAATGATATCGCAACTCAATGGAAAAAGACGGATATCGCGCGCGTCACGACGTCTGAAATACTTGAATCGATACCCATCATATTCATCATATATATCTCCCTCTTTTGCCCGAGTGTCACGTGAAGGCAATCGAATTACATCTCCAATCTCTCGAAACGGGAGACGTAATTTGCGATGGTATTTCATTCATCTCGTTAGGTTCTTTTTCCTTCATCTTGGGGATTTTCTTTTCCAGGAGTGAGAAAATTGATGCAGATTGGAGAACCTGAGCTGAATGGGAGTCACAATTGTACCCAGCCTTCGATACAAGAATTCCCGTCTGACGGATTTACTGCTGATGAGAGACGCTCTGGTTACATACTCATTCATATCATCTTGGCGTTGTACTTGTTCCTTCTTGTTGCTATCGTCTGCGATGACTTCTTCGTACCCTCGATACAACGCATCTGCGACAGTCAGTATTGTATTTCGGGTTTTGCGGAAACTTTTTTTCTTTTTTTTATCGTTGATATCATTTTCGCTGTTTCTAGTTGAATATTAGAGAGTCAGTTTAAAGCCCAGTTGATTTCATTTTTTAAACCTCGAAAGGTGTAGGACTAATCCGTGTTTTTAAAAAATCAGAGCACATGGTAAAAATTTAAAAAACAATGAAGACTTTTTGGATAGATTTCATAATTAATTTGTAAGCAATAAATTTTCGGTTCAACAAATACTGTTCGAAATCATTATAAATTTGTTCATATTCAGGATTTTTTCATTTATAAATCCATTTCATGCAAAAAGGTGGAATTTCTAAGAGATTGAACGATTTTAAACATGAATTTTTGGAAAAGAAATGTAAAAAAGCAGTTTTCCCAAGATACATTATTAATAGAAAAAATTGATGGTTGAAAATTCCCGGATCTATCAGCTGTAAGAAATCCTTAAGGAAATCCAAATAATATGGTCAATAGCTTTTCGTTAAAATCCATTTATCGTTTAACCTTATTTGACTCATCATTTAGATATAAACTCTAAATCTCCGAAATCTCATCTCCAATTTCGACCGTTACAAACTATTTTGAAAATCTGGAAAAAATTAGAAGATTCTCTTCTTGCAGAAAATTCGTTCAATTATTGGAAAAGTATATTTTTTCGAACAATAATAAACAATAAACATAAACAATCAATGAAAATCAAAAATAAAACAAATGAAAATAATTTTCAACATTTTTTGCAAAATTTGATGATTAAAAGTCTCCAAGTAGTGAGCAGTCAATTGTAAAATATGCATTATGATGTAAAACTGATTCATGTATGACTCTTTCGATGTGATGTCACAATGTAACAGTTTTTAATCTTCTTTATGACTCGTTCATATTTTTTATCTTTCAAAATGCATGAATTTTCATACACGGTTCTAACATGCATTATCCTTCAATAATACACGAAGAGAAATTTTCTAGAAAAATTCTAGTACGAGTACTGGAAAAAATCACAATCCATCGGCTGTGAAAAATTGTACTTACTTCTGTTAAGGTAAAATTTCTTAGTATTTCTGGTAAAACCCCGAGACCTTCAAAATTATCGGAATATTTCGGAATATTATCGGAAAGTGTCAAGTTTTGCAGGCTAAAAATCCCGAGTGCACAGAACGAGGGATTTTTCTGCAAAACTTGACACTTCTGTTTGTTTGCAAGGAACCTTGCGGGAAATATTGCGATTAATTTTGAAGGTGGAGGGGTATTCGGCGGAGAATTTACCGGGACTGAATTTTGGCCAAGCGGAGCGCAGTATTCGGCGGCTTCTTCCAGCAAAACATCCAATTGGTTAGAAATAAATGAAGAGCTACTATGCAATTATCAGATGCAATGTCCAGGAGCTAGTGTGCAATTTCCGAAAAAATTTGATAACAAAAGAGTATCGTGACCTCGAATACTGCGCGGTGATTGGCTACAATCCAGTCCCGGAAAATCCTCACAGAAATACAGGGGAAAATTCACGTTTTCCCCAATAAAATTTCTAGTGCTGGCACTGGAATTTTTTCCTGCCCGTCACTTTGCGCCTCTTTTTCCGTGCTAGGACTAGAATTTTTCTAAAAAATTTCTCTCCGTGTAGATTTTTATCCCAGGGAGGTAAGATAAAGGAGTCATGCCCAAGTGCGGAATTGGTAAGCACGTGGGTATTTTCCCTCCCGCGGTTAGAACCGCGTTTTTCGCCTCGCCGTAGGCGCAAAGTCAAATTTCCCTCCCGCGGAGCGGGGGTTTCAGTAACTGTTTGTTGAAAGCCCCAAATCTGTTCTCTCTTTGCATACGGAGAGAAATATTCAGTAAAAATTATGGAACTCACAGTTCGCTCACAGATTACGGAATGCACTCAGAAAATTTAAGTGACGGTATTGTAATTTTTCACAGGAGATTCAGATAAAAATTCTTGAAGAAAAAACGCTCTGAAAAAATTCCGTGATTTTGGGCAAAAATTACGTGACAGTTCCGTAAAATTTCCTACAACCACATTTCGCTCCGGAATTACGGAAAAGATACGTAATTTTTATTGACTATTTCTCTCCGTGTATCTAATATTGTTCCCTCTACTTTCAACCAATGATTTCAAGAAATCATGTCGAATAATATTGTTCCCTCTACCTTGAACCAATGATTTTACGAAATCATGCCCCCCGCAGTTATGTTTGTGATAACGCCCAGCGTCCTAACAGACCTGATATTAATGATAATTAATTACAGAATTTGGAATGCCAAGGGACGTGGCGGGCGCTACGTTCATGGCAGCAGCAACATCCAGCCCCGAGTTATTTATCAATGTCGTTGGGACATTCATAACAGAAGGGGACTTAGGCATTGGCACTATTGTTGGATCAGCAGTATTCAATATCCTGGCTGTGCCTGCATGCTGTGGACTCTTTGCAAAAGAGGTTGATATCTCCCCCGCAAACATTAAATATTATTTTAAAAAATTTGGGATAAAATTTGAAATCCCGTAAAAGCTACTTTTTCTCGAATATTCAAGAAAAATTTGTTCTTTGGATATTGTGGGAATGCAGCTTATGGAATGGAAAATTTCCCTAGCTGTCCAATGGCAATTGTATCTCTACATTTTAAATGGGCATATCTTCTATTGATTTCAAATTTATGTTTGAAATTACATGGAAATGAATGGTTCTTCTCGGGGATTTCCAACAGTACAGTAGGTTTTCTCACGTATAGAAAAATTAAGTAGAAAAAGATGGTGTAGAATCGTTTTGAAAGGACGAAATGGATCGAAAAAAGTCGATAGATTTTTATTTTTGCATTTTATTTCATTTTTTATTTCTTATTTTTTTCCTTTTTTATTTTTATATGACTTATCTTCTTGAGATTTTCGCTAACACCTTAGAAACGGCGTTTGTACGTCGTATGGACACGTGCGAAACCACATGACTGTTTTCGAAATAAAATATTTTCGAAACTATTGCACATAATGCAATCAGACCAATTCGAATTTCGACGCCATTCGAAAGCTGTATAGTGTAGCTTCAATTTGATATAGTTTTACCATTTTTCATCCATCAGACGTCATCGAATCTCACCAAGATTGAGTCCGCGTTGCACTTGGTAACAGAAGGGCCCCGTACGTGAGGGGCTAAAGAAATTCTGTGGATATAACTTTGCAAATTATTTCTACTCTATTTCTATGGTTTTTATTCAAAAATCCACAGGAACAAATTTGATAAATACATATCGGAGAATTTTTCCGAAACAAATCACAACATGCTATGTAGAAAAATCACCATCTGTTGGCTTTTTCCTATGAAATATCAAATTTTATCGGAAATTCTATGTAATTTGGTATTGATTATTTTTCCCCAATGGGATTTCGACCAATCAGAGCGCAGCATTTACGCTACCCGACAGTTTTATTTCGGATATTTCCTTCTAGCTTTTGAATATTTCGCAGTAGCTCCTTATTTTTTCGGCTCATTTCAGATAGCATCTTATATTTGACAGTCTATGGAAATCGGGTTATTCTATTAACATAATTTTTTCAAATCTTCTCCAATTCACCTCCTGATGTTGTCCACTGCACTTTGCTTGGCCAAAATCCGACTGGGAAAAATAATCCGACAAATACCCCTCGAGATTCAAAATTAATCGGGTATTTCCCTCACGCTTCCCTGCAAACAAACCATCGTGCCAAGTTTTGCCGAAAAATCGCTCGCCCAAGCGCTCGGGATTTTTTAACCTGCAAAATGTGACACCCTCATTTGTTTGCAACGAAGGCATCGGGAAATGCCTAATAATTTTGAAGCTCTTGCGGTATTACTACTGAATATTTATATTAAATTGGAAATTTAAATAAATTAAGGAATTCTCGTCTTCGTGCCGCTTAAAAATCTGGAATTTTACTGAATTTTCAGTGAAACCTGAAATTTCACTATTTTGTTCCCTTAAATCGTATTCAGTCTCACTGTCCTGAAAATTAGTAATCAACTGTCCATGAAATTTCATTTTTTTTCTAGCATTGTTGTCTCAATTAAATATGGGCTAGATATTGGGAAATTTTTCTCTCAGTCTAGATCAGCGCGCTTGTCCATTCTAGTATTATACAATTGGTATAGACATTGTCGAATTCTGTTATACGCGATACAATGAACTCGATTGTTATTTCTTTTTTTCAGATTCTAGATCTTGATTGGTGGCCAATAACTCGTGACTCACTGTCCTACGCAATAACCGTCTTATTACTGATAGTAACTCTCCGCGACGGTCGTATCGAGTGGTACGAAGCATTAATTCTCGTTATTGTCTATATTTTGTATATTATGGGTAGGTAAAAAAGTTCTGGGACAGCATCACTGATTTCAGAGTTTCATATTGTATTTTAAAATCCTCGAAGTCTACAAGTCGATGATATCCGTCACATTAATTTATAATGATTCTTCCAGCGATGTACTTCAACAGAGGTATTAGTCGGTGCATGGGCTCGATGGTCTCGAAACGCAACGAGTACAAGAACCTCGATGATCGGCCCCTGCTACCTAAACGTAACTCGCGTTATCTCTCATTCTTATCGAAAACCCAACAAATCGGCCGCTAACATTTCCGTGAATGCAATTTTTCCAGATATTTCCGATCCTAAAATCACGGATAGTTGTGAATTTGATGAGGATGAGTCGCTGGAAATAGTAAATATGACGTCATGGCCAGAGTCGAAATGCGAAAAATTCTGGTGGCTGCTAACTTGGCCGATTAATCTGGTGCTTCTGTGTACAATACCAGATAGCAGAAGGAAATCGCTGAAATCTTGGTATCCAGTCACCTTCTTTATGTGCATCGTCTGGATTGCCAGCATGTCGTATATTGTCGCTTGGGATATTACGATTATTGGTAATTATGTAACACGAATAACGTCACGTATGAAAAAAAAAAACAATAGAACATATGCATTTACTAGTTTTTTATGGGTATTCTTTCTTTATTCGAAAAAAAATCGATTTGAAAATTTTCCGGAGACGAAAATTAAATTTGTTTAGTTCTTTCCGCCCACTTTTTCGCATTTTTTGAATTTCTTCTCACTGAAATATTCATATCCCTCTGATATGTGAAGAAAAAAAGTGATTCGCAGTTCTCGCCGACATAAAAGAAGAAAAACAAATTTTTTCTAGCACGATCATCCCTTTCTGATTTTTTTGTCATTTCCTTTTCATAATAATAATTGGAATCCGAACATAGGAATGAGGCGTATCGATGTCCTTTTACCATAAGAGGGGAAAATAGATTTAAACAAATTTTCAGAAATACATGGAGAGATTTTTCTATTACCCGAATGCGATCTCAAATGACTTTTGTTTAGCGTGTTTGTTTTGATCGCAAAAAAAAACACTTTTGATTGATTTTTAACATAATTCCTCTTCATTCAATGTTGTAACTTGTGAATTAAGGATAAAAATATATATAATAAGAATAAGAATGGATAAAATTGAAGCCGGGAATGGAAAGAGAATAAAATAAAATAGAATAGCATAAATTAATCTAGCGACTGGCACGAAGAGCCCGTTTGCTAGTTGATAGTTAATTTAAAAATTTAAAATTGATGAGTACTATTAATAATTGACTTCTTCAAAATTTAACTTTATCTAAAATTTATAATTCTGTCGATGTCTTCATTGATTCATACACATTAAAAAAAGCCCGTTACATAGAAGCGCTCGTTCAGTAGGTGATGATTAATTTAATCATTGAAAATTGATGAGTACTATTAATAATTGACTTCTTCAAAATTTAACTTTATATAAAATTCATGATTCTGCCGATGTCTGGATTGATTCATACGCATCAAAAAAAGCCCGTTACATAGAAGCGCCCGTTCGCTAGTTGATGATTCATTTAATTATTTAAAATTGATGAGTACTATTAATAATTGATTTCTTCAAAATTTAACTTTATCTAAAATTTATGATTTTATCTATATCTGGATTATTTCATACGCATTAAAAAAAGCCCGTGATATAGAAGCGCCCGTTCACTAGTTGATGATTAACTCTATAATTAAAAATTGATGAGTACTCTTAATGATTGACTGCCTCAAAATTTAACTTTATTTAAAATTCATCATTCTGCCGATGTTTGGATTGTTTCATACGCGTCAACCAAATCCTTTACATTTTCAAATCAAAATTTAATCACCATAATTCGCCCTTTTCTGCAGGCGATACATTCAAAATTCCTGACTCTGTCATGGGTTTGACATTCCTAGCTGCCGGAATGAGCGTACCCGAGGCAGTTTCCAGCGTTATCGTTACTAATCAAGGTGAGACTCCTAGGATATCTCCGACGACGAGACTATCGACAATCGATAACAGTTGCATAATTCAGGAAATCCCCTAAACCCAACACTCATTTAAAATACAACTTTCAGGTCACGGTACAATGGGCATCAGTAATTCAATCGGATCGAATGTCTTCGACGTGCTGCTGTGTCTCGGCTTGCCATGGTTCATAAAAGCAGCATTTTACCCAAAAATACCGGGGACTAGTTACGTGCAGATCAATTCCGAGGGTCTAGTTTATAGTTCTGTTTCACTATTTTCGACTCTGATGGTTCTCTACCTCGCGTTCTTCATCAACAAATTCAGATTAGATCGCAAGGTTGGGATCACTTGTCTCGTTACTTACGGAGTCTTTCTTATTCTTGCGTCATTGACGGAGCTCAATGTATTCTTCGCTGTGAATCGACCCACGTGTGTTCACTGACGATGTCTTAAGGCTTAGGCCTTTTATTAATTGTTTAGGTGATATTGATATCGTTATTCTAGGTATTTATGATAGTCGTTGTAAAGGATTGACAAACTGTGCTCTAGAAGATATAAAGTACGGTGATGTTTACCAACAGATTTTTAATTAATTTAGCAGTCTGAGTATATTAATACAGTAGTTATCTTCGTTGATTCTGTAGGGATTAAAAAATATACATTTCTAGATGCGAAAAGGAAGGAACCTCTGTTATGTGCAGTTGACAGAGCGGTTCGTGTACAAAGAATTATCATCATGTAGTTGAATATAAAATAGTGATAACCACTTTGACGAAATAATTTTTCATTGTAGTTGTTCGTACTTTGAAATCATTTCTAAATTTGTTTATTTTTTTTAACTGTGAGAAATTATTCAAACCCTGATAGATCAAACCCAGAATTTACTCTGGGTTTGATTCATCTGGGAAAATATATTTTTGAGAAGAATTTATGGATAATTTAGGAACATTCAATTTGGTAATAAGAAAATCATTTTTTTCGAAAGTGTGACAAATGTGTTCATGTTCAGAATTTCAGGAGAAATTTTTTTTATGCAAAAACATGAAATTTCCGCAAGTGTGAACAATTTTGAACATGAATTTTTGAAAGAAAAATCTCAAAAAAGTCAGTTTTTACAAAATGATGTATACTTAATTAACAAATTTAACATTTGAAGAACCAAATATTTTCGTCGTTTATTCAGAATTTTAATTTTATAAGAAAATGAGAAAACATTACAAGAATCTGTAAAAAATCTAGAAATTCCACTTCTTGCGAATAAATTATAAAATTATTCAAAAATGAACTATAGTCCTGTGGTTAAAATACGAAATAGAGATGCTTTTATTGACGAAATAATGTTTTCGTTAACGACATTCACACTTTGGAACCATTTCCCTTTCACTTTATCACGTATTCATGCTTCACTGCAAATAGTTTCTCAATACTCACTAAACTCGTCGTAAATTTATTTTTAGAGGTCCTGCACTTTATTAATGTTTCTTTAGTTCCACCTATGATTCGACAACGTTTTCCACATGGAAAAAGTTGTTTATCTACTTGCAGTAATGAAAGAATTCTAGTATTAGAGGTATCATAAAATTTTTATGTATTTACAATTATTTCATATAATAAAACATGAACTTTCATTCTCGCCCTCTAAAAATAGTGAAACTTGCCTCGATTGCCTTGTCTCCTTACTATTACTTGCTTTACCCCCAACGAAGTGATATATAACATCTCGTAAAATAGACTATAATTAGAGTATATCTATCACTTATTGAAGAATAATGAACGATATTGTCTTCCAGAAAGCACAACATGGTCATCCTAATCTTGGGTAACTTGCACCACCGACATCGGCTTTGTACCTTTTCATATCTCTAACTAACTATTTATATGTCAACCTAGAAGTGTGGTTTCATCGTGATCCCTCCCGGACGGATTTGGTCTGTTTATGCGATGATAAATGTGTCAGACTGATAATTTCTTTTCTGCAAATTTGACAGATATTTCTCACATTTTGGTGAAATTTGTCCCGTAACCCCGAACCCTGCACCCTGATCGGCCAAAATCAGAATTGAAAAAATTGTCCTCCGAATACCCCTCGACCTTCAAAATTCATAGGATATTTCCCTCAAGTTTTCCTGCATATCAACGATCGGGATCAGCTTTGCAGTAAAAATCTGTTTTCTACGGATACCTTAAGAATTTAAGAAAGAGCTCCATTCTCACGGCTTTCTCCACTAAAATTCCGGCAAAAAACCTCTCCAATTTTTACGAAACAGACACCATCCTCCACAATTACCTTCCAGACCACAGTTTTTACGTTTGTTCACTGGTAATTTCTCCAAAGTTTTCTTCGCTGTGTAAGGAAGAACGCAGAGGGACCTTTGACTCACCAGAAGGGAAAACATTGTCATCATCTCTTATAAAATATCATCAAACATAACAATAGAGTAAAATAAAAAAATTATCTAATCGACTTCTAATTTACGGAATGAGCCAGTGATGCCGCAGAGGCCATCACTCGCAGCTGAGCAGGAATCCTTGGGGGATATTTCGATGTACATGTCGTCCAGGGCCTTCAGATCGTCCCTCTTCGCACGCAGCTTCTCTTTGAAGGTCGCTGAGAGCGAGGACAAAAAAGCAAATATTACGTCTTGCACCTCTCCATCTCTTCGTCTATTACAAGTCATAAATCCCCTGATATGTTTTTTTCCAATGGAGAATATCAGTTCCGCATAAATATGGAAATGAAATTTTTTTTAGGTAAATTATAGTCATTCCATGACAGCAGGGAAATGTATCAGAACAGCTTACGAATTGTTTTTTCGAACCCGTAGACTAGACAAGACATGAAGCAAAAAAATCTGGACTGAATGAATGCGGAATGCATTTATCTCACATGTAAAATTACTACTTCGATTTGCTGATGATTACTTACCAATCATATCCGCGAGCGGTACAACACCGCCATACTCCTTCGGCAATATCTTGGGATTTACTGTTTCCGCCAGGTCCTCAAGGCTCTTATGCACCTGTTTGCAGAAAATTTGAAATGTAAATACACCGTAATGGGGAGAAGTGCTAAAGCTTTATTTCCCGAAACGGCAGAGTCAATATTTACGTATATCCGAGATCTCAGTTTGTCGTTGAGCAGTGAAACAGCGAATTCGAGTATCTTGGAGCCGAACGCTGGGATGTTAATGAAGTGCGTCCCTTTGTGACGGATAGGTGTGCTGTTTTGTATGCATCTTAGCATATTTCGAATGTCCGTCAAGGACCAGGCACTGATGTGGCCCATTGTCAGACCGGATTCGTCATTTATGTGGGTGTAACCGTGGACTTGATTCTCTTCCTCGTCCATGAGGGTTTCTAGGACGACACTGTGAGCACGCGCCATGTGGGCTGATGTGTATTTGTAAGGATCGAAGCGACCTATCGGTAAAGATCAATTCATTAATTCAGTATTAAGTGTAGCAACACGATTTTTGACTGTTGCTCAAGTCGCTTTCGTCGCGTAGTTGAGCGGTTTTGTGAGAAAATATCAAAGGGCCTTGTTAGCCGCTCACGGAGGGGGCCCTTCTGTGTCCAAGCGTGTTATACACTCGATACAACTAGAATTCGATGAGTCATAATCAATGGAAAATTATAAAACTTGTACTTAATTGAAGCTACATTATTCCTTTTTTCGATGTCGTTTCTTTGGTCGAGTTCATCTCTATAATTTTGAAAAGAGTCATTCACATTTTCATGGGTCGATATCATGTATCGATCCTGTAGCTTAGTTGGTGCCTACATTGGCTAAGAAATTTTTTTTTCTCTTTTTATTATGCAAATATTTGATAACAGCAAGTCATTTCAACAGCAATTGTCAATTTTCTCCCGTGAGAACATCGCTAAAAGAATCAAAATCTTTTCCTACCGAATTCTTAAAACATTTCGACCCCAGAATCTAAGATTTTTTACATTTTCAATTGGTCCATAATTGAATGGAGTGCGAAATATATATTCGTTATACATTTCCACATCAATTGCGCCCTTTTCGATAGCAGAAAAATATCTTCAACAGTTATTATTGGCTATTATATCAGCCTCCGCGCTTGTGGGTAATTGCGCCCAGAGTTTGTGGGTAATGCCGCCCAGGGTTTCTGTAGGGCTGCTAGACTCTGCAGCTAGAGGGCGGTCGAGTGACAGCTCGATTGTTTGGGGTAGTCGGTGACCACTGGAACATCGGGGAAATTCAGGATAATTTATTGTTATTCACGTCAAATCTTTCTCAAAATGGAGCCAAAGAAGGGAAACGAAGGATGAAAATGGGAAAAATTACAGCAGTCGGTCTGCATTGCTCAAAACAGTCATGAAAACAAGGGGGGCGGTATTAGACGCATGTGGGGCGGTATTACCCGCAGAGTTCGATTCCATCTCTCACTGGCCGATGACAATTGAATTACATAATTAAATATGTTTCTCTCTATATAAATAAAAAAATAAGGCGAAAAATTCAGGGGACGCTCAAGTTCAGGGGACGCTTAAATTCAGAGGACGCTTAACTTCAGGGGCCTCTTAAATTCAGGGGACGCTTAAATTCAGAGGACGCTCAAATTCAGGGGCCTCTTAAATTCAGGGGACGCTGGGTGCCTATACGGGAGTTCCTATATGGGGAGGTGCCTGAATTTATAAGGGATGTCTATATGAGGCGGTGGTCATAAAGGGGATATCGATATTTATGGAGGATTACTATATTAGGGGGTGCTCATAAAAAAGATATTTATGGGTACGGTCACACCGCTGCTGTCACACGGCCGGGGGGGGGCCAGGTTGGCGAGCGGAGCGAGCAGGGGGCGAAGCCCCCTAGTAATGTTAATAAAAAATCTGTCCTCTTCACATCTTGGAGTAAACACCTCGAAGAACCCATTCTAACCGTTTACGACTCCTTGTAGAGTGCGAGGCTGGCAAAAAGACTCATTTCCCTTAGGTGGGCGGCACATGCGCCAGCTACTCGACGTGAGGGGTTAGTAGGCCTATACTATACGTTTCCGGGCTGTTGCGATGGGGTTTTTCTACTCGCGCGCAGTTGGCGTCAGAACCGAAGGCGAGGACTGGTCAGCCGCGCGAGTGGAAAAAGCCCTATCGCGACAGCCCGGGCGTCCTTTTCCGTAGTGATTTTCAAGTTTTCGAGTTTGGAAAGTACGCAGTACCAATTGCTCGACGAGAAATCGGGAGAAGCAGTACGGAAAAGGATTTGTAAGGTTTTTCTCTATGAATATTTGGTCCTGAGATCAACGTACGAATCCCGAAGAAGACGAATTTCATTTCCGAAACTCATATGCGCAAGACAAAATCACTTGTCTTCCGAACGTTATGAAATGTGAACATGTGGAATGTGAATTCTTCTCTTTTACAACTTGTCTTCCGGAAATCGAACTGGCATGTTCACCAACAAACTTCCCAGGATATTTTTTGTAACCCATGAAATTTTCTACCAAAAACGTCTTGTGATGATTTGTTCCATTGTAACTCTTTTCCAAGCCAAATTCTCAACTATAAAAACCGACTAATTTTAATCGTGAAATTTACGAACACCAGAGAAACAAATCGTCCTCCAAACATCAATTTCTTTCCGGTTTAGTACATTAGAGTACAAGGGCACAAATTTCGTTTTCGACGAATGTGAAGTTTACAGGCCGAGCCGAAGGCGAGGTCTGTATTCACATTCGTTGAAAACGAAGTTTATGCCCGAGTGGTCTATACTATTTTATGCCACATCGTGCAGAATCCGAGTTTGAAGCACGCTGCGCGAAGCGCAGCGTGCGATAAACTCGACTTATTGCACGGCGTGCAATGAAAATATTTATCACCAAAGTGATTATCACATAAAATTCCCTCCAGTAAAATCCCGTAAAGTTTTCTTCTAAAAACACTTGCTTCCAACGTAAATCCACGTACGAAAAAATCGTATAGAAATTCTCGATACGGATTGCGTATAGAATTTCTATAGGCTTATCGTATATGATATTCGGATATTTCTACACGGATATTTTTTATACAAATTATTTCTATACACTTCTATAAGTTTGATCCTATACGACCCACTGCCACATGTATGGAAACATTTAGTATGGAGTTAGACACCTTTCGTATGAAAACAAAAATTTATGGAAAAATTTATGTAGAGAAATAATTGGTATAGAAAATTTCTGTACGATTTTTTCATACGTGTCGATCTACGAAAAGTCGAATCCCTTCCAAAACTCACCAGCACACGACAAAATAACTTGTCTCCCACTCTCGTCCCTCTCCAGCATAGGGACCAAATACCCCGCATCGATAATAGCCTCGATCTCAGGATCATTGATATCGAGTTTCTGGAACCAGTCGGGATAGACCTGCCTAATAGTGAGATATCGCTCGAGCATTTCCTGAGCCATGGGGAGACTGAACTTCTTGGTCCTCAAGAACCTCAGAAGAAAGACAGGATCAGTCCTGCATCTCTTAATCGTCGGATGCTTCAGGATCCACTGTCGAAATTGCTCGAGCAACTGATCTCTGATGGCATCATCCTCCCTGAGCTCGTCCTTGGCGACGGTCTGATCTTCCTCGCTCAAACCGCACTGGTAGTCCATATCACTGCCCATTCCCATTTTTCTGTGAACACCAAGTCGTCCATTAGCACATCATTCTTATTTTTCTCTCATATTCTCTTGCAAAATAGCGCATGTGCGCACGTCTTAGCATATCAATGGATGTCACAATGACCTTGAACCCTATGGTAATAAACAAGTCATTTTTTGCCTCCATTTCTCTCATGTTTGGTGACCCAAAGAAAACAAACATTGAGACTGGATAATTCGCGGTAAGAACCACGTGAATGGAATAAGAATGGCAATGGTGATATTTTTGAATAAACTTCACGAAAATGATGCGACCCACGTCTGCCAGCGATACGTGACGTAACCCTTGGATTACATTTTTTAGAAAGTTATACCTGATGGGCGAGACCCAGCAGGAAATCCGTTTTGGTGGAAATTACATAACATCTCTCGAATTATGAGTTTGACCAGAGTTAGGTAACAATTTCGATTGCGTTAGAATTTATTTGTCCACATGACTTTTTTGAGCTTGAGCGTTTGTGCACTTTGAACTCGTGTCATTCCGTTTATTGTGGCTTATTCAATCGACACTGAGAGAGATTACTAATCTAACATTGAGGATTATTTAGCAATAGCTCCAAATAACCGTACGAAAACGAAAGTGAGACGGCATTGGCAAGCATAATCGAATCTCACTGGACTTTCTATTTCACTTTCTTCGTAGCCTTGTACTTCTTATATTTAATAAATTCGCGAATTTTAATTCATTGGTCTCCACCTGGGGCGGACGTGAAATCTTCTCTCTAATCCTTCACGAAATTTTCATCTCGGTAATTGGTTACTATCTTCAATCCCAAGATGAGGATCAATATTTATGATTATGGGGGAAAAAATTCACTTTCACTTGCTGGCTATTATGATTAATAGCTTCTTGTGTTTAGTATGAATACGAGGAAAATTGCTTTAACAATGGAAATAGAAACTTGACACACACCAAACGCGATCGAGTTACTGTTCACACCTTCTCGGAGAAGCTGACTGGCCGGTTACTTAAGCTGAAGTAACCGGGTTGCTTAGATGTGCGATCAATTTAAGTGGGGAACCGCGACTCGACCCACTCCCTATCACTCAGGTGATCGCTTTTACTTGAGTCTATTTGTCCCTGAACCGACTATACTTCACACTGAGAGAAAAATCTGAAGTTCGATGTACAATAAGAAAATAGTTGAGGCATTTTGGTGAACGATACGATTTTTTTTGTATGCGGCATATAACATTATACACGGAGAGAAATATTCAATAAAAATTACCAGAAAAAAGACGTAAAAATTACGTTTCGAAACTTAATTTGGGAGCGAAGTAAAATTCAATAAAAAGTGTCAATCGTCGCGTAAATTCTACGATCTGTTCCGTAAAAATTACTCATCCGTCCGACGCCTCCCGGCTAGCCATGAGTCACCGTGAGGGAGAGATTTTAACAACACGTTCCGTAATTTTTCCGGAACTTTTCGTAAAAATTCTTAAACATTCAAGAATTTTCATGTTCTGAGGCATAATAAGTCTTGAAGTTTCTGTCAGATTTTACAACTTCCAGAAAAATTACGTGACTTTTTCGTATTTTTTCGGTGACAGACCCGAAAATTTACTGAACGTGTCGGATTTATTCTCTTATATTCCTATAGAAATTCACTGAAAACGATTCTCGCTTGCGGATTACGTGAAATGTTCCGTAATTTTTCTTGAATATTTCTCTCCGTGTAGGCACTTCACAAGCGTAATTTTTGCAAATCTAAATGCAGTTAAACTAACCAAAGTTCAAAAGTAACCACGACAAATCTATCGTGAGGAGAACTATAAAATAGTTGCAATGACTACATTCCATTGTAGTAATTACTTCTCCGGCCATAGTTACCGTAACCCATGAAAAATTGTTGAGGACTTTTTGACTATAATTCGATGGTGATGGAATATAGTCAGAAGAATTATATTTTTCTCTCAGTGCACCACTAAGAGTTTTTTCTCGTGGAATCTCCAGTTGAGACCAAGTATTCGTCTTCATGTCGAGGGATTACGTATTATTCTCGGAGGAGTATCAAGGGTACTGGGCTCTTTGGCATTTCTGCAACCCTTCACTTGGAGAAAGTGCGGAAGAGCGAGTTGCCCGATTTTTTGGGACAATGCGGAAATTTCATGCGCGAAACGGAAATGGAATATGCATGGTTTGCCATTCTGTGGTTTTATTTATTGAGCTGAATAAAAAATTGATTTGTGGCAATTAGTATATCTTTGTTTCATACATTTTAATGAGTAATATTTTTTTTCTGAGTCACTTTGCCACCAGTTTATGCTCTTTCTTTCGTCGAGAGTTCTTGCTGCTGGTTTCTTGATTAATTATCTCTTCGGATTTAACGGAAAATAGATTTATGACATTCGTTGTAGGGCCGGTTGCGTCAAGCCCTGTTAGCCAAATAAATCGTAAGAATAAATTTATGTCTGGCGTACATTTCAGTAGCGAAGCGGTAAACCGGGTTAAGTCGATTTTGACTTTTGGCCATTTTTTGACAAATATCTTGGAATCTAAGAGAGATAGCAAAATTTTGTTCATTACCTGTTTTATAACCCTCAGTTGGCTCTACAAAAAAGGTCATGACAAAAATTTTTCTATCTCTTTTAGATTCCCAGATATTCGTCAAAAACTGGCCAATAGTCAAAATCGACTTAACCCGGTTTACCGCTTCGCTACTGATTTATTCCTGACCTGTTGGAGAATTTTAAGAATTCGTCATAAAGTGATTTCATTCAGGCATGCCGTCGAGAATATCGACTAAATACTTCATAATTAGTGGCATTATTGGTATTTCGATCAAAATTGATCGGTAGATTATTTTTATTTATTCCGATAGTTTACTGAGAATTTTCTTAACTGGGCTTAGTGCAACCGGCCCCTAGACTAGTGTTATATCCTTCAGAATTCGTGAGAGCCGTTTGCACTGTGCCATGTTAGCCAAATATAAATCGTCAAAATAAATTCATGTCCGGAGTTAATTCGTCGTAGATGAGCACTTTTATTCAGCTATTCGTTGGTGAATATTGCCTAAATACTTCATAATTAGTGGTATTATTAACAAATAGTGATGATACACCGATACACCATGATTTTCGGTGAAATATCTTCGATGAACTTTCGATGAAATTCCCTCCGTACCATGTCAATGTTTTTTTATTCACTCTCGGCAAAGAGTCTATTCTCGTCATCGATGAATTCCTAAATTCTTCTAATCTAAGGATTTAAAAACCCTGCACATTATTATATCTCTCACGTTGAAATGTATCGAGTCCAACTCACGAAAGAAATTAACTATGTAGCTAAGTTTAACTAAATCCTAAGAAAAATCCAAAGTTTAGAAGTAATCCTGTTAGAAGTAAACCTGTAGACAATATTATGCAAAATAATTGTATTTTTGCTGTAGAATCAACCGTCACGGTTTGAATGTAATAATAAAAAAAAAACTTTCGAGGAAAATTGATCGGCAAATGATTTTTATTCATTTGAATATTTAAATGAGCATTTTCTTAACTGGGCTTGGTGCAACCGGGCCTTTGAATGCTTCAGAAAAATTATCACATTTTTTATTTTCATTGAACAATAAAAACGAATTAATTTGTTAGAATTTTTATATCGTCGTTCTATCTATTATTGCACCTGATAAAAGTTAAGTTTATCACTGTTTCACTTTCCATTCATCGTGGGCTTTTGTTGCAGATTTTTTAATCTATTTTCTCATCATGCTTGATAATCAATAATTTCATGAAACTCATGCGAGGATATTTTCTCCTCCTGAATTTATGAATAAATTACATGAACAAAAGCCTTAAAAATTGCTTAATTTTCGAGTCTCATTGTTGCAGATGAAGAAATTAATTCACTGCAATTTTCAGATTTTCTCTTCCATTATTTTAATCGCAGAAAGTTTTTTGTCATCATCATTTCATTCTTTGCATTCATCAGAGTTCTTTGTTCCTGATTTTTAATTAGTTTCCTCTCTTCATGCTCAAATCAAAATTACTTCTTGAAATTCGTGATGGGATATTGGTTTCTGCTTCTCAATTTATGATTAAATTCTCAATATTCTACTAACAGAAATCCAATTGAATACTCCAAAACATGCATTTAATTTTCACTTTCCATTATTTTTTGGAAACAAAAAAAAACATTTTTATTGCTTTAATTGGGGACAGTTTTTCAATTCAACATAATTATTCTATTCTTCTGCATTGCGGGAGTTCTTTATTCCCCGTTTTTTTAATCAATTTCCTCTTGATAATGAATTGAACATAAATTTATGAAATTCATTCTAAGGTATTGTCCTCTCCTTTGGCATTTATATGATGCAAACACAATTACTTGATTTGTTCATTTTAGAAACGCACAGATTAATCTAGTGCAATTATTGCGTATTCTTGTCGATTATTTCAATTAAAGAAAATTTCGTCACAAGTTTCTTTTCGTCATTTACAATAATTATCCCTGAACTCGCTGTATTATAGAGATATTCATCTGAGAAAATTGCCTTATCCTTCGAAATAATGAAAACGCATCGTGGAAATGTTGCAATACCGGAAAAATTGTGTGCCAACGGCATTGATTAAGCGACCTTCCGAAATCTTCTCCCAGAATAACAATTACCGAAATTACGTAGAAGGTCGTCGGCGCGGGACCATGTCCATGGTGGACCAAGAACAAAACTCTTGAGTAACAATGAATCCCTTCTATGAGTGCCCTTCAATCATTACACTGATAGAACGATCGATTCATTGTTGAAATGGCTGGTTAACTATTAACAAATGGTCGAGTTCAACGTGACCAAATTAATATTTTTTAGTAATTAACAAATGCTTGGTCAAATAAAAGAATTGAGACAAATATTAACCATTCATTAATATCTAATGAATGGGTTTCCAGAATTAAATTCTCAGTTAATTGCACACTCAGAAAAAAAAATTAGGATAATTTTATAATTCAGGGGAGAATTGCAGAGCTGGCACTGGAAATTTTATCGGACAGCATGTTGATTTTTCCCGTATCTACTTGACATTTCCGCAGAGATCCCTAAAAATTTTACACTCGGAAAGATACAGGGATCCCCATCAATATTAAATTTCTATAATACTAAATATAATAATATATTCTGTAATATTAAGAATTTGACCCTTACATTAAGGAATGTTTAAAATATGTTGATTCAATTTTTCAAATAATATAATATTAATGATCTGATTTTTACAAATAATGATATATTTAAAATTTGTTATTCTGAAACTGTAAATTTACTACTAAGTGAACAATTGAAATTTCTTGAAAGGGGATTTTCGATTACACAACTAGTCGTCAATCTTCCTACCTCAATTATTGACTGATAAAATAGTTGAAAATTTGAATATTTGAATTTTTGAATATTTGAATATTTGAATTGATGATACTTAAGTATTCAAAAAAATTCAAGAGCGTTATCTAATTACGGGCTACAATATTTAACCGTAATAAAACATTACAAATTTGGCTATCCCTGGAGAGATATGTTCAGTAAATATTACGAACTCACAGGTCGCTCACCGATTACGGAATCCACTCAGAATGTTTAAGTGACGGTATCGTAATTTTTCACAGGAGATTCAGGTAAAAATTACGGAACGCTCTGGACAAATTCCGTGACAGTTTCCATAAAATTTCCAACAACCACATTGCATTCCGCAATTACGGAAAAGATACGTAATTTTTATTGAATATTTCTCTCCGTGGCAAGAAAATGGCCTGAATTATTCATCAAGTTGCTTCTATATGGAAGTAATTAGTGACTCTTTATCAAAGAAATTATAGAAGGAAAAGGAACATAGGAAAAATATAAAAAGAGAGAAGAAAAAATATGTAGAAATAAAAAAAATATTTGTAAAATAGATGATCTATCCCTTTTCAAAGTTGAATACCTATTTCCAAAAATATAGAACTTTAAAATATTGTGCAAACTCTGTTATGAAGACTAATCGCTTGACTTTGATTACTCCTACTTTCTACCTTTTTTGGGCTATTGGAACTTAGTGAATTTCGTTGCTATTTAGCGCACGGCGAGATTAGTATAAAAAAAGCACCGTCCTTGAGGGATTAACAAATGGGCCTTTGAATACCTAAACGAATCCATTCGTTACATATGAATGAATCTCTCTATCAATGTACACGTCTTGTAACCTTTCTTTTGTACCAAACTTTGACCGCGGATATACCCAATAGCAGTTTCCGTTATTCTGACTTATCACGAAAGTCATAACTTTCATTTTTACGATACAACGAGCAATTGGGGAAAACGGTTCCACAACGATTGTCCTCAAAAACTTTCCCCCGTGGATACAGTGAATATTGTGCAGATTTATGCAATTTGCATTTTTTTAAAATGATGATGAATCACGATTTTTAGGTCTCTATTTAAAAAAAACGATACTGTTAGAAAAAAAAGAAATTTCACGACCATTTCATTTTTCAGCCATCACTTTGATTTGGGGAAAAAATCACGACTTTAATTTATTTGCCGAATTTTCTCTGAAATTTCAAGTTTTAGCGCAGTACGAAGACGATCACTCCCCACTTTACTTGAATTTTCTATGGCACCATGAATATTCATAATTAAATTACTCTAAAAATTCGATTCGTTGAAAATTCAAATATATATTTACCTGTATTTTTGTAATGTCCATTAATTTCTATCAAATAATTGAATTGAAGTTTACAGTTCCCATTGATTTGCATTAAACTGTGAATTCCTTACAATTTCAGTGGAAATGTCACTTCAATTTCAGCAAGAAAAATGTAGCAATGGAACATTCAAGGGAAGCTCCAGAAATTATGAAGTTATTTTAACAATTTCAAAATCCTCTAAAAGTTTAATATTTTCATCACTATTATTATTATTATTATTATTATTATTATTATTATTATTATTATTTCAAAATATGGAATAATCCTTTCTTTTCCCTGCGAATACAAAAATAAAATTCGAGTTTTTTCATCTCTATAAAAAATCCCATTCATTGTATTTATATTTCACACGAAAACAATTTAATCTCGACGAAGATTTATCCAATATGAATAAAACCGTTGCATCTAAATTTTCAACGTAGACAGAAAAATTCAGTAACCTTGGAAGACTAGTTCTCGTGTTTAGATGCCATAGTAGTGTCCCACTTTTCAAGGATGACTTTGCATCATGAAGACACCGAGGATGAGTATACCTGTGAGCTTCAAAAGCTTGTGGATCGCTTTCTCTTCTCAACACGCATTCCCAATATCCACATAAAAAAAATTAATTAACTGATATCGTAAATTAAAATGAGAGCACTCACCTGTTCTAAAGTAATTAACTGAATGATATTACTGTTACAGTTGAAATTTTCTACTGATTCCTCGGGAGCAGAATTTTTTCGAAGTGAAATTTAAGATTTTGCAATTATCGTGAATACAGTTAATTCGTTGGTGATTAAATTTATTTATTTAATGTTTAACCAATTGTCGGAGACGTGCGCGTGTCCTCTCACCGCGCACGACTGAAATCGCCGCGGCTATTCAACAATGCTGAAAACATTGTTGATCTTCCACTCAGCGCATGCGCCAGGGTACAGAATGCTTGAATCCTGAAGAATCGTCCCACCTTCTTTCGGGATCACGACAACTCTCGCTGAATGGAGTGAAAGGTATAATTCCCGGTGCAGCTTCGTCCCAACATGCGAGAGACGAGCCGCTGATCTTAATTCCGCGCGCCTTATTTTAAGGTGGCACAGTTCCCCTTCATTTATCCTCATCATAGGATTGGGGGAGCAGAAGCGTTCAAATAAGGCGTCAAAACAATGTCAATTATTTCAGGGAGGAACACAGGGTTTTTAGGTAAATACGGATAGTGTCGACTGTCATGTGATTTGTGCCAACTTTCACTGCACTCGCCCCAAAGACGTGCTCGCTTCGCTCAATCGGTTGCACAATTGATCTAGTCCACTCTTTTCATATTTTTCTCTATTTTTTATTCGCCCCAGAATTTCTTTAATTCCAGCGTTGGAGGAAACCGTTCATTACCGTTTCCTGTTTCTTAAAAGTTTCAACATTTTTTTGATTTTTTCTTATTCTTATTTTCTCTAATCGACTTGTTTTTAATATTCATATTAAACACCTTTTTTAAGAAGAAAATGTTTAATATGCCTATTAATGACTATATGACTATTATGTATATCAAACTAGCATCGTTTTCTTCATGTTAAAAAGAAAATTAAAGTTTTGTGGACAGTTGACTAGTAATTTTCAGGAGAGTCCTATTGAATTTCATTTGGGGAGAAGAAAATTATGAAATTTCAGATCTTTAAGCAACAGGAAGACGAAAATTTCGCGGATACTCAACATTTCAATGAAAACATGAATATTCTACAACAAATTATAATGAATTTTCAATTTATTTGAAACTCAACAGTATATTGGCTGAATATTATCTCCTTCTATCAATTTCCTTCGAATAATTGAACTGAAATTTACACTTTCCATTGACTTTTCCATAAAATTTTGAATTTTCAAAGTCGAAATTCTTTTAAAATTTCAGTGGAACTATATTGTCATAAAAATTTTCAAGAATTGCACTGGAAACTTCAGCCAAACATTTTTTATAATATTTCTTTTTTCAATTCTAGTCATTTTATCTTTTAAACAGGCTAAATCATCAGGCTATCAGAAGGTTAAAAAAGTCGCTGGTGGAGATTTTCGTCTCAATTTAATTTCTAAACAGATCGCGATTAGATAGAAATTTTGAAAAAAATATTAAACAATATTAATAATTGTGGAAATTATGATTTTTTTGAAATTCGCGTTTTCGTCAAAGATTTTTTTTTCAAATTGGTCTCAATATCTCAGCGGAGTTTCAAGCTTTCAAATCGCCCTTCGGGGCGATCAAAAAACATGAAAAACCCTTCAAAATGAGCCATCATGTATAGCATTATATTCAGTTTGACGGGGTTTATGCGAGAAAACGGGTTTTTGTTCAATCGTTAATTACTCAAAAAACTCATTTTTTTAATCTGAAATTTGCACCAATAATTGTCAATAAAATGAAAAGAATTTTGGCGCCAAGTTGAGTTTGTCTTTTGCCGTAGTTCGGCGGTTATCAATTTTTTCAGTGAGACAAGTATTGAAAACGACCGAAAAATAAAAAGATCTTATTCCCTCAAAATCAGATTTTTTTACTCCATAAATTTTCGAAATTTAACAATCTTCCTCATCATGATAAGAAGGAAAGATCAATTAAAAAATTTCGCACTCTTTGACTTGAAGAAATCATACTCAACACCTCTTCATTTGCATGAAAACTAATTGAAAGGATTCATCTTCAAACTTCTGTTACTCCAACACAGAATCTCATCCTCAATGAAATGGAGCACACGCGGAAAATAATTCTCCCTCCCGCGGCTCCTCTCGCCTGCCGCAAAACAGGCGACTACTTTCTCCACTGACCTTAAAAATTGGCAAGAGACTGCCGAGCTGGAAAGAAAGTGCATCACCCTACACCGAGGTGAAGGCTCCATTTCGAAACAAAACTCCAATTCCCGTTCATTTCCCCACCCTCGTCAGTCTCTATTTTGCATTCCTGCGAGAGCCATGAAATTATAAAACGTATTACGACATTTTTTTAAACTACTTGGTAAACACTGGTTGAGCTGCGAATAATTGAGTCAAATTATGCATTTCGTATTCACTTTTTATTTCCGATCATATAGGCATTTATGTTACAGCACATACGAGACAGAGTTTTTTTTCATTTAGAATATAAAATTTATGTTTAATTGTTGCATTTATTTATGTACAATTTAGGAATGTACTGCGAAAATATTCAAACGAGTGATAATCATTTTTCTTTGTTCAAAAAATAATTTCATCCATTCACTTTGTAGTTGAGTGGCACATTCGTAAATGATTCAATTCCTCCAAAACGACTTTATTTTTTTCTCTTCAACTATTTGTCCGCACTACTCCTTGACGAGGCTCTGTGTACATGGCTGCGTGTATGCAAAAGAATTCTGCATTCGCTCAATACAATAATACAACGAAAAATCACTCCTTTTCGTTTTACGTTAAAGCGATTTACATCTGAATTTGGCATTACGATTTGTCTCGACAATTCTCAACGAACAAAAAAATATATCAGTTGCCAGCAGTAATCCAGGGTTTCGCCTACTCTAACTCACCTAAAATGGCCGATTCACGTGCTCGTCTAGAGCACAAACAGAACAAATCCTATTTACATTTTTCATTTAGTTAATTAATTTGCGATGAAACTTGTGGATTACTGAGGCAAGTCGAAGAGCTACGATATGGCGAACCTCTGTAATGATTATTATTTCCTCCTTTTTGTGTTGCTTTTTATCTCTGTGACTCATAGTCTTCACAATCAAAGAAAATCGAGTGATGGAATCATCTCAGGATGACGTTGTCGAATGTAAGATCCCTGCTGTCTCTCTGACTCGATTTTTTGAAGGGATTCCAGGGAATTCGTCTCGCGACGTGAGCAGTTGTCACAGAACCCGCTGGACTCGGTTGCCCGGATGATACACCTGATGAACTGCTCGCTGATACACTACCCCTGTCGTGATGGCATGACTTCATTGGTTTCTGCAATGACAATTTCAAGAGTCAAATCGGTTGTTCACATTGTTTTAATTTTTGTTTAATTTACGTACTAGCTGTAGTTCAATTTGTAATGTTTTTTCTTTGAATTCAGTTTAAGATAAAATCGTTCATGGGATTCTTTATGCATCTTGTAAAATCAACAAAAATGAGTTTGGAATTTTAGGCAATCAGTGGTATTTTAATGGAATCTTGAAGTCTCAAACTGATTTTGCAAATTGAAGAAGAAGTTAGAAGAAGTTAGAAGAAGAATTAAGAAGGTTTGAATAATATCTGCGTGGATTTTCGTAATTTAAGGGTGCCAAGTGAATTTGGCGATGACCTTGAAAATTGACATTCACCAACAAAGTTATAATTTTTTAAATTAATAGTATTAGACAGATGGTGAACATCGGTGACAATTTTAAAATTTTAGAACTTATGGATATCGAGAAATTAAATAAACAAAATCAGTCTTATACGCGGCCTCTTATGGAGTTTTGATTAAATTTAACGTTTCAACTCCCTAGGAACTCAAGAAAAATTTGAAAAAATTTGAAGATATGGGGAATGATGTGTTCAATGTGATGGCGATAAAAAACAATGGGGTACCGGGGTGAATAAGGGAGATATTTCAACCCGCCGTACCCATTTGATCCCATGCTTTCTCGAGGTTCGTCACGCGAAATAGAGGATTTTCCGCATTTACTTTCTCGATGTCTAGTTCCGGTTGCGGGTTTGAAATTTCGTCGGATGGATGAATACATATTTCTCCAATGATGGAGGGAAAGAAAAAATTTTTTTTGAATCTTTTTTCAAATTCACTTGGCACCCTTAAAATAATTTTCATTGTCATATGGACCTGAAAAGTGACATTTCATTGAATCTTTAAAACATTAATTGATTTTTCAATAACAAAATTAATGGCAATTTCATGTGAGTTAGTCGTAGTTAAAAACTTCACGACTTGTTACTTGAAATCTCAGAAGTAACTTGGTAACAGTGAATGGCATTGAATTGTATTGGGTTCGATTAATCCTTGTTGAGAGTATTGTCATATTTAGGAAGTGAACGAAAGCCAGTTTTCACCTTTAGATGATTTCATTCAATTCCTAAAGAGATGTGAAAATTGAACATTACATTCAAGTGACTTTTCAATAGATTAAAAAAATTTTAAAACAGTCGTCTCAATTTTGAGAACTTTCAATAATTTAATTTACATATGGACCTGGTAATTACAATTCTAGTGAAGGTTTCTAAAATTAGCTGATTGATTGACAAAATATGTGAAAATTTCATGAGCATTAATCATTATTGAAAAGTTCAAGATTTTTTATTTGAAATTTCAGGAGTAATTTTCTAACAGTGCATAACGTTGAGTGGTATCGGGTTCGACTGATCCCTGTTGGGAGCACCGTCATGTTTAGAAATTGAAATACAATTTTCACCGTCAGATAATTTTATTCAATTCTCAAATTCATTGTAAAAATTGAACATTATGGCCAATTGAATTTTTAATAAATGAAAAAATTCGAAAAATAATTTCCTGGATTTTCATATTGTTCAATGTTATATGAATCTGATAAGTGGAATTCCATAAAATATTCCCGAAATTAGCTGATTTGTTGGTCATAAATCGAGTGACAATTTAATGTACTTGTAATTGCTAAAAATTTCAAGATTTTTTTACTTGAAATTTCAGGAGTAATGTTCTAAGATTGCATTACATGGTATCAGATTCGATTGATCTCTGTTGAAAGCATTGTTATGTTTGAGAATTAAAGGAAAGGCAGTTTTCACCTTCAGATAATTTCTATCCATCGGCGTGACGAGTTTCAAACTTATCGAGTCTCCGCACTGTTTGATCAAGCGTACAACTTGCTCGTGGGAAGCCCATTTGACGTCTTTATCACCGATACTCACGATGAAGTCACCTTCCTTCATGCCACCCAGCTGAGAAAAGAGATAAGAGAAATCAAAATGAACGATTAACGTTGTTGATTCAGCGGGGATATGGTTAATTGTGATGGAATAGGTTGGACTCAACTGTTTTAATCAGAGTCATTCAAATTATATTTTGCAAAAAATTACTTTCTCTTTCAAAACCTCTCCTTTTTTATGAATAAATGATAAAAATTGTTTGAAATCGCGAAAGCCTTATTTGTTTTCCTTGAAAGCAAATGCTGGTAGAATTTTGAATGTAGTCAAAGCTGTTATGGTTTTAAAAAATGATTTTCAGAATGGAAAAATTTTGAGGTTTATTAATCATTTATGAGAAGAAGTCGTAATCTTCAGGCATCTTTCTCAAGCAGAAAACTTTCTAATTTTTTCCAGATTTTTGAAATATTTCTCAACGGCTTGAAATAAAGATTTAAATTTAGACCTTCAGAGTTTACGGGTATTATGCGCGGGCTTACGTTGCTTCGAAATTGGAAACTTGATGATATTTTAATTTTTTGTTTGCCAATGTTGATCCAAATTGTTTGTTAAGATCTCAGAAGTATCACAGTCCTTTCTATCACAACAAAAAATCTGGATTTGTTAATAACAATTTTGAATCGATTAATTGGAAACGATCATGCAATATATTTCAATTCAAAACATGTTTATATAATATAAAAAAATAGTAGTTTACAAATTCCAGTGATTCTATTATTCGACCGTATGATAATAATTTCACAAATAATTTACAAAGTTTCAAAGTTTTCTCTGCTTTTTATGAAAAAATCGAATTTTCCTTAGGAGCCCAAGTTACATCCCGAAAATTACTATTGGATTATCTTGTGAACGACCCCATCAGCCGTTTGAAATTTCGTGAGTGAATTCAAGACATCAAAGCTTTAAAGCTTCCAACCTTCATCTCTCAATTTTTTTTAATTTTTTGGAATCCCGCTATTATATTTTCAAATTTTATTCACCTTTCAGGATCTTTTCCCAGCTTCACAATAAGGCTAGAAAACGATGATTTATTCAAATCTCATCATTTATTCCAGATACGTGAGAAATTTTACGTTCATTCGTCCATTCAAACGTTTCTCGATTAAACTCAAAATATCTCTTAATTTTGCATTCATCTTGGAAACGAATGGATGCTGCAAAAACTGTCAAAGAACTTTTTACAAATGAATGAATAGCCAATGAAAATCACCTATCGCCATAGTACTTCAAAGTCCATAACAGAATGTGAAAGAATGACTTGCTTGTTCTGTTGCATTATGCACTTCACCACTGAATCACATTAAAATTGAAAAATCCTTATGTTAACGAACTTACATCAGCCAGCGAATTGTGGTCAACCGCAGCGATGATAACAGGAGCATCTCCACGAACACTAAATCCGAAACCTTCACCTCCTGGACCCCTTTGGAGTTGAATGAGTCGTGGAGCCGTCCAGTGTCGCTTTGCCGAGAAAATGGCGACTGGGCCGAGAGACCTGAAGAGATCATCCACTCCGTGCTGGCCGAAGTCGGGATGCGTAATGTTCAATTGGAATTTCGTTGAAGCTAAACATAAAAGAATCATCAAAAAATCTCGAATCCTACACGATTTGTCCATTGCTGATTTATTTAGTTTCTTTTCGTTCATTTTCTTTCTTCGAATGGCTTTATTCGCACAAAATTAATTTGTCTATTCGTTCTGTCGTCTATTATTTATTCTGTATCATTTATCGTTTCGTCGAACATCATTGTGGTGATTTATGTAGTTATTAGTGCCCGTGATTATTCGTCAGGAGTTCGAATATTCCATTTTTATAACAGTTTCAGATGTATGTATGTATGTGACCGATTTTTTTCGGCGACAACTGGAAAGATAATTGTTTAAAGGAATCCAGTTATGATTTTTAATATTCGTCCCAATACCATCTCGACCGAATTCGATCATGATATTAATTGTATCATTTGTTGTTGAAAAAAAATATTGTGAAACCAATATTCGGAGAAAGGTAAAAAATTTCAACGGTGAGGTAATATTGGCTACCAACGGTGGGTCAAGGGTGGATTCAATGAATTATCGAATTCAATTTAAAATACACCATCATAGAAATTCCAATCGGAAGCGAATTGTTAATTTATTAGCAAAAAGATATTGACTATGTTGTGACGAATCGTTGCTTACGTGCATTACGTGCATTACATTTTACTAATCGTGTTGAAGGGACTGCATGTTTAGTTGTTCGGAAACCGATGTGTGCGTTTCACAAATTCTACGATTTTCAATTAAAGTGATTAGATGTATTAATTTTTCATTACATCAATTGGTTTTTCGACGAATTGGTGTTGGACAAATTGTGATTCCATAGATGGTGTTTCGACGAAATGTATGAAACCCTTTTTCAAATCCTACGACTTTCAGAAAATTACTAATTAGATAATTTTTTTATTAGATCAATTATTCTTGTGATGAATTGCTGCACAGAGAGAAATATTCGATGAAATTACGTATCTTTTCCGTGATTTCGGAGCGAAGTGTGGTTGTAGGAAATTTTACGGAACCGTCACGGAATTTCTTCAGAGCGTTCCGTAATTTTTATCTGAATCTCCTGTGAAAAATTACGATACCGTCACGTCAATTTTCTGAGTCGATCCCGTAATCGGTGAGCGAATTGTGAGTTGCGTAATTTTTACTGAACATTTCTCTTCGTGTGTGGGACGAATTGTCATTCGATAGTATTCGATCGTATTTAAACGAATTGTACCAAACCCAAAAATCTCTCCTACAGAATTGGATTTTTAGCATTCATGCGAAACCTGAAATTTACCGATTATATGAGGTGGATCCAACAGCTCTCGAAAATCGTCCTCATCCCCAGCTTCGCTATAATCCTTCAGCGTCAGATCATGTGCCCTCTTGAGAACCTTAGCCAACGCCTGTTTCCCTTTCAATTCCCTGCACATCCTCTGGAGTCGTTGGCTCTCCTCATGCAGTACTAGAGCTTCTCTCAAGTGGGCTTTCCCTGTTCAACGGAAAGTACAGGATTAGAATTGAACAAGTGGAATATCAATGAACAAATTGATAAATCGGATCCCTACCCAACAAATTCCTCTCCTTATCATCCTTTGGCACATTGTAATCAATTTGCGTCTTGCCATCGCTCTCTTGAATATGCTCAAGAGTGAGTTTTGTCTCGGTACGAAACTCGGCGATGGGTCTGTCGAGGAGTCCAGCAGCGCAGTGTTTATGTGAAAGTGCGAGATGATGTTCTCGTTTGACAAGGACCAGGGAAATCCAGGATTCTGGCACATAGTCGCGAACCGGCTCACGGGATATAACACCATGAACATCGTTATATACAGCTGCCACCTGAAAATCAATTTGTTATTTAATACAACTTGCGAACTTGTACTTATTCATTACATTTCATTAAAAAATGAATTACGGAGTCAATGATAGCCAATTTATCATTTTCTAGTGAAGTTGTAAAATGAGATAATCAATTTTCATCTTTTTTTCACCTAAAAATGTGTTGACTCTAAAAGAAATACAGGAGGAGAATCAAATGTTTTGTAACATTGATATTATATATTTCGTTAAGGTATGTATGGCGTGTTCAGAGGGGGTAAAACAACTAAAGAAATTGATTTGATTTTCTTTAAATATATTTTTTGATCTATTCCAAAAGCCTGTGGTTAATCCCAGAAAGTCTAAAAGAATGTTTTAAACACAAGAATTGTTATAAAAAATGCAATTCAGCACCTGCCCTCATGAACATTCAAAAAAAATGATAAAATAGGTAAAAAAAGTTGCCATTTTCCTAAAGAGTTTAATCTGTTTAATTTTTTTAAAGAGTTTAATCCTTAAGCGTCTTGAGTTTAAACAAGACGCTTGTTAAACAAGACGCTTGTTTGAGTTATAAGTTATAAGTAAGAGGCGTTCGCGAATTTCAATTTTTCCACTCCGTCTTACCTGTGCAGCTTCTTGAGCAAGATCCAAAGAAACATCAACGTTTCTTCCCTCCCTGGACTGCAGTTCCAACTTCTCGAAAAGGCACTCCCTAGCCTGCGCCAACATGAGCTGCACCAGCATATTCAGCATGTCAGGTCCAAGGTCCATGCTGGGAGCATTTGTAAAATTCTCGTGAATATATCTAAACGTCCCTGCAGCCCTCAAGAAGGCATCCACCGCTTGATCCAGGCCCTTGGCAGTCCTCCTGTCCTGTCTCGCACCCAACTGAGTATACAATGCCCCCGCATTGAAGAGTATCGAGGCCTTCTCGAAAGCAACAGTTCGCTGACAGCTCGGGACTCCTGTTAATGAGTCGAACCACTCGAAGTATATTCCCAGACTTCTGTCGGGGGGGAAGAAGCGTCTCTCGATGAAGTATAGCTGATTGTAGTAGCGCAGGAGGAGGGCGATGCCTGCTGCATCCCTCGTCGGTGTTCGCGTCGCCTATACAAGAAAATCGATTATCTGAATATTATTGAACCATTGTGATGTACGGGTGAGGGGATAAAATAGACTTCTTTCAATTGTGAATAACTCGAGAGTGTTACAGAGAGTAATAGAGAAGCATTTCTTCCTTTCAAAGGTGTTTTTTCATCACACTGTAATACGTCGTTTTACGGACCCTTCTTGTCCGTCAAACGCCGTTTACGGACATTGTGAAGAATAATTATGTTCGTCACTCGGCCGAAAACAACTTTTCCGATTCGTGTGATTGCATTCCCCGGCGTCGTCTTGATCTGCAATCCTCGCGCTTGTCAGAAAAATTATTTTCGGTCTTGTGACGAAAATAGCTATTTCGAGCTGTGAAATACGCCCCAATTGATAAAAACACAGTCAATTTTTTGTTCTATTTCAAATAATTGCTCCACCTGAAATGCAAATGTTGTAATTCTCAATTTAAGACGAAGTCATTAATTACATTTCGCATTCATCTCAAAAATTCAATAAAATTCAAGTTTTTATGGAAAATAGTCAACGATATTTCAAGAACAGCTTAAATTTTCAGACTTATTGTAAAAAATGAATATTAAGTTTGATTGAATTTTCAGGACATTGAGAATTCATAAAAATAAGTGTTGGAAATTACACCATTTTGAATAATTTGTATTGTGATATGGATCTGAAAATCGGAATTCCATTGATTATTTCCTCCTCTCGGATGTCGGTTAATCAAAGCGCAGTATTCGAGGTCCCAAACTACTTTATTTCGGCGATTCCCACAAATGAAATTCTACTGTTGGATTTCCGCTGGAAATTCCACCGCAACCCTTCATTTGACGTCAAAAATTTGGCAGTATCTCTGCATTTGTTTTTTTTTCCTTCAAAATACTCTACCACGAACGGCCGACATCCGAGTGAAAGAAATAATCCAACAAATGGTAGTTCCGCTGCAAAATTATCGCTCATATCGCTCACAATTAAAAAATCATGGATCGATTAATTTACCTGTCGTGTCTCCATGAGCTCAGCAATAGCCTCTTCATAATGCTCGCCATCTTCACTGTAATGCTCCAAAATAAAGTCCTGCAATAAGAATTCAAAGGATAATTATTCCCACCGTTGCCCAGGGATGTTAGATCGATAACATGAAGCTCCGAACGTAACCAATTCTAAAGAGCCCAACTCCCTCCAAAAATGGTGAGAATAACGATAGAGCTGATCCGAAAGCGATCAGAGCACAACGAGGGTGAGATATCGACCTTGGAAGAGCTATCCCTTCATCAGGAGAACATCGAAAAAATCGAATTGATAAACCGCCTCTGCAAAGACCTGAGAATTCTCCTCCTTCAGAATAACCTCATATCAAAACTCGAGAATCTGAGCCGATTGAAGCTTCTGGAGTACCTCAACCTGGCCCTCAACAACATCGAGGTAATCGAGAACCTGGAGGGTCTCGAGAGCCTTAAAAAATTGGATTTAACCGTGAACTTTGTTGGCGATGTGCGCGATGTGAAGAGGCTTCGGGTTAATGAACATCTGCGGGAACTATTCTTAATTGGAAATCCATGCACGGACTACGAGGGCTACAGGGAGTACGTTGTCGCTGTTCTTCCCCAGCTGAGGGAGTTGGATGGTCATGAAATCACGAGATCTGATCGCATAAAGGCGATGCAGAAGTATGCAGAGGCCGAGGGAGATGTCATCAGGGGCTACTGGAATTACCAGGAGATAAGGGCTCGACAGTTAGATCGCCATCGTGAGAAGAGGGAGCGAGCCACAATCACGGAGGTTAAGGATGGGGAAAGTGATGGCGATGAGGAGGCGACGGAGGCATTCTGGAATAGCAGGAGTTATCACACGCCTGAGGACAGGCGGGAAATTGCGGACAAGGTGCGGAAGATTGAGGAGAGGAAGAATAGGGGGCTCGAGAAGAATGATGCACCGAAATGTGCTCTCAAGTTGTTTAGTCCGGAGGGGAGACCGTATAATGTCAACCAGGCTAGGATTCCGTTTGGGCTGAATATAGAGGATGATCCGGAGATTATTACTTTGGAAGTCGCGACGTACAGGTGTGTACGAATCTGGGAATTCCGGGGGTTAATCACTGTGAAGGAATATTCTGAGAAAATTCAGATAGGGGTGGTTTTTTTTTATCGTTATTTTACATTGCTTCGACCCGGTTAGGGTATACTGCGATGATGATCAAGACTTTAAATGGTTAGATCGCACCATTCTAACCGGCCGGGATTTGAACTCGGAACCCACTGCGCCAAGCCACCGGGGCTATAGGGGAGGTTGGGGTAAAATATTAAATTACAACAGATTTTCCTCGATAGATTCGTGTGAAAAACTAATAGACTTTAATCGCGAATGCGTTAGGTCTTTATGAAATACGCTGGTACGCGACGATGAGTCACTTTTATACGTCTCGTTGAAGACAGAATTATCGTACTAATAAGTGACATCAAAGAAAAAGAGCGGAAGACTATTTTCTCTGTCAACTCATTTAGCCGCGAAAAAGGTCCTTTCATGTCCTCTTCAATTACTAGTGTCTGAGATAACGACCCACTAATTAAATGAGAGAGCGTAATAGAACAACTAAATTCAGTCACCGACTTCAGAGAAAAACCTCAAAGGAAAGAAAGATTTTTTGTTGGAAATTCATTGTGTTTAGGAAAAAAGTTGCTTTGACATTTCCCCCTACAATTGCTAGCTTCCGAGATAAGTAATTCATTATTTGTCAATTAATTCATTGATTTACTTCTTCATTGAGTACATCAAAAAGATCCTTTGCCGTTTCTTCCGAAAATCGTTTGCTTTCGGGACAATTTTAACGTATCATAAAATGAAAGAGACGTAAGTGGCGTGTGCAAGCATAACTGTCATGCATGTTCCCCTCTACAGCAGGGGTAGCCATATCCATAAATTATAATTGCTGTTAAATTATTAAGTAGTCAATTAGTTAATATCACTTTTAAATTTTAATTACTGAAGTAATCATCAATTTAAGTAGTCAAATTGTGAATTTTTCGTTAATCAGTAGTTGATTTAGGAAGATTGACAATTATTTGGATAATCGGAAATCCTTTATAATAAGTTTAGTATTATCTACTTAAGAGAAAATTTATAGGTCCATATTTTTTAATATTTAATTCATCATCAATTGGAAATTTAGATTATCAATTATTTCACTATTTTTTAATTTCGATTAGTGTATTTAAACCTTGATCAATGTGAGTCGGAAATTCTTTTAATATTGTAGAGTCGGAAGGTTGATGGCCATCCCAGCACTACAGCGAGGATAAAATTTCTAAAATTCGATCTTTTCAGACATTTAGACACATCTCTCCTGAACGTCGACGTCCAGCCCAACTACGTTAGAGTTACAATAAAAGGAAAAGTCCTGCAGTTGACATTACCCTGCGAGATATTAACCGACAAGAGTACAGCCAAGAGGAACACAGTGACTGGAAATCTGGTGATAAACATGCCACGCATGAGTCCCCTGACAACTATCACGAAACGGTTGAATAATTCAACCAATAAATTCGGAGAAGGTAACCGATCGCCAAAGGTCATAAAATCTGGTTCCACAATCACGAAGCGTGAGTTACTGGAGATTGGACCACCTGCGACCGACCTAGATTTTTCGAAAATCTATAAGGACCCAAAGACCCTTAAACAGGCAGCTTTAAAGGGCAATTTGTCCGAGAAAAAAGCTTCTGATGATTTTGTTGACGATCCTGACGTGCCTCCGTTGGAATGAGGGTGAGAATTTACGGTCATCCAGAGAAATTGTTCATTTGAATTAAAGAAATGGGTTTATTAAAGGAGCTTATAGTAAAGCTTTTATTCAAACTTGAATTTGATTTTTATTTTGTTTTTTTATTGAGATCAAATAAATCGTTTTTTAAACGTGCATCAACGTTCCCTTCATCCAGATGAAGAGTTTGTTAGGTAAAAATGACATCATCGTTTTGACAGCGAAGAGAATGAACTTATTAACATGTAAAAATCCTTTATTTGGATGAAATGAATCGTTTATTTGATTGTAATGGAGGATTTCTTCGGGATGAATGAATTATTCATTTCATACGGGGGCATTCAAACATTGCGTCATGCGGTTTTGGGACCCCCTTTGCCCCTCCGTCGCGAGATCATCACAAACGTAAATCTCCCCGGTTTGTTTTACGGCATAAAATCTGCGTCCCTCTCTTCTCACGTTATGCCGGAATAATTTACTTTCTCATCGTTTTATAAAACGAAATTTTGAAAATGAAAAAAAAAATACCGAGGATTGCAACAATAATTAATTTTTTGCTGCTATTAACGTAACGTATAATAATTATTCCCGGGATCAAATCAGTAGTGAAGCGGTAAGGCGGTTTAAGTCGATTTTGACAATTGGCCAGTCTTTAGTGAATATCTCGGAATCTAAGGGAGATAAATAAATTTTTGTTTTGACCTTTCTTATAGCACTCAATTTGCTCTAGAAAAAAGGTTATTACGAAAATTTCATCGTCTCCTTTAGATTCGGAGAAATTCTTTAAAAACTCAACTAAGAGATAAGTCGACTTAAACCGTTTTACCACTTCGCTACTGAAATGACTTTTTCATCGAAATGAGCGCGGAATGTGGCATTAGAAAAATGTGGGATGGATAAATTTTCGTAATTAATGAACCCCCATCGACTCATTCTATATTTTCATCTCAAGTTATTTTTGTTAATTATAGTGTGACATCACCCTCTAGGCAATCCACCCTTCTCCTCCATTATGAATGATCACAAAATATAAAACCCCTTTCCGTCTTATTCGTGTGACTTAAGGGGCAAAATATGACATGGCGCTAGGGATCGAAATATGTAACAGATAATAAAATATAATATATTATAATCAAGAATTGTGAAAAAGGAATTATTTAAAAAATTGCGTAACTTTATCGTTCCGTTTGTGTTGAATTAATTATTCAAATTGCGCCTTATACACGAGCTTTACGAACGTCAATTTCTCCCTTACCCCTCACACTGTTAGCACGGTACTAGCCAGCAAAGAAAGCTATATTTATCTATATTAAGTCCTACAAAATGCGGGCACGAAGCCTCATTGGACTCCATCGTTGACTTGTTCAATAAATTTACGGTAAAAATACATTGCGCGATGTCTGCGTTATGCAACATACCCCATGATCTGTGTTTCATCTCACTCGAAAATAACCTCACTAATTTCTTTAATTTACACTCCATATTAATTTACATCCGCGCGCCCATCCCCTCTTTGCCCAACTACAGAGACCCTTTAAGGGGTAACAGAAGGCCAACATTTCCTCGAAATTTTCAAACAATTTTTCTGCTCAAAGTTATCAGTATTTTTTTAAACCAGAGCACATTGACCTTCATCATCGCCTACTGGAGATTAATGTGCTTTGATTTGTAAAAATATCGGTAACTTTGAACAGGAAGTTTGTTGAAAAATTTGAAAAATTGATCGCATTCTGTTACCCCTTAATATTCAAATGCCGTCATACAATTAGAACATTTTCATTTGCATAAATATATGAGTTTATTGATTCCCCACAAAAATATTATTAAAATGAATGAAAAAATGTAGAAAAAAAAATTTCGTTTGATTCAAATCGATCATTTCTCCAGGTATTTGATTCATCTTAAAAACGCTCACCTTGAATGGATCCCGGAAGTCAATGTCTTTCGTCTCCTTGAGGCCCAGCGGGATCATCGGCATGATCGGCTCCGTCCTGAAAACAGGAACCATAAAAAAAATTAAAACACAATATCTATCATCGGTATTTAAAGCCCACAATGCCAATGTTTTTTTCGTATTTTCAGAGAGATCCGTGACCCACTTGGGCCCGTGGCATTCGTTAAATGTCCGATAAATCATTGCCCTGGTCCCGTATTCGTTCGGCTTCCCGTTACAAAACTTATACGAGAGTTCACTTCGGCTATAAAATCGTCAGTTTACGGAAAAGGAGGAACGTCCAAAAACAAAGTGGCGACACCGATGTCTTTTGAGGTGCACCGCTTGCGGGATAAAAAGATATCGTTGTTCACTGGTTCGTTTACCATTAAATGATAAAAAAAACCAATGACCTGAAAGACATTTGCGCTGATTGGGATGACGAAGTTTCTAGTCTGGCAATTATGCCAAATACTGCGTTTTACGTTAAGAACGTAAAACGGTTTATGTTGACTTAGCCCTTGGCTGAGTTTTCCCAGAATATCTTCGAATCTGAGGGAGATACCGAAATTTTCGTAATCACCTTTTTTATAGAGCGAATTAAGGGCTATAAAAAAGGTCATGACAAAAATTTTGCTATCTCCCTTATATTTCGAGATATTCATTGAATACTGGTCAATAGTCAAAAGCGACTTGAACTATTTTACCGCTTCGCTACTGAAGTGGTTTATTTGAATTAAATAAAGGTCATTTGAATCAAATTTGGGTTCACTCTAATAGTTCATAATGAAGCTTTCATTCCTACTTGAACATGGTTTTAAAAAAATATAAATAAATATTGCCTGGATTCAAATGAGTTTATTAATTTTCAAGAAAAATATTGTTGAAACGAAGAGAGAACTCTCAAGAAAATATTGGTGTAATATTCTTGATTCAAGAATATCAATCAATATTCAATATTTTTTCTTCCATATGGGGCTGAAGAATAGTGACCTATAAAAACATCTTTTCATGTTTATCACTTCTAACGCTGACGTCACAAATTGCCGGCTATAAAAATATGAATATCATCGGGACCATAAAAACTGTCGTCAAGTGTTCAACTGAATTTGTATATGGAAATCATTCCCCAGACAAGAATTTCCATTTCACTATTCCCCTCAGACATAAAAATCAAGAGTACAAATTCTCGTGTACGTGCTTTTGATCCACATCCGATGCAATAATCTTCTGCGGTTTTGATAGTACCCTCACTCCAGTTAACTCGATGCCAGTGAGATTGGCCAATCTACGAAGCTCACCCATCAGGTTTCATACTCACGCGAAAAACGCAGAGGTGGAATAGAGGATTTTAAAAAAATCAAGAAAGAGATAAGGGAAAAAAGGAGTTGTGAAGAGGCAACAGAGGCGTGCATAAAGAGAACATCCGCTGGTATGGGGATATATAGTAGGCGGACAGTGACCCAGGAACCGAAGCATGGCGGATGGACCGGCAAACTATACGGCTACGTCGAATGAGGGAAGGTAAAGGCATAACCATGGCATGAACAACGCTCTCTCGCGCCTATTATTGCCTCCGAAAGAAGTTAGAAAAAGATTATTATGGTGTTGGATGATGAAGTAGTGCGTACTCAATATTCCTGAAAAATTTGATCTTGAAATATCGAATCTTCAGAGGATTGGGTTCCTCCAGATCCACCACTAGAGCTCGTGGTGATTTCCGAGGTAATCAAGATGAAAAAGCTTTAGTTTTTAAGGACACGAATGAAAAAATCGTATAGAAATTTTCTATACGGATTGCGTATAGAAATTCTATAGGATTTCCGTGCATGATATTCAGATACTTCTATACGAATATTTTCTATAGGAATTATTTCTGCACTTAAATTATTACATAAATTTTTGTTTTCATACGAAAGATGTCTAAACGCTTCAGAGAAAAACGTAGAGAAATGTCGCAACTCCATACGAAATGTTTCTATACATGTGGTAGTGGGTCGTATGGGATTAAACCTATAGAAATCGCATAGAAATAATTTGTACAAAAAATATCCGTTTAGAAATATCCGAATATAGTATACGAAAATCCTATAGAAATTCTATACGCAATCCGTATAGAAAATTTCTATACGATTTTTTCATACGTAGAGATACATAACTATTTTTTTGGGGAGTCAGTTAGACAATTCGACAAGAGCAGAATCTTAAAATCAATTGACATCGTCACTTATACAATCATCAGAGACATTGTTATCTTAAAAATCAGACAGGAATTCTGAATCTTAGGAATTTTGCTCCAGAATTTTGGTGATAGTCTTCTATGCTGAGGACTCTATCAATAAAACGTACACTGACAGAATAATTATTTTTATTGAGATGTTTCTTTCTTGGAACAAGTATTATATACTTGAACCAATTTCAAATAAATAAAATCTTACGGTGAATATCAATTATTTCTTCTTGAGATATATTTACTTAAATCAAATGGAAAAGTTATATTTTTTAACCTAATTTAATCTCCAGTCGAGAACTTTTCTACTTCCATCAATTGATCACAAACTCGTACCTAGGAGGTGATTACAGTGAGGAATGAATTGAATGTTGTTTTCTCGAATGAAGCCGATGTTTAAAAAATATGATTCAGCCAATCAAATTTGTTGCAGATAAACAAATGCCCGTAATTTCTACACAAAATTTCACTAAACTTCTCGCCTGAAAGAAATTTGATTGGCAGAATGATATGTTTTTCCCAGTGTCGGAGTAAAATTAGGTAATTCTACTTAGTGGAGAATTAGTGGAAATTAGGAATAGATTTCTTAAAACTATAGTATATTTCTAACCTAGGGTGGGAAAATAAAGGATCCTCAGCCGCCAGTGCAATTACCAGCCGAGCCGAAGGCGAGGTTGGTAAGCACGCGGCTGAGGGTCCTTTATTTTACTTCCCGTGGTTAGAACGCGATTTTCTGTCTCGGCGTAGGCGCAAAGTCAGAGTTCCCTCCCGCGAAGCGGGAGGGAAATGTAACTTTGTGCTCGCCGGGACGGAAAAGATTTTTCCATGTGCAGTTGTATATTTATGAAAAATAATAAAGACGACACAGTCATGCAAATGTATGAGAATATCTCGTGATTTTATTCGCTGAAAAGAAGTTAAGGAAGTGCCACTGTGGTGGTGTGAGGTGCACCGAAATGGTTTGTTTAGAGTACATAAACTTTATTCGACTCGAATATATCGGTTTATTCAAATGGCACATAAAGAATAAAATAACAATAAAAAATGTGATCATGATCCAAATATAGACTTTATAGCTATAAACACTGAGAGAAAAACCTGAAGTTCGATTGACAATAAGAAAATAGTTGAGGCAGTTTTGGTGAACGATACAATTTTTTTTGTATGCGGCACATCACATTATAGTAACTTCGCAAGCGTAATTTTTGCAAATCAAAATGCAGTTAAACTAACCAAAGTTCAAAAGTAACCACGACAGATCTATCGTGAGGAGAACTATAAAATAGTTGCAATGACTACATTCCATTGTAGTAATTACTTCTCCGGCCATAGTTACCGTAACCCATGAAAAATTGTTGAGGACTTTTTGACTATAATTCGATGGTGATGGAATATAGTCAGAAGAATCATATTTTTCTCTCAGTGAATGAAATCATTACCCAGAAGGTGAAAAAAAGGAACGATCCTTCACTTGGGTGAAATAAATTGTTAATTTCATTGCAGTGCAGGATTTATTTGAAATTGATTAGTGATCTATTTTATATAATTGAAACATTTCTATTGAAGTATACTATATTTCAGAGCGAATACCATGGGGTCTTTTACTCGCGCGGAGTTGGTGTCCGAGCCGAAGGCGAGGACTGGCCAACCACGCAAGTAAAAAAACCCCATGGCACTAGCCGTGAACGATATTTTTCCGTAGTGATTTCCACTTTTACGAGTTTGAGGAAGGGCCAGTACCAATCCCCGGACGAGGAAAAGTGAAGGTCAGTACGCAAAAATATTTAAGTTTATCAATTTCCAACAAAACTGTTGTTAAGGAGAACAGAAAAATTCCAATTGCTTGGAACGCATCACTTCTCTGGGGATGAAGTAATTACATACCTTCGATATTTTACGAAAATTTTATCTTGAAATTTTAAATCTACAATAGACCGGAAGAACAGAAAAATATTGTGGTCCCTCAGATCTAAAACTGCATTTCCTCATATATTAAAAAAAACAAATTGAAAAATAATAGACATGAACACGAAATTATATGAGAATACCTCACTATTCTATTCTCAGATAAAAGTTCGGAAAATTGTACCATAATATTGTCTGATGACCGAGTGCATACACTCGATATTTCTAAAGAAAACTTCACCGTTTCCACGGCAAGTTTTATATTTACGGAAAAATAGCGAAGATAAAACGATCATGAAATTGTATGAGAATGCCTCATGATTCAATCCTCCAATAAAAAAGGCAACAAAGCTAAAATAAAAATAGTATCGACACATGTTATATAAAACACCGTATCTCATACCGTTGGCCATTGTCTTGGGTATCACCGAGGGGGTATACGACATTTACAACAGCTGGTAGCATGGTTCGTGCTACAGTTTCTTCCTATCACTGTTGAATATCTAGCGAGGTTAATGCAAACCTTGAGTTTTTTATGGGTTTTGTGCTCTTGAATACTGGAACGGGGGAGAACAGAAAGGCCAGGTGGTTATATTTCATTCCGGAGGGTGCAAACTTTCCATTGAACACATGACGCACTTTGGATGATTAGGATTGTAGATCGAGTGATTCGAAAACTCATGACCTTGACTTCTACCCGGGGATAAACGACTGAACCTCGGAGAATAATTGAGATAATTCCTTCGCATTCCATTAATTACGAGTTCACAACTCTAATTGGTTTGATAGTTCTCCGAAGAGGAAATTATGAAGATGAACCCCGGGATTTTGTTATTCAGGTGAATCCCCCAGCGTGAAACATACCGCGTAGTTAAAGTTGAAAATAGGATCATTAGAAGCACGTGACCTTGGCGATGTTCTTGTATACCTAGGAATTCCCTAACAAGATTGAATCGTAATCGGATTTATCTCTGATACAAACTCAAGTGTTTCGATTTCAACGTGTTTTTTTTTCACTTTAAATTGACACGATAACTCACCCGTCATTCTGATAGAGTTCAACAGAGCTGTTGAGCTCGGCCAGCTGTTCCTTGAGTAACTGAAGATTCGAGTTGACGAAGCTGAGCTCGAGGGCAACGGTCTCCTTCAATTTCCGGTTTGTGGTTGCTCTGAAAAATTGGCATTAAATTCCGGATGAATTCTATTATCCAAGACGTATGAATTGATAAACGATGGTAAAAATTTTCGTCCGGATTTTCCGTGCCAAATTGCGGAAATTTTTATCGCGTTCAAGTTCCACTGGACTTTCAGAAAATCTTGTCATTGGAAAATCAAATATTCCATTGATTTTCTGGTCTAATGATCCGGAAATCAATAAAATACTTGATTGTTCAGTTCAATTATTCTGTGGCAATTCAGAAAATTCAGGGAAGAATTGGACATTCAGTAGCGAAGTAGTCAAACGATTTAAATCAATTTAGTTTTTAGTTGAGCTTTTCAGAAATATTTCTGAATTTAAGGGAGATAGCGAAATTTTCATAATTAACTTTTTTGTAGAGCGTATTGAGTGCTACTAAAAAGGTTATGAGAAAAATTTTGCCATCTCCTTTAGATTTCGAGATATTCACTGCAAACTGGCCAATAACCAAAATCGACTTAGACCGTTTGATCACTTCGCTACTCAATTCAAGTCATTTTATTTCTGAGTATTCATATTCCACTGGACATTCAATCAAATTGTGAAATGTCCATCTCCCTCCCATTGAAATCCCATAAATTTCCGTGAATTCTACTTAAAACTTGAAATTTCATGACCATTTTACCCCTAAATCCGATTCTAAATGTCTCTCCTGAGATTTACTATATCTTCCATGAAATTTCGAAAAATTTCTAACAGCGTAGACCCAATGTTCTACTTTTATGATGGAGATAATTATCAATTCAATGTCACCCGATGGATCCTATCTATGAAAGATGAAAGTGTTATGGAGTTGTTTTATATCGACATGTATCGAAACAACCGGATCGCTAATCCTCAATTATGATTGGCCAATGCGTTGCGTTTTCAAATTGGTCAATTGCACTAGTTATTTTTTCTGTGATCTGTTAATTCAACCGGTTAATTCAACCGGATATTCAAAGAGATTGCGCAGAAATAAGTTCACAACATCGATTAAATTGTCATAGTGCAACATTTCGCTAAATATTTATAAATTTCGGAGATGAATACTACCAAGAATTGTTAATTTTCTCGTGATTACCATGCGTGAAATAAATAAATAATTTCTTCTTGGATTTTCATTCATCATGTGCTTTCATGACTCTCATTAATTTCCATTAATTCCATTTCCCTTTTCTCGTGAATAGCATAAATTTGATTGCGTTCTATTTTTTGACTTGGATGTATGTTCACAATTCTGAAAAACCGGGAAAATTCTCCAGCTTCTTGAAAAATTATAGGAACGGAATTGTTGTTTCCATTCAAGAAAAATTCAGACAATTATTCAGTTATTTTGAATACTGAAAAGCTCGTTTGCTCAAATTGAGGAATGTATTAATAATGGTTGATAAAACCCAATTTGATTAGTCTGTTCTCTAGAGAATTCTCGGCTTTCCTAAATAATTCAAGGGAATCGTTCACTTTTCTAGATAATCGATTCATAGAACTTCTTTTTATAATAAAAAAAAAAAAAAATACTTCTTTGCATTTTCCAATAATTACACTAGAAAAAAAATCAAGCAAAATTGTTATACTGCACCAGAAAACTTATCGTTCAGCACCGAAAGAATTCTTGAGGTACCATAATTTGTCTGGTGCGACACAATAATTTTTCCAAATGTGCGGATTGTGACTCGTTTACGGTGTTTAGCACATGAATTTTTCTAGAAAATTTTTCTCCACGTACGAGTATTGAGCGGATCACTTTGAAAAGTGAAAGGGAATTGATGAAAGATTTAAAATTATTCATTAATTTTCAACTTATCATTCATCTTTATTATCGATCGAGTTTTCGTCTGTTTATTATTCTTCTTCATAATGCATTTATGAGAATGAAATTTAATACAGTTAAAACCTGAATGAAAAAAAGGAAGCTTCTCGCAAGTAAATGAGGTACCCGACGAGCGCGCGCGTTCTACCTAGTAATTTATGAATTCATACAATTGTATTCCATCTGTTATTTATAACTCAACTTGACTCACTTGAATAAATTCTCCGCCCCAGCGCGTAATCTCAATTCCTTATTTATCTCCTGATTGAGTTTGCTCCGTTTATTCTGCAATTTACCTCTGCACGTAGCGACTCTGGGGTCCGAGCCCTGTAACCATACACATCGAATAAATATAATTATTGAGCATAACGACATAATGAAGGCATTGTAGGCTGGATATCCATAAAATAACCAACGAATTATTAATACCGTTGGAGAATATTGAGAAGAGGATTCGCTCCTGATGGCACACATAGTTATCATCAGTAAGTTTAATGCATGGTATGACGGACATTTAACGGTTGTGGAAGCTAACTGAACGTGGAAACTAGGATCATTTCAACGTTTATTAGGCGTTCACGTACGTGACAATTCGAATTAACATATTTTTAATGTAATGCATCGCCCGTTATTCTAAGTGAATAATTTGCATTACATTATTCCACATATTAAAAAATAAATTGTAAAGTCGTAACTTAATGGAAAAACGACACACTACGCTGAGAGAAAAACGACAGAGTTCTCAAACACGTCTTACTTGTGCCAAGAAAACTGTTTTTTGAAAATTATCAGAACAGGATTTTTTTCGGCCAAACGTGCAGAGAGTGCGAAGAGATAAAAAATTTTTGTTACAAAAATAGATTTAGGCCCGGTTGCACCTGTTATCCAAATAAACCCCAGGATAAAATTTATAATCGGGGTCAATTATATCGTAGGAGTCATAATTTTTCAATATTTGACCTGAAGAATAATTTTTTATTTATCCTGTAGCCCCATTTGAATTAACACCGGTTTAACCTTGGGATTAAATTTTATTTTTTGTTTCTGAGATAAATTTGAGATACTCTCTCGGGTAAAATAATCCATCGAACATTCAAATTTACTTCTTTTCTTATCGTTTTCTTTTTTGACGTGTTCATTACCCGGAGCTGGTGGAATCTGGCCTTAATAGTTAAAAACGAATTGCATTCAGTGTATACGTAAGAAATGTCATTTCCAGCACTACACCTTCGTTATTCGATACCATTATACAATTGAAATATCTGTCTCTAGGTAATTCTATAGAATTTCTACGAGAACAATCGCTATGGAAATAAATTCCACATAAATTTTGACTTCTTGTTGGAATTTTATAAGACTTACGTTGAAGTTCTAATAGGTTTCTCTTGAAATTTTATTAATAATTCGATCAGCTTTCTGCGTCGGTTATATATGGAAAAAATCAATAGTTATTGATTTTTTAGAAGTTTCCTCTTACGTTGGTTTCTACAGCGATTCTTGGGCATCAATTCTTTTCCATTGCAATCACAAAATTCAGGTAAAACCTCATAAAATTCGTGCCCAAGAATTGTTATAAAAGAAATCCTAACTGTAGAAAAATCAACATCCACATGGAGAAAAAAATACCAGAAAAATTACTGTGCTGGGTTCATTTGGACGGACTCAGAAAAATTCCCGTGCCAGCACCAGAAAATTTGTTGTGGAGTACACGAATTTTTCGCGGTAAATCCGAGAAAAATTCCTGTAGCGCGCAGCAAAAATTCCGGTGCGTAATTTTTCCGGATCCGTCCAAATGAACCCATTTTACCGTGCAAGCACAGTAATTTTTCAATTTTTTTCTCCGTATTTCCGGTATCTCCGATATCTCCGGTATCTCCGGTATTTTTTTCTCCGTGCATTGGCTTTTCGTTCTTTCCGAGCGGAAGCGTTAAAATTGTCCAATTAAATAAATGAATATGACCACTCGGTGGTCAATGTTTAGAAAATTGAAGAATTGAAGGGCTAATGAGTCCAAAGAATCTTAAATTTTGTCAGATTATAGGCATCAATGGGGACCAGCTCTTAACATTTATTTTAAAATAGTCTTTCGCAAATATATCAAGAACCATTCCACCGAGCGCAATAATTTTCTTTACAAAATATTCATCTCGTTGTCTGCTATTGTAATCAATTAAAATATGTATACCCGTTCATATAAAATTTTCGAGAAATTTCCTCGAAAAAATCGACATATTGACTTGGAATTTTGCATGAAGTTTCCTTTCATCATTGCAATGGTTCAAATTTTAAATAAACTGGATCGGAAAACTAGTTTATGAGGTATTCAATTTTTTTTGCAACTAGTTTTCCAGAGATTTCCATTTTTCTGTTTTTCACTAAAAATTCTTCAGTATCTATCTCTCGGGTTATTTGAACTAAGCTTAATATTTATAGAAATGAATTGCAACTAATTAATAAAAAGTCCTGCAATGCTGCCCAAACACCCAGACTGAGAAAGTGCCATCGATTCAATCCCCCTAAACCCGCCCAGAACTACACCAGTAAAACAATCTACCCAAGCAGTAAAAAAATAAGAGCCAGGTATCTCCATGATTGACAGCGCGTAAATGACAAAGTGGGTGTTGAGCTGAAGAAATGAAAAAATCCCCGGCAAACCATAACACAACACTGCGCAATATGGAAATGACAATTTTATCCTCAACATTTCCATGTCGACAGTTTCATAACCCAACTCCCAGGATGGAACCCGCGATGTTCCGGGTTTCTCGATGCATTGAATAACGAGTTGCGTTTTCACAGTCGTGTCATGTCTCCTTATAAGTTTCTGTTAGTTACGATCGATTGGACTTCCTCGGGACGTCTCCGCGGACTCGAGCCGCATGTGCGTCAACCAATGATACGTAATACGGTTCAGGAAGGAATTAAAAGTGACGAGAGTCATTCAATTTTTTCCTTCGTATTCACATTAAATCACAGGTTTGTTAGTGAAAGTTTTATTGGAGTCTATTTCCAACCGGGAATTTGCGCAATTTAGTGCGTGTGCATATTGACAGTTCGTTGAACCAATTCGACTTGTCCTTTCTCATGTCCATTGCGACATATATGGAATTAATGTTACCCTTTGAGATTCGACGAGAGTCCAAGCCCCTCTAAAATCCAAAAGTAAAAACTAACGAATCAACTAATGCCAGTGGAAGTGGCAGCGACTTAAATATTATCAACAGGTGTTGGTACAATATCCACCGCAATAGAAGTGAAGGGACAAAATTCCAGGTATCGATTGGAAAACTCGTTCGCTCAAACCGGATAATGGTCGCGAGCTATTACGACGATTGTAGAAAGAAGGCCTGCAGTTCATTTTCGTAATTGAAAAGTAGGAAATTTCGTATCCTAATGTATTTTCAAATGGGCCAGATTCCTTACCCCGAAACGTCGTCGTGGAGTGTCCAGCGTTATATCAGCTTCCTTTAATTCTTTACACTCTGTATTCTCATTATTCTTGCAAACGTTTTCCTCAACTGTCACTTGGGACTTGTCCAATTGCACCTCTGGCGATGTCACATTATCCCCGGTCAACGGCGAGTGATGCACCCACTTCAACATGGCCGCTAACACTACATAATGGGCACTTATTCCCTTTTCCAAATGTATCTGATCGTTTCCCCGGTATGACTGTTCTTATTCCTTTACTGTATTCACATTACTCGGCGCTGAGGTGTATCATCTGATCTGACGATTGTAAACACACGGATTTTGAGGCAAATACTGACGTCAGGGGACAGGAATTTGGGACATAAAATTCAAATTACTTCGGGTATGCGAGAAATCAAATGAAACAAAAATGCAGGAGAAATTTCAGGCAATTTGATTGACATTCCTCGGACTGAAATGAGAGATAAACATGCGATATTATCTGAGCTACTTGTTTTGACGAGCGCATCAGCCGGACAAATGCATCGTGCGATAACAAAAAATTGCGATTATGTCGATAGTGATTTATATACAAAGACAGGCTTTGAATAGCAGGTGGAGGAGGGTGGTGAAAGAGGAAGGAGAGACGGGCATTTACGGCCGTTTTAGCGGATGGCCCCTCTGTGTCGCGGGCACGCTTTCTACACACAGGAAACTGTGCCTTATTGACCACTGTACTGATAGGATTAAAGTTATAGCCCTCTCCTCCGCACCTGCATCAACTGCGCTCCCCCTGCATGGCCGGAGTTACGAATGTAACAATTGATGGTTCGCTACTCGATTTCACGCCCATACGGCATTTTATGAGGCTCAGTGTGAGGGGCGGTGGGAATGGTGATTGTCAGGTGGGTGAATAACGGATGTGGAGTCTTGATTTGGTTGGCGTCGGTTTTGGAGAGTATTTTCACGTGTGGATGTCAATCGTTACACATGCAGTATTTGAGAATTGCTTCGAGAACTTCCCATTCAAATTTCAGCCAATGGAATTGCACTATTCCACTGTTATTTTAGGGAGTCAATGCGGTGTTCAACTGGTAATTTTTGATAATGCCACTGGTACACTGTTGAAAATTTTTCGCTGAAATTTCCGGTAAGAGACTTGAAGTTTCTAACAAGTAACATTTCCACTGAAATGTCAGGGAATTTTGTCATTGAAAATTCGTAATTTCATGGGAACATGCGAGGGAACTAAATTTTAGTTTAATTATTCGCGGAAAATTAATCAAAAATCTGGAAAATTCAGAGACATCTCTCCTTGAATTCCAAATTTCTTTGAATTTTCAGGGAATTCCTTTGAAAAATGCTGGAGTTTCAAGAATTTTAAAGGAATTCCCTGAAAATTCAAGAGAATTTGGCAGTGAATATTCATTTTCACTTGAAAATTGCTGTAAATTGAGGAATTTCTGTCTTTCTGCCGCTAGAAAAATGGGACTTTACTTGAATTTTCAGAGAAACGTGAAATTCCATTGATTTTTTCCCCTTAAATCGAAAGCAAGGTCTTGTTCCGGAAAATTCAGTCAAATTTTATTAACCTGAGAACGTGCCTCCTTCGTTTGTTTGCAACAAACCCTGATAATAATTTTAAAGCTCTTGTGGTATTACATACGACAATTTTGAAACAATCGGGGATAATAATGTCTATAACAACAATCTCATAATAATCTCCATAATATGAAGAGATTATTATGGAAGGCATAGGGAAAACGGGCTTAGTTTTTTTAAAATCTATGTAATAGTTGTATTTTATTTTTCAATGTTGTGAATTTGAATTTGGTTTAGGTTTAGATCGTTCGTGGAATTTCTTATTAATCTTGGAAATTCAACAAAATACAGTTTTTGATGTTAGGCGATCTTTG